TATAAATATATAGTAAGTTGCACAGCACAGTCGTGTGTGCATATGCATCTTTCAGTATGTATGAGCAATCCAAACTATTTATTCATTTAATTGAACGGGCGATTTAATTAAGGAAAGCTGCAGAACTTTGCCCTGGCTTCCTGGAGTGGCCACTTCTGCCTTGACCTTGTGCCACAAGAATTAAATCTACTTAGAGGGAGAATTTAGGAGAGCAGAACCTCTCAAGGTAGCCAGTGCAATTGTTCATCTTTCCACCAAAGCACCCACACTCTGTAGACCTTGAGTCCCCCGTTTTCTAAAATTTTTGGTTCTGACATTGGTACTCTGCATGCAGTGGAGCAGTTTCTCAGAAGAGGAAGAGTAATTGTAATTGCAGATGCTATTAAAATGTAAATAAACCTGGTTTTGAAATGTATTTTTAATCGGCTGTGGAGAGGGCAGCTTGAATCCTCACTCAGACATTTTCCTGTGTGGAGAATTTGTGCTGAACAGAGGTGAGATGCAGCATGTCCATGTTGGGTTTGCAGGAGGATTTTGGAGGGAGGGTGGGAGCACAGCTTCTTGTCCCTTCTCCAACCTAGAGAAAATGGGTTCTCTCTCAAAAGTTGGTCTGTGGGCTGGCTTCTTGTTGTGATATTCCTTTCTGGAAATCCTTCTCCCAATGGGATGGGAGGGCAGAGAGGAGGGCATGGTCAGAGGAGGAAGAGGGGAGATCAAAATCCCCCCAGAAAAACCATATGATGACCCTGAAGGTGAAAAGCAGCAAGACTATTCAGCCTCCTGCATAAAGTTTGGACTCTTATAGGGATGATCCTCGGGGGTCTTTTCCAAGCTTTATGATTCTATGATTATAACCATCCCAAGGGGATGAGGCCAGCTGGACCTATCTTGTCCTATAAATCCAACATGAACAGCCTATTCCTCAGGCCTCTGAGCACTTGTCCCTTCCTAACTCTTCTTACCTGCCTGCCAGGGCCTTGGATGCTGGAAATGTTATTTTCCCCACTCACATTGCAAGGTTCCCCACCCCAGGGCCATCTTGGGAAGGCAGGAGGGAGGTAGCAGGACAGGGGCACTCCACTGCATGACATTTTTCTTGATAGGGCCAGGATTTTTATGTCCTTGTTTGGAGAATTTTCATGGGTTCTCTCAATGCTTCAGGCCTTTGTATTTTAGTTCCTCCCCCCCCCCCCCCCCCCCCTTTTCCTAGTGGTAACGTGGAAGCATACAAGTCAATACTCCATCTGAAGTACCAACTGGAAGAAATACGGACAGCTAAAGTTAATTACAAGCCTGTCAGAACATGGTAAATTTTAAAAACAGCGATTAACAGCGTTTCTGGGGTTGTTTCTGTGACTTGCGTCTCCCCAGTGATCAAATACCGTGTGACGGTGTGCACGGGCACTGTGAGTGGCAGCGGCACGGATGCCAACGTCTTTGTCTGCCTCATCGGTGACCAGGGGGACACGGGAGAGCGCATCCTCTACAACTGCATCAACACCGTCAATAAATTTGAAAAGGGCAACGTAAGTTCGCACAGCGGCGCCTCAACACAAGGTTCTTAAAGCGTGTGATGATTTTATAAATGAATGAATTTATTTTTTTTTAATGTGTGTTTGTAGACTCATGGTTTCCTTGCTAGCTCGGGCTAGGGAAGTGGGGAAAAATTAATAATTTCTCAACAATAATCTTGTCGACAGAGCATTGTAACAGGTTGCAGCTGGAGGGAGGCTTGGGTCAGGGACAGTGTGCCCTTGCTTGATGTATGGCCATGAAAGAGTCTCTTTGTTTGCTCCCCAGCTAAGTTCTGACTGCTGAAATTGCATCTTCAGATAGGGGAAGGCTTCCAGGAAATCTTAGAAGAATAAAAGAGAGGCTTTTCCCTTCCATCTAATACAGCAAATATTTGGCTCTCTGCAGCACAGGAACAAAAAACCATCTTATTTAATGTGAAAGTCAGAACCCAAAGCCTAGCATGTTTCCTTTGTAATTCCTCCAGTCTCCCTCAGCTGTGCAACACTCAATTTTATGTCTTCTTTTCAAACTGATTTTCACCATATTTTTGTCTGTCAATGTCCGGAATGCAGGGGGATGGAAATTAAGTGAAATGAAGACAGAGCTTATTCCCTGGAAAGCTGGAGATAATGAAGAAGTCAAACAGTAGCTAAAGCCCTTGCAGCATTGGCAGTATCAGCTAGCAAATAGTTTGCTGATCTGATCTGTAGGGTCAAGCTACTTAGTATGTATCCAATTTTGGATCTTTAGGGTCCAACTTAGAGTGGTAAATTGTAATCAATATCTCCAGAAGGAGATTTTGAGAATCTGGTCACAGAACTGCACAGGTTTCTTATCTCTCATGTCATTATTTGATTGAAGGTTCAGAGTGGAAAGAAAATTAAGATAAAAGGAGGTCACGTTTTCAAAATAGACCATTGAATTTAGGCTTCTGAAATATGCATTAGAACTTTGAATTTGCCTTTGAGTGTCTGGAGTTTCTAACTCTTCACTGAAATCACTGAGTTCTTCTAGACTTTAAAAGAACTTTCATCAAGTATTTCTTGTGCTTTTAAGATCTGTCTGTGGAAATGTGGCAATTATATAGTGTGAGAGTCCATTCTGCTACTAAATTATATACAAATTTACATAAATGGACTTTTCAAACATATTATTTTTTGCCTATGTATTAACATTATATATATTTTAGTTTTAAAAGGTATATCCAAACAGTAAAGGATGGTATTTTGTCATTTGATGAAGCCTGTGTTTGTGAAAGTGGTAGCAAAATGAGTTGTGTTTTGGAGCTGAAGACTATTTCAGTGCAGTTCCAAAGAAAGGTGCTTGGTTTGCAGAGAATACAAATATTTTAAACACAGATAATGGTTATTTTATGGGGTGTTCCATCCTTGTCCAAGTCCAGGTTGGATGAGACTTGGATCCACTTGGTCTATGGAAGGCATCCCTGCCCATGTCAGGTCCCTTTAAGGTCCCTTCCAACCTAAACCATTCAAGGGTTCTGTGATTATTCTATGATTTTTTTTTTTTTCACAAAAATAAGTTGTAGGCTAACTTTCATGAAGGAGGATAAAAAGGGAAAAATAATTTTGACAATCAAATGATGTCATTAATAGTATTCAGATGACATAAACCAAACTGGAGCCTATAAGTGGAAAACTGCTCTTCCGGCACGAGGAGCTGAAAGCTGGTGAATGAATGGGAAGTTGTTTAAGAATTGATCCTGACAAACTTACAGCTCATATATTCAAGAGGCTGAATGAGTATATCTACACTGATTAACTCAGATACCCTGTTGAAAAGAAATATTGCTAAGTCAGTACGGTCTCTTATCTACAGCCACTTAAACCAATAGTACCTTGATTACCAATTTGGCTTAAAAAGTTTGCCTGCAGATGCAAACTAACAACCTGTGTAGAAAGTTAGATTTAAAGATGCCTCTAAATTAAGCGTTTGCCCTGTTGTGGTTCCAGTTAGTTACTTACTCATTAATTTATATCAGCCATTAATAAGTAAGGTGAGCATCAGGACTAATGAATTAAATTACATTGACTTGGACTGAGTCAGTGAGGTTTTGATGCCTTAAATCCCCAATTCAGCAGTTTTTAGTGTGCAAGTAGCATTGACATATGTAAGCCCATCACTAACAGTTTAAGCAGTGGCAAAATGCTTAGCTGTCTTCATTCTGAAGGTCACTTTGGAGCCCTGAATGATAACATAATTATTATCATTTAAATAAATTTCAGTATTTCAGACAGCATAAATACTGTCTTGCCACCATGCTTCCTGGGAGCTAGCTGGATATGCAATACCATCACAAGTGCTTTCAGGACATGAAGAACAACCAAAAGACAGTGGTTATCTATCTTTTACCTAAGAAAGGCATCTCATCCAGATGGCCACCACAGCAGACATGTCTCCTTGTTGGGCTATATGCTGCAGATGTTTGCACCCAGGATTTACCATGCTTGTGTCATGTGTGTGCATCTGTACATGGGCTACAGATACTTTTGCCTGGCCTGGTTCCCAGAGCAGTAACTTGCTCTCTTAATGCAATTCTCTTCCCTCATCCATCAGGGATTGTTGGTACCAGTCAGCTCTTGGGTAAAAGAGCTCTGCTCTTGAGGGGCCATCCCTTGGGATAATCTGTAGGTTGCTTGTTTGAGCCCATCTCCAGGAAAAAAAAAAAAAAAAGGAAAAAAGACACTAAATCTATGTCTCTTGTGTAGTGTTGAGGGTATTTATCTGCTGGGATTGATTCACACCACCCTCCAAACACAACTCATGGAGCAGCTGGAAATAACCTTGTGCAGCCCTGCCCATACTGGCATGTCAGGAAATTAAAAGGGATTCAGTTGTGCTGGGCAGTTAATGCTGTCTGACTTTAACACAGTTTGAGCTGTACCTCCAAACATCTCCGCAGATTTGCTCTGAAGTGACCTGCTTCTTACTTGTCAGAAAGCTTATATCTGAGCAGGGGTTGGAACTTGGATTTCCTGTCTCGCTGTATGAATTTCTTAATAATCAAATAACTTCTCTTTTTTACAGTGTGGAGGGCATGCAATGACATGACAGATTTAAAATGCCGGTGGATCATATATTTACAAATCTAACCTTACACATCTAGCACAAATATTCAGGCTTTTTATTCTGTGGTAAATTCCTACTTACTCCTTCATCTTGTGAAGAATTATCTTGCAGCATGCTGCTGATGTTTGTTTGATTGCAATAATAAACTTGAGTTGTTTATTTGCTTTTAAGGAGAAATTTTGCCTTACCTTTTTTATTCTCCTTCTCAAAGGCTGACGAATTCTTCATTGAAGCAGTAACGCTGAAGCAGGTGAGGAGGGTGAGGATAGGGCATGATGGCAAAGGAGGAAGCAGTGGCTGGTACCTTGCCAAAGTGATAGTGAGGGAAGAAGGACAGCCAGAAAGTGAGGCTGTGGAATTCCCCTGCTACAGGTACTAGGAACAATGCTTGCAAATTAAGTCTCTGTCTCTGCATTTGCCAGACTTTTAAGAGCCTAGTTGTTGGTCCATGACTGGAATTTTCTGAGCACAGCTTAATCCTTTTAATTTATTCATATGTTCATTTATTTTTTGCTAAGCCTGAAAGCAAAGAGTGTGTTTTGGGAAGTTCAGAATACAGTTAACTCCCCTTACCAAATGACCAGCAATCTGGATTGCGAACTTCTCAGCAATTAGCTCAGTAATGCAGAGAATTTCCAAAAGACAAAATGCAACCTTCCATTACCACACCCAGTGTTGCTGCAATTGCCTGCTGCAGAAACACACTGTAATTTGCTGGTGTTACTGCATGTAACGAGGTTCTGGTCGCTCACATGCACATCCCACCTTTCTGGGAGAAATGGGATGCTGTTTTTGTGTTGGGAGCATGCAAAATTATTATGCTGTCATCTCAAGAGCTCCTTGCATGAGGGGAAATGCACATCTTGCAGAGACAGTGTTAGGGCAGAGGGCTGTGGCTTGCCTCTGTGGGTAAGTTATTAGTGTAGTCTTCATATCCCTCGACAATCAAGTGGCCAAAAGAATGTGCTGTACTGAGGCTGCCTGTGGGGAACAAGATGCATGATCTGTCCTGGCACTAACAGGTGCCTGTCTCAACACTGCAACACAAACTAGAGAGAACTGTGTGAAAACATTATAGATTAACTCCAGTGCAGTCCCACTTACCCTCTCAGGATGTCCACCCTTTAGGATGGACATCCAGAGAGCTCCATTTAACAACACCATGTACCTGTTCTAAAAAATCATCTCCCAGGGACAAGTGGAATTGTAAAACTCAAACACAATCATTTTAAAACTGAAGACAAAGGTAAAGCCCCTAAGCTGGTTCCTTGTCTCTTTAAAGCACTCCAATATAATGAGGGGAACCAAATACAAAACGGGAGCCAGCCCCAGCCTCTTGACATTAGTAAGCCCCATCATATCAGAGAGCAAATTCACTGTGGAGACAGCACGGAGCAGCAGACACAATGTCATCTTGGTTGTGAAAAGCAAGCTACTCTCTCCCTTCTCAGGGAACAAACAGACACATACTCATTACTGCCTTTTGATCATATTTAACAACCATATGTTTTACTGAGTTAAGCAGGCAAGCTAGACAGGTTTTTCCTTGGACATGAAGTGTCCAGGCTGTTTTGCTCAGGCTCCTCAGAGATATTTCTGTGTCTAACTGCACACAGCAGCTGGCTCATTTTAGACAATTCCTTTTTGAATTGTCTCCTTATGTGACTGCTAAACTGGGTGTCTTCCATCAGCTCAGAGTGGCTCCCTTCCTCTTCAATTTTCACCTGTGGATGAGAACACCAGTGGGCATTCCCCTCAGGCCAGAGAAGAGGAAAGGACAGAGAGAAAAACCCAAGACCTTATCCCCAAAAACATTCATGGTGTACCTTCAGGCCTCAGGTCACCAGTGATGGAATTCCACTCTTCTTATCTTTCTAAATGTCTCTTTTCTCAAGTGATATCAGAGTTGCTCTTGTGGCTTTATTTGCTGTCCTTGTGCCAGCATTATCTCTTTCCTCTCAGATTGAGAAGGTGACATGACTGATCACCACCAAGAACAGGGACAGCTGCTCCCTCTCATTCCCTTTGGTGCCCATGTCTCCTGAGAGACTGGGGCACCATCGCAGTGTACGGGTGTCGTCATGGAGTCTGGAGAGATCTGAGGGCAAAGGTGCTCACCCACTGCATCCTCCAAGTGAGGGATAGACACTTCCATGGCCTGCAGCGTTTGGATGTTGCTCTCCACTCCTGTAGACCAAGGACAGCTTATGTCCTCACTGCTTTGGCAAGAGCTCGGAGTGTCCTGCTCCACCCACTTCTTCAGGGGCAAGAGGTTGAAAAAAGATTTGTCCAGGAAGAGGCAATGCAAGTGAGGTTAGTTAGAGACTCCATCCAAGGATTACACCAGAGAAGATTCTCTTTCTGCTTGTTGTTGTTTGTTGCTTGTTGAGACATGTTGCTCTCACTGCCTTTATCGCCAAGACTTGTTTAACTTCCACTCTTCTACACAGCACAATTACATGGCTTGAAGAAAACAACTTTTGCTGCTGGGTTCATACTGAAAGCTACTCCGTTGGCCTTGTGACATTCAGCTGCTCCTGTGAGACAGCTGAATGGGGGACAAAATGCCTTCTAGCAGAAAACATTTCACTTGTGCAAAAAGCTCCACAGGCTTCTTACCCCTGTGCAAACCAGGCTGCAAGACACATGGGGAGCAGACACCCTATCAGAAAGCTGCCTAACCAGCTTCCCTTCTAACTGATATCCTTAACATACCCTTATAGATCTTCATTGCATAGAACTTGTTGAAGTCTCTCTATTCTTCTTATTTACATATTTATATACAGTACAATGTTTTGCTTTTTAATTTGAAATCTTTTCTGTGACTACATAGGATCATCTATCACTTAGCAATCACAAGAGCTCTGTAAGAAGAACTGTTTTTATTGTACAGGGAGCCAGCAGAGATAAAGAGATGCTAAGTGAATTAATTGTGAGTTTTTGTCAGATTCAGGATGAGCATCAAGAAATAATGACTCCCAGGCCTGTGCTTTCAACCCTTTAAACAGTTGGCTCAGAGTCAGTGATTTTTAAAGTGGTCATTTGATCAGTGCTTGGAAGAAGTAAATGCAGGTTACTTCCTCTAAGTGTTATTTGCAGAATTACTGGTACATCACTTGGATGCAGTACTATTCCTCCCTTACGACCACATGGCATTATAATATCCATGCTTTTAGGAACTGAATACTGAAAGATTCAGTGGCATCACCGAACAGTTTATACCTTGTAATACCTGGTGTGGTTTAGGTATGGTGATGATGAATACTGCTGCAAAGCTCAAAATTAAGGGAGTTCAACTTTTGCCCCAGAAATGAAGCCAAACTTTTTTGAAGATCAGAACTGAGTTTTTTTCTGGTGTCATTTTCTTCTCAAAGCTCTCTGGAAGTCCAGGAATGGACTAGCTGACATGCTCTAAACCATCTTATTTTTAATAATATTTATATCCCAGACAGAAATGAATTTTCAATCAGACAAAGTTTTGAGTTTGTGATAGGATAGAATTTTGCATGCTATAAATCATTACAACTCCACTGAAATCTTCAGTGATATGTCATTAAATCCTTTTCCTAAGCATATGGCTCTCACCATCCTAATTTGTTTCCGGCACAAGCATAAGGGAACATTGTTAATTCTCTGAAGAACAACAGACCACAAATGGGATGATACACTAGGAGACTCCTGCAAAAGAACATTTATTCAATCAAATGCCAAAAAATGTTCATCATACAAAGGAGCCAGAGAAACCTCCTTTTCCTGCCTAAAAATAAACTGAGATGTCTATCTCTTTTTACACATTTTTGTATCTAGGTTATATTTAAAGGCACACACAAATACATATGTGCCTCTGAATCTGATGGATGTTCCAATCATTCTAATTGCACTCAAGCTGAATTTCAAATGCTATATATGATGTCATATTGTATTTTTTTCCAGTGATCACCTGAATCTCTGGTCCTCTAGAAACTCTGAAGTGGCTTTCATGTAATATTTGTGTTCTCTTTGAGTTATATTGGCCATAAAGCATCTATTTAAAACCAAGGATGTGACACAGGACACAGCTTCACCCTTGTAAAATCCACAGTGGCATGTCAATTACATTCACTGAACTCCTATAGAGCTCTGATAAAATAAAAGATTTTTACATGCCTTTTGTACTAGGGATATGACGACACCGCACTGAAATACTCTGTTTTCTGCAGCCAGATGTGTCAATCCATTTGTGTTTGAGGTAGAACTCTAAATCCCTGGTTTCAATCTGCTGCTCAGTGATATGCTGTTGGAATTACACTGTAATGAAATTAGGATATTGGTGCATATGTAATGAAAGGAAAGGATGCAGGGCATTGCTCATCTAAATATTTTCTCTGTCACTAATCTCCAGAAAATAATGCTTCTGCCACTCCTAGCTCTTCTCTTGGCTGAAACAGCACAAGGAGTTTTAAAGCCACTTCTGCTGATAAACCTACCTCTCCCTCCTTCAGTAACTTCCCTCTTCCTCTTCCAATCCAAGATATGCTCCTGCCCTTGCTATCACTATCTACCAACACTGGTAGAGGGAATTTCTTTATCTCAGGGTGTGTTCTGCTTTTCTGATTTGCTTTTCTCCTCTGTCCTCACTGCTGAAGCAGTTAGCATTTACTGTGCTGCACACAGAGATCTGCTTCTCGTGGGAGGTATTTTTATCCTGCCACCTCAGCACAGGAGAGATTCACTCAGATTTATCCCAGATACCCCTAAAATGTCAGCAATGGTGAAGGTGACAGGAAACAGCAGCATGTCCATTTGCAGCAGAAACAGCAGCTTGCAGGGCACAAGAAACAGAAGAAGGAGAGTAGAAGTGTATCTACCTTGTGAGCTTCTGCCTTCCTGAGGGCCATGCTAAGTTCAGTGGTCCTGAGGTGGTGGCTTGAATTTTGTGCATCCTCCCAGTTAACATCCATGTACACAAAAGCATCTTGACTTTTGGGATGATGTGATACCCTAGCCATTGGATACCTGTCCAAGGATGTGAATCCTGAGCCAGCATCAACAGCTACATAAAACAAAGGTATTAAGGACCAGTTTTAACAGGTAAAATATCAATAAAGGCTTCCTTTCTTAAGGAAATGTGATGTCTTAGCATGCTCTTATTGCATGCATTGCTCAATTCTTGTCATCAGTTTCATGGGGGCTTCCCCACAGATTTTTCTGCTACTCTATTCCACTACAACCCTTGGCCTCCCCTGAGGCACAACAACACATCAGATGCCCTTACATGGTGCTTGTGTGATCATCACATGCTCATGTGTTCTTCATCTTCATGCTGGCCACCTGAGCTTTTAGCCCTGTCCAAACCCACCTGCACAAGGCCACCCTCTTTACTGAGAGAAAACGAAGAATTCGGGTAGAATGCATACCCAACAACCTCCCAAAGCTTAGAAGGAAGCTGGGGCTGGAGATGTGTGTCTGTGTGGTGGGACTCCTGTGCACCCCTTTTGCATGAGAACACTGCTGCTCGTGCTCCCAGGACTGGCTGGCTCTAGCTCATGTTTGGATTTCTTTCCTGGTGCTGTTTTTTTTGCATGGTTTCTTTGTACTTATTGTTTTCCTCTGTGTGAGAGAAGAGGGGAGAAGATTGAAAATGTAATATTCCTTCAGATGGAGGAAGTGGACGCATACCATCCTGGGTCTTCCAAAATATCTGGTCCAACTTGTGATGACTTTGAGCTGTGCTGGCTTTTTACCAGTGAGGTGCCTTAGGTTTGATCCAGCTCTCAGCAGATCTCTGCTCATGCCCCCAAGTCCTGGTTCTTAGGGTTGTTTTCTGGTTTTCATACGCGCTGACTCACTGTCAAAGCCAAGGAGGGAAACCTCCATGGAAAGTGAGCTCCCCTCCTTTTTGGCACATGGGTCAGCCAAGGACAATGTGTGTGTCACAGTGACACCATGGGAAGTTCACAGGGCACATGTTCACGGGCTGCATGTGTTTGTGCAGAAGCAGCTGTGCTCCAGCATGGCCACCTTTAAAAAGAAACAGTTTCTGGGGATTTTTTTTTTTTTACTCCTTCTGGTTCTGGAGCCATTCAAATACTCTGCATGACCTCGCAGATAGAGCTCATTTGTCCTTTTCTCACCCCTGCTGGTTTGAAACAGTATTTTTAGCTGCAAAAGGCACTGCTGCAGATAGATGTGTACCTGAGAACAATGAGCATTCTGGGAACTTCTCCTGGTCTCACAGCACCACTGTGGGAAACCTGACCCTAAACAGATGCTTACAGAAATATACTGGGTGCCGCAGCAGCCTGGGTGGGGAGGGGAAAGTGAGAAACCTCTGCCAGGGCCCTGGCTGCTGTCATGCAATGGTTGCTGTAGGACGCATGGTGGGGTTGAGGCTGTAAATCCTTCACTCTGAGGCTGAAGGAGCAGCTGTGAAGGATGCCAGGCTACCAGTTAGCTCCCCTCTGTTTTGGGAGGAGACTTTTGGAGGGGGACTGAAGAGGAAACTTTTGGATAAGGCATGTAGTGGTACTATAAGTCAGAAATTATCTTAAGCTGAAGGAGGGCAGAGAAATTAGATATTAAGAAAAAATTCTTTACTATCAGGGTGGTAAGGCCCTGACACAGGTGGCCCAGAGAAGCTGTGGCTGCCCCATCCCTGGAAGTGTTCAAAGTCAGGTTGGATGGGGCTTGGAGCAACCTGGGGTAAGGGAAGGTCCCTGCCCATGGCAGGCAGTTGGAACCATTCTATGATTCTATGATTTTCCTTTCAGATTTTGTTCCTTTGAGATCATGCCACAGTTTGCTTGGTGCCCAGCTGCTCTTCTCAATTAGTCTAGTTGGATCTTTAGTGTTGAGAAACATTACAAATCCTTCCTCTTTGCTGGTGCCAGCTGCCTGCACATACCCATCCTGAAAATGGGAATAACATAATTCATCCCCTCCCTTTAGTAGTAGAGGTTGCAAGTCTTTCTGGTCAAGGAAAGTCAATGCTTTCAAGACACTAAGACTGCCTGTTCAATAACTTGTGGTTGTGGAGTTTGTGCTTTTCAGACAGATGGACATCACAGCAGATGCTTATCTACTGCGAGTAGAGCTCTCACGTACCCTCTTTTTGGAAGACTGAAGATTTAAAATGTGGCTGCCTTATGGTCTGGTTAAGTCCCTGCTAAGATAACAGAGATACAGAGCCCTCTAAAAATATCTTTTTGACTGTAGTGTGGATACGGACTATGTGTGAAGCCAGCCTAGAATTTGAAAGTTCTAACAGGTGCTAATTATTCAAAGATAACTTACTTATGTTTGTAAACCAGATGGCTTGACAAAAATGAGGACGATGGTCAGATTGTCCGAGAATTAGTGCCTGCTGGAGAGTCACCATTGCTAAAAAGTGAGTTTAGCTTGGAAAAAAGGTCTGAGTTTGAGCTGTACATGGATGTGTTTATTTGCTTTATTCTTCTTACTAACTCCCAGTAATCCTGATGGGCCTTTTTTGCCATTCTTATGCAAGAAGCTGCAGTAGGTCATGCTGAGAGAAATGCCTCTGAGTCTTAAATTCTAGTTTATGAATTGGAAAAGAACATAACCGCAACATTATGTATGTAGAAAGAAACATTGGTTTTTAAAGTTGTGATTTTTTTGAGAACTGCTTCCTTGTATATCTTTCTCTGAAGGATCTTGAATTACCACTGTGTTAGTAGAGTAAATGCTGTCAAATAACGGCATTCTCTGAAGAAAATCACCAAAAATATTATATTGGCCTTTTCTGGAGAGTCAGGGTTCCAATGCTACAATTTTCTTTAGAAAATGGTGCTTGCACAGTGCAGTTGTTTTGTTTAATTAAAAAAAAAAAAAAAAAAAAAAAGAAAAAAGAAAAAAAGAAGGTCAAAGTTATTGAATTAAATTTTAAGTATAAAAATGGTGAAATAATCCCATTTGCCTAAGGCCATTTTTATGCCTTGGGTAATCATCTAACAGTGAGAGGGAGGCATACAGAATATTTTATGCTTACTAGTGTAGCTATTGGATCTCTTATATTTTTGATGAATAACTCCAATTTGTGAAAGCTTCTCCAGCATGGCCCTAAGATGCTGGATGCATGAATGGAGGGCAGAGTACTTTTTGTGTCTGTATCTGGAGCCTTCCACCTCTGTAAGTTGATTGAAGCCAATTGCCTGGCTGGGCACTGGAAGTGCCACACACATGTCTGTGTTTTGTGCATCGATCTTTCTCCAGATGTCAGTTATCACATCAGTGTGAAGACAGGAGATATCCCCGGTGCCAGCTCAGATTCCAAGGTTTTCATCAAACTCTACGGTGAAAAAGCAGACTCCAGCAAAGAGTTTCTCTTAGTCTCTGATAATGATCTAGGCAATTATTTTGAACGTGGCCGAGTGGATGAGTTTACTCTAGATATGATGGATATTGGAAAGGTAAGAATCAATTGCAGGTGGCTCTATACGTTGTGCAAGTGCATTCAGGATCAAAATAACACTCCATACTGAAGGTGATGAAAGAACCTTTGACATTCACATTGGATATTAAGAGACGCATTTTACATAGATTTTATACTAGTAATCTACTCTGCATGCTGGCATGTGAGGAGGGCTTCAAGTCTATAGTTAAATACATATATAAATTATTTACATGAACACGGTGGAAGAACACTGTGTCAGGGTAAAGAGACTGTTTTACAATTCCGTTGTGTTGGGTTTTTCCCTGCCCTCTGGACTTTTGTTTGCTTTTTCCAAAGATCAACCGAATACTGATTGGGCATGATAATGTGGGTCTGCGGTCCGGCTGGTTCCTGGCCAGTGTCCAGATCACAGTTCCAGTCCAGGGAAGGCAGTACATGTTCCCCTGCAACCGATGGCTTGACAAGGATGAGGCTGATGGCAGGGTGGAGGTGGAGGTCTACCCAAGTGAGATTTTGCCTATTGAGAAATGTAAGAGACCATGTGCTGCTTTAAAGATAGGCCTAAATATGTATTGCTCCCTTTCTTCAGGGCAAGGTCACCACTGTCTTAGACACCAAAACCATAAAGTCAGTATTCCTATGAGCTTATATTGGTGAGAAAAGTAAAATATTCTCCTCGTGTTCTCTGAAAGAGTTGGAAAAACATTACAGAGATTTTCATCTCCATTCCCTGAGACCATATGAAAAATTTACATCCTGGGTAGCACAGCACAGCACAAGATAATGTGCTTCTTTACTCTAATATCAGTGAGTTCTTCTTTTTTCTACATTTATCTGCCCCAGCCCTTTTTTCTCTTTATGCACCAGCACGTGTCTCATCCTGTCTTTATTACCCTGCTTCCTGGAAAGGAGAAGTTGTTTGATAAATAAGTGCCAAATCCCTACTGGCCACTTGACTTTTATCAGTAGATCCATTTTCTTTTAAGGCTACAGTTAAAATTTGCTGTTGGATCCTGAGAAAGAATGCTGTGTTTTCCCCCTGCTCTCTGTAACTCCCCACCTTGCACTGTACTGAGATCATTAAAGAACTCTATAGGTAGTAGTGAAAGAAAATTCCCTTTTAAGGCTCTGTTTTGCACCCTCTGTCACTGGCTAATACTTGGAAAACTATTAGGTTACTCCTCAGTGAAGAGTTCTGTTATCTCACATTTAATTTGGATAAGAGCAAATGGTTGGCTGCAGGGGCATTTGTTAAGACAAGGTAATTTAATTTTGAACCTGAGCCCCGAGGAATGCTGTTATCTGAGTTTCTCTGCTGATTTAATTGCTTTATTTTTGGACCAGTGATAAACTATGAGGTGTCTGTAGTTACTGGAGACGTGCGAGCCGCAGGCACCAACGCCAAAGTCTTCATGCAGATTTATGGTGAGACTGGCAAAACGGAATTGATCATCTTAGAAAACAGATCCAACAACTTTGAAAGGGGAGCCACAGATATCTTCAAGGTATGATGAAGGCAATCACTGCCACTTCTAAGAGGGGAAAGAAATGATCAGCCAAAGTTGAGACATCAATAGAGTAACTGGCCCAAGTATATGGGAAAAAAAAAAGACTTTTCAAGAAAATTGAAGGTCTGGCAGTATCTACTGTCCTCTATCCATAGTTTTGGAAGGCTTTCTATTTCTTTATAGGGTTTTGTGGAGGGACTTATATCTTCTCAGGGGCTACTAACAAAGGTGTCATTGAAATTTATGATCTAATAGCAGTATTTGCCTATATTTACTTTCAAAAGGATCTCAAAAGACTTTAAAAGGTTCTCAAAAGACTTTAAACTTTGGACCTGACCACACGTTATTGCCAGTTCTGGGGGAAAAAGAAAACACCTTTGTATGAGAATATAAGGAATCCCAGGTTCGCATGCGGTCACACACACTATTAACTATGGGTATAGATATCAGCCCTGCAGAGATTTGCAGCTGTAATTCCTGATAATGCGTGAATGCCCCATAGATTTCACAGTGCCTGTAGCACTGTTCCAGCAGGCACTGCACAGCCCTGGTGCTCAATGTGCACAGCTCAGTCCTCCAGGTATCAGGATGGTCAGAATCCAGATTTATACTGCAGAACCCAAACCTCTTCCTGAGCAGCCCAGAAGCAAAGGGAGTGTTTAGAGGGGTGAGGAACTTCGAACATAACTCTAGGGAGTAAGCCAGGACTTGGATAATCCAACAAGATGTCCTAGGCTGATGAGGCTGCCCAGTAAGTGTGGATGACAACATGATCAGGCATCCTCTCCCTTTGGGACCAATGTTCTCTTTTGCCTTGTGAACTTGGGGTTTCTGCCCAGAGAAACCATGGTTTGAGGGCTAGGAATGGACTTAGCACTTGCCCTGATGTGGGATCAGAGCAAAGACAGGATGCTCTGTCAGAGCCACATCCTTCTGTACTGAAGGAGAGTCCAATATCTGGACATTGAGGCAGAGAGTCCAGGTGGAAGCAGGATTTAAGGCACATCTGTCACATGTGCTCACAGCACAAGACTTGCCACAACAGTGCCTAAGTCTTCTTGTGAATTTGTAGTCCTACAGAAGTGGATCTATCTCAGCACAGTTAAGATTGGAGCCAATTGCTGAAGCTCCCATGAGTCATCAAGACTGGCATAACCTTCCTGCTGTCAGTGGCCAAATGGAGGTGCCTTTTTATCCACAGTTCACCAGTTTTGTACTGTGTATTTTTGAGATCAGTTCACCTCCTCCTGCCTCATTTTCTTGCTTTAGTGAATGGAGTTACTGATGTTTATCTATTTTTAATGAGTTTTGGGGGATTTGAAATGACTAGTACCTTATAAATGTCTGCTTTTTAAAAATTCTGTATAATTTTAAGTTTCTCAGATTTTAAAGGAAATAAGCTTTATAAAATTTATGAGTAAGAGCTATTAGACAATATCAGATTTATAATAAAGCCATATGTACAATGTTCTGTTTACATAGCTTTGCTTATATCCTCTCTCTGATATTTATTGCCATATTTGAAAATTATGCCCACTTCTGTGATTTTTTTTACAAGCACACGAGGCAGAAGCTCTGGAGATTATTAAATAGATAGTCTGTCTCTTTCACTATATGAATGTTTACAAAAAGACACAGGCAAAAATAAGATTCTGTGAGCTATGTGATAATAGGAAATGCCATCAGTCATGGACAAGTCATGCAGGATAATTACATTAAATCTAAGGGTAAAGCCCTGTTAGGAAAGATACATTCTTTATGTCAGGACAGCGGGATCAATTTCACTTTTCTGATAGGCATCTTGTGTGCAATTGATTTTGTTTTAATCTACAAAATGCTTCTAGACAAAAACCTAACATGCCAAGTGCCAGATTTCAGCCTGAAGCAAATGTTTGCAAGTTTTATAACATAAACACCACATAACAGCATAAGCAATCATCAGAAACAAGTCATGGGTTGCTGAAGGATTGTGTGCAGTAAAATCTTCAATCCAACTTCATTAGGTAGTAATCCAAACAGATAATCTAAACCAAGAAGGTTTTGTGTCTGCTGCACTGACTAGAGGGATGTAAATCTTCTTACTGATCAGCCTTCTGCCACTGAAGCACAGTAACCACCAATGATTGTATCCTCTCTGCTCAATAGTGAGAAAATACTTAGCTAATTTTCCAGATGAGAGGGAGGGAGAAGGGTACTCCAAACCCACAGTCTGTGTCAGAGATCATGTTATATGAGTTAACTGCCTTTTCAATACACCATTATTGCTTCTTGCTGGGTTCATATCCTGTGCTGAGTATGAAAGGCATCATACTATTAATTTTCAAAATGCCTCATGCACTGAGAATCTGTAAAAACTTGGTGTGGTATTATCGTATATTCATCTTTAGTCACAACACAGAGACAATAAAGGTAAGGAGAGAAATGAGGAAGTAGGGAGCACAATAAGTACGAATTTAGCTCCTTTCCTCACCATGGCTACTCTGAGTATCTTCAGCTTAATCCATTCAGATGAGATTTGCTAATGGAAAGTATGAAATAGTAAAGCAGGAAGGAAAATGTTAACTTGCTTTAAGAAATTCTTCTTATCCTTGCTTAGATATTTTGCATGATAGAGGCTGTGCTTCTTATTTTTAAGAATGTGCTTTATGAAATTAAGATTGTCTTCTATTCCTCTGGGTGCTGACTTCGCATTGGTGGCAGAGAGAGGCTGCAGATGTTGGCAAGATTTATAAGATTCGGATAGGCCACGATGGGACAGGCATTGGGGATGGCTGGTTCCTGGAAAGCGTCACACTGAAGCGCCTGGCCACAAAAACAGAGGGGTCTGATAAAAAGAAGAAGAAGAAAAAGAAGTCTGAAGAGGAGGAGACCAAGGAGGAAGAAGGAATGGATGTCTATACGTTTGTGGCACACCGCTGGCTGGCTAAGGACGAAGGGGATAAGGAGCTCGTGGTGGAGCTGGTGCCTGACGGAGAATCTGACTTGGAGGGTAAATACCGGAGGGAATGTGTGTGTCTGTGTGTCTGTGTGTGTGGATCCAGCCTCTGCATGAAGGATGATAACCACACTTGGCAGGACCATGTATCCCCCACAACCACCCCATTGCCCCAGTCATGCACTGGATCTGTGGTGGGTCAAGCTAGGGAGGAAGAGGATGGTTGGTGAACTAAGGCAGAGCACGCAGGGGACGGCCTGAAATTGGAATATCCTAAAGGACTTCTATAGGATTCATCAAAGGTCATCGGGGGCACTTGGATCAAGAGTCCCAGAGAGTCTCACTGTGGCTGAGAGTTTAGCAAGATGTAGATGTTATTATGGCCAAGGAGAGGGGCTGGAGGAAGACAGAGCTGCTCATGTTTTAATATAGATGCCACCAAACTCCAAGCAAACTCTTTCTGTGCTGGCATTTCAGGGGTTACACTCTTTTGTGGTGAGCCACATATTTGATGAAATATGGCCATTTCTGGGGTCCCTCTGACCTGCCTTTGCAATTTGACTTGCAGAAAATACGTATGAAGTCCATGTCCTCACTGGGACTGTGTGGGGGGCTGGGACAGATGCTAATGTCTTCCTGAGCATCTATGGCATGGAAAGAGGAGACACGGGTGAGCGCCAGCTGAAAAGGTCAAATAATCTCAACAAGTTTGAGAAAGGACAGGTAATGCATGAACTCCGCTCACTCAAGAGAGACGGAGACTGGCAGAGTTCTCTTGCTTGACGTGCTGGCCATTCAATACAGTTTCTTCTCACTTCTCTCAAATGTATTTTATTTCTGAAATATATAAAGCAAAATGCCTCAAAACATTTTCCAGGGGAGATTCATTTGAATAATAACCTGAACACAAATTCCATGTTGGAGCCACTTTCTGTGTCTGCTTTGTGTAAGTGTTCTGGTAATAATGCTTCCTTTCAGGAACATTTAAAACTTACAAACTTTAAATTAATATTGGAGAGTATTTTTGGGGAAGTTCAAGCATGTAGATATTTAGATGCAAAAACTATTCTAAATGTTCTACTCAACCAGCCAGGGAATAAAAGCAATATTACAGAGTGTGCTGTAATTACGTTATAATCCAATCCAATTAAAGATGATCTCTTGTATGTTGAGTATTTGATATAAAAAGTTTATGAACAATTAACAAAAATCTACTGTTATAGCCAGGAGTTTTTCAAGGAATAATTCTGAAGAACAAAAAAATTATAGAAACAAAAAGCAGCTGTGGAAAACTTACAATCACAAAAAAAAAAAACCAAAAAAAAAAAAAAAAAAAAAAAAAAAGAGTCCTCAGGTTGTTAAATAAGTTGTGAGCTGTGATTTATGAGCTTGGCACTGGTGAAACTGCAACCTGCACATGGTTCTTCATTCAGTGGGAAGAGCGCCAAGCTGCAAATGTAATGCTCCTTACTCTTGGGAGTACAAACCCAAAGTCTACCAACATATTAATCACATTAAGATGTTTAAACTGTTATGATACCAAAGACCATCCTGTCACACTAACACAGTTAATAAATGATCCTCTTGGTTGTGGTAAATGACAAAAGGAAGAAATTCTGAAATATTTGAAATAAAGCATAAGGGCTGTATTTTGAGGCTGTCTTGTGCAGAGCCAGGAGTTGGACTCAGTGATCCTTGTGAATCACTTCCAACTCTGGATATTCTAAGATTCTACACAGACATGTGCAGGAGAATTTCCATGGAGTCAACATGTTTTTTGTCTGGTTCCAGATTCAATCTGTGGGAAAATACAAAGCCTGAAAGGAATTATATTTAGCAGAGAGGATTTAAACTTAAACTGAAACTGGGATGAGGTAAAGAGAGGAGTGAAGAGGGGAGCAGCTCCAGGGCTGTTACTGCCTTGTAGGAGCCAAACATGAGTGTTAATGGGAGACCCCAGAGCTCTGTAGTTATTTTTGCACCCACACAAAGAGTACAAAGAGAACTTACAAATAACTATGTTTTAATGATGAAAAAGATTACCCTTGGCCATTTACTGCCTTTGCTTCTTTCCTGGAAACACAGCCATTTGCCTTTTGCCTCCTGTGCAGGTAGACGTGTTCACCATCAAAGCCATTGACCTGGGTGAGCTGAAGAAGCTGCGGATCCGCCATGATAACTCTGGTGCTAGCCCCAGCTGGTTCCTGGAGAGGGTAGAGATTATTGACCTCAAAGAGAGCACCACGTGAGGAGCCTGTTGTGCCCTTTTCACATGGTCAGGAAAGGGGCCATGTTCTCAAGAGCCTGCAGAGCCATGGGGGAGCAGAGGAGATGCAGGAGGGGATTGTTGCAGCTCCTCACCAGCTTGCAGGGAATGGCCATCCTTTGGGAGCCTTGTGGTCACTGTGCCATGATACAGAGCGTGGGGCCATCCTGATGTATGGGGGTTGCTGTCCCAGCACCTCTGTAATTTGGGAACCAGCAGTGTTTGGAAGGCAGCCTCAGGTTTTTTCTCTTTCTCCGGGGATGAGCTCATCTCTCCCTCCTGGAGCAGAAGCTGCACTCAAGCATTTAGTTTCCCTCACTTTGGAAGTCTCTGAGCTCATGTTTTATTTGCCCTTTCTACTTAATGCAAAGATCTGGGCCAAAAGCAAATTCTGATGTGAGCAAACTCTCATGATTTCCACAGACAGCTGGATGAGCAAAGAATGGGCTGTTCAAAACCTGAAATATATGTTTGCCTTTGAGCTGGAACTTGCTGGAAATCACATGCTTAAAAGTAGCACAATGCTCTGACGGGTGGGGCCACTCTTAAGGATAAAATGGGTTCAGTCTTCATACACGAAATGCCTGGTAGACTGGAAGTCCTTGAAGTTACTGAGCTCTTTCTGGGAGTGAAATTAAAATGAATCAACCATGTGGGGCTGGCAGCCCAGCAACAGTACTTAGCAGGACGTGCTCCCTAAGCTATTTATGGATTTAGCTCCCGCAACACCAGATCTCAAGAATGAAAACAGATGTACTGATCAGCTTTGAGTAATCTTGTTGGTTTTTTTGTTTCTTTTCTTCAAGTAACCTCTGATCTGTGCTTGTTTGTGTTATTAAAGCCTGTGAAGTCCTGTGCAAGCACCAGGTGCTGCTGTCATTTTGTAGGTATTACTTTCCGTGCCAGCGGTGGTTGGCAGTCGAAGAAGATGACGGTCAGATTGCCAGGGAGCTGGTCCCAGTGGATGAAGCATTTGTAAAGAAAGATTCAGAAAATGATGGCCAGTCTCCTGCAACTTTGGGTCTGGAACAGAAAGGTATATGCTGGCCTTGAATTTCTTCCAGTGTGGGGTTGGAAAGGAACCAGGTTGTTAATGCTGTTGAGGGCATTAGCAGTCAGCAGTAGCAGTTACTGTGCTGTAATTTTGCCCCAAAATGAAATTTTCAGGTGTGAATGAAGTGTCAAGTGTGTGTTAGACTGTGAGAAGTGGACCTTCCTCATTTTTAGTGGATTTAATCATCTTGCACTGAAATGCATATTGGTTGCTAATATATAAGGAGTAAATCTCATTCATTTCACATCATGGACAGTAATGGTTAAGTGTTCCAACATGAAACTGAGCAGAAAGAAAACACACCCAGAGAAAGAGAAGGGACCTAAATTAGTTTCACTTTCCATCTTGTTGCTTGTGTCTATTGTCCTCCAAAATAATTTTGCCTCACTTGTAAATAAATTTGCATGGTAACCACTGAGCAGTGACGCACTTCTGGGTTACTGGGACCCAGGTGCTGAGTGCCCAACCATTTTCACTGGTTTCTTTTAGAAAGATATGTCTAACTGGAGAGGAAATACTCATTTTTGAAATCTTGAGCTTATAGCAGCTCCATAAAGACCATATTAGACTTTTCCATGAGCTTTTTTCATGAGTTTACTGCACTTGCTAGATGATGGTGCTGTAGAAACATCCCTCCTGATGTCGTTCTGAAAGGTGTGCTTATGATAATGAACGGTATATGTCAGTGTATACATTTTCTGGTATGTCTTATATGCACATGTATTATTTGATGCCAGTGAAATAAAGGGGTGGGGGGTATGTGGATTTTTAAAATGAAATGTTGCAGTCAGAGGCAGCTTTGAGAAGGGTTAGAGGTTCCCAGGAAGCAAATGGGAAGGTTTGAGCACATTTCTTATCTGTAGATATGCAAGCAATGTGCTGAGTGACTGGAGCAGTAGAAGATTCTGCAACCAGATAACCCAGTTCACCTCAGGGGCTACCAGAGCATAGGATAGGCATTAGAGATTGCAGCATGGCTGTGATCAGTCAAAACAAAACTCATACCAAGCACACATTTATGCCAGGAAGAGTAGAGTTAACCTCTGGTCAGATGTCACACTCTTAAATTAAGATATTTTATCTGACAGCTAAATCAACAACATACACTGTGAAAGTGAAAACAGGGGACAAGAAGAATGCTGGGACAGATGCCAACGTTTTCATCATACTCTATGGAAGTAAAGACGATACAGGTATGACTTCAAATTATGGAAAAGGAAAGCAACTCCCTGTTTGACACCTGAAAAGACAGGACATGGTTTCTTGTAATTTTCCCAATACTCATTTCTCACTCTTTTTAGTGCGACTTCATGTTCTCGCAGTTGGTGCACACATCATGGTAACTTGGAGCATGGCACCAGCTGCTGTAAATCATTGCCAAGCTTTGCAATGGTGATTCGTACCAGCTGCTGGTCTAAAGCTTTTAATTTCAATTATAGAAACAGCACAGTTGACTGGGACTACATTATTGAGCAGTGAATGCACTGGATGATTTGCTTTCCTCAGCAATGAATCAGCATGCTCCTGAAACCCAACCCTCCTCTGCCTCTTTGAGTGGCCCAGAAGTATTTAATCAGCTGATGAGCAAATCCTCTTGGAAGCAGCTGAGCTATGTGTGCAGTGGCTGGGACGCCTGTGAGAGTGACAGGGAACTGATGGGTAGCACTGATTTCTTTAGCTGAGAGCATAGCACGACAACATCTTCCCTGTTGCACTGCCAGGGAATCATTCAAGGGAGGAATTCTGTATATTTTGGGTGTTGATACCGACTTGGGCTCAGACGGAGGGACAAAGCTCAGATCTTGAGATGAAAAGCCAGTTTTTGCATTTTAGCCACTTCCCTCATTCCACTGTTGACATTCCCAGAGGATTTGTTTCACATGCTGAAAAATGTCCTTTTGCATCGCCACAACAGGGATAGTCAGCCTAAAGGCCTCAAAGAGTAACAAGAACAAATTTGAGCGTGGGAAGGTAGATGAGTTTACAGTGGAGTCTGTGGACATTGGAGACCTGAAAAAAATCAAGATAGGCCATGACAATAAAGGTAAGATAATCTGCTCTGTAATGCAGTGTTTCTAGTGCACTGGGTGTGTTGCTGTATAAAATAATCTGCCTCCAGTACCTCAAACGTAATTTAGCTTTTGGTGACAGATCCTTGCTGTCACTGTGCTGCTACTATCTATGCTGCTGATTGCATTCCCGTGTGACACTAGGAGCTCAGTGGTGCCAACTTGCTTTGCATCCTCTCCCTCTGCAAGAGTCCTTATGGTTCTACAGCCACATCTTTAGCGAGATTTCACAGGTACCACCAAACCTCATATTTGTTTTTATTGCGTGTGACCCATAGACTTGTTTCACTTCTTCACTAAGTTTTTGGTGGTATTTTGATCATCAAGTCTTGGCTGATTTTTAGACAGAATTCTGTGTATCTGCTACAAACAAGGGAGGCAGTGGAGCTATGAATGGATCTCTTCCCCTATGGGTCATTAAGTGACAAGTTTGTTGCTAACTGCTCTGTACTATTACAGAGGCCAATTGAAAGTGATGCAGCAATTAGCATTTCCATGTGCACATCTTTAGCCTGACACTTACAGAAATGTGAAGCATTTTACCTCAGTCCTGGAGAACTGCATCCAATGCTCTTTATGCCATATATTCTGCATTACCTTTGGCAAAAGACTGAAAGATTTGTTTCTCAGAGGTCTGGCGTGCAATGATTCATTTGCTGCTGTCTGCAAAGGCTTCGTGAGTTATTCACTGTTATCTTTCCACCACAGGTAATTCAACTGGCTGGTTCCTGGAATGGGTGGAGATTGATGCCCCATCCGTGGGACAGTGTCTCAAGTTTCCTTGTGGCCGCTGGCTGGATAAATCGGAGGATGATGGAGCTGTTGAGAGAATTATATTCCCTGCAGAACTGCAGACAATAGAGTATATCCCATGTGAGCAGAATGCCATTTCCCCAGGATACCCCCATCATTACAGAAGATAAAATCTTACTATCTCATGCAGTTTTATAGGTTTCACCTCTCCCTTGAACTGGCTTTGGGAAATTTAAAAGTACATCACATGCCAAGTATTCAAATTACTACAAGAAAGTTCCACTGAGTGCTCTAGATTAACATTACTGCATTTGCCAAATCAGAGAATCATTAGGAGTCATGTGGATGTGGATGATTGTCTTTTTCTTCTTATTTCCCCATCCCCTCCAAGTCCTCTGCTCATTTCAAGCTGTCTTTCTTGTCTCGTTTCCCTTTGATCTTGCTGCATTCCAATATTGCCATTTCTGGTACCAAAGCAGACATTCTGGTCTCACTTCCAAGTCTTAGTTTTTCCAGTGCCTTTGGTTTTGCACACTCTTGCTAAAAGACCTTCTTCCAGAGTTTCCAGTGTGGTGCTTTTCTAGAAGTGTTGTACCAGTCTGCCTCTTTTGCTGTCCTCCAATTTTTCCTTACTCTTCACTCCTCTCCAAATTAATGTTTTGGGTAAACATTACCCCTACTCAGCTCCTTCTGAGTACAAGCTCAAGTCTCTTATGGCAACTCAAACTCTTTCATTCTGGAAACTTCTTTTCCTGTTTGCAGAATACTGAGGATCAGATACTAAGGTTTTGTTGAAATAAATGAAATATTTTGCTTACTTTTTAGCCCTCTCCCTTCTCATGCTCCCCTTTCTTAAGGATCTTTGACAGTGTGCAGAGTAGGGCCCTGGCACTGTATTTGACTTGTCCCTCTCTGATGTGCTTTATTTCAAGTGGTTGATGAATTTTGCTCACTGTTAGGGCACTGTCAGAACTGCCTTTTCCTTACATTGGGTTAGATGCCACAATGATGAGGGATGAGGTCTGACACCTGGGAGTTGATTTTCTGACAGTTTCCTCCTGGGTCATTCATAAGAAGCACTAAAAAATTTCACGCTGAGGCTGTCTCATCTCTCATCCCCAGTGTGTACACTGAAGGTATCAAAAGCCTTGTGGCCTGCAGTTCTTTATTTAGATATCAAAATGTAGAGCTGCCCAAACTCACTTTCTCTGCCTCAATTTCCTTCTTCACAAGTAGTTGTGAGAATAACCACATGGAAGGCCATCAGCTGTTTTGCCGCCTCCTTTTTTATTCTGGAGACAGAGGTTCATGTTGAAGGTCCCTCCTGTGTTCAGATCCCCATTCCCTGCAGTCTGTAAGCTGAAATAATTTCTTCTCTGAGGATCTGCCATTGTCATGTCTTTGTGCTTCACCCATTCTTTGACCAAGGTATTTTTATTTTTCACATCTAACCTTCTGTATCCAATCTCTGTGGAGCAAAAGAAAGGATTCTCTTTGCTCCCTTCTGCATTTTTGTCAGTCCAATGGAAGGAAAAGTAGATTCACTTTTCCTGAAAGAACTGAAAGGGACCTTAAACCTCATACAGTGCCACCCCCTGCCATGGGTAGGGACATCTTCCACTATGCCAGGGTGCTCTAAGCCCCATCCAGCCTGGCCTTGGACACTTCCAGGGATCCAGGGCCAGCCACAGCTTCTCTGGGCACCCTGTGCCAGGGCCTGCCCACCCTCCCAGACAGAAATTCCTTCCCAATATCCCATCTGTCCCTGCCCTCTGGCAGTGGAACCCATTCCCTGTGTCCTGTCCCTTCCTGCCTTGTCCCCAGTCCCTCTGCAGCTCTCCTGGAGCCCTTTCAGGCCCTGGCAGGGGCTCTGAGCTCTCCCTGGAGCCTTCTCTTGTGCAGGTGAACAGCCCCAGCTCTGCCAGGCTGGCTCCAGACCTCAAGCTCTTGGAGCATCTCCATGGTCTCCTCTGGACTGTCTCCAGCAGCTCCATGTCCCCTTTAAGCTGAGGATCCCAGAGTTGGATGAAGTATTCCATGTCTTTCTGTGTCTGAAAAAATAAATTGATTAATAGTTGCAGTGATACCTTTTATAGGATTGAATATAACCCAGAGACTCAACACATGCTTCTGGTCTGTTTTTTCCATGTTATTCCAATCAATATATATTTTGATGCAGATGTTGACTATATAATTTATTAATACTTCTGAATATTTTAATGATGTAGGAGCTTCTGGCATGCTCTGCCTTTGAGCACATAGTTCATGTTATACTGATTTTTGTCAGCAGTCCACATCCAGCCTTTGGAAACAGTCAGGTCTCTCTGGCAAATATTTTGCACCAGGCCTGCTGTCAGCTTAGGCTTTTTCACCATTTGAACCATCCCCACTGCGCTGTTTACGACATTCCGGTTTCCTAGCAATTAACCTGTGGGTTCCAGTTTGCCAGAGGTAACTAAACTGGCTTGATTTGTTTTATGATCACTCGTGCCAGAATTGTTTCATGATGAAAACATGTCATCCATAGTCCAATTAAAATCATCCCTGTGGGGATACAGCTTTAAAAGTGCCATGTAAATGAAATGGGCATCTGACAGCTGAAAGTTGTGCTGTTGATGACCTTGTTAGGGTGCTGCTTTGCTGATTCAGTTCTAAGCTGATGTTAATATTCAAGCAACAAGAGCAAGTGCTACAGCCTTCAGCAAGAGAGGATAATTTTTAATTCATAATGCATAGTGTGTGATTTTTGGTATGCAGGATTCTCCCTCCACCTCCCCACACCTAACCGCTCCTCCCCCCCTCCTCCCCCCCCACCTTCTTACATTCTAGGGAAACTATTCCAGTTTACTTGCAGCACAGCAGAGCAGATTTCACTGGCTTGGGCAGGAAGAATATTGAGTATCTCCAGACCGACTTTCTGTGGAAGAAAACTTCTTTATCTGTGGCCTCCTGAGAGCTGTATTTAGAGAGCCTAAGATTTTTATGAATCATTAGTCTCTTACATGGATAATCAGAGTTACTCCAACAGTAATAGAGGTGGTGCTGGGAGCCTTTTCTCTACCCTAACAGGGATGCTGAGTCTGAAACATAGTGTATGCTGCTATAATGTAATGATCAAAAACTACTGAAGATGTGGCAGAGTAGTAGGGTGAGAATGACAAACAGCTGACAAGATAGTAGTGAGGGATGGGAAAGGATGGAGGATTTTTAGGGATGCATGAGAGAGGGATGGGCAGGAGCATATCGTGGCAGTGGCAGAATTGTGTTGAAGGCTGTGCTTATGGGTAGTGGGACTGTGGGAAAGTGTCTTCCTGAGGCAGGAGAGGTCTCTGCAGAGCTGTTCAGTGATGCCCAGGTCTTACCTGGTGTTTTGATTTCAGAAAGGATTTAAAGGACTTTGGGACAGGATACTGTTTGCCAGATTGCACACCTAACATCACATGTGCTCATGGCAATGGAGTGTCTGAATTGCCATCATGGTAATTTGGTCATTCACAGGCTGGATTTGGGGAGTGATTAGCAAGAAAATGCCTTCATTCCTTGATAAAGTGTTTCTTTAGACTGTACTGACTTTATTGATTACATCTGGAGATGCACACACTTGTCTGATGAACAGGCATCTAAACCTATGTTTCTTACTACATGAGCTGAACAAAATCTCACCTTGAAAACTGAGGATATCTTCAGCAAATCCATAGCAGGGCCAGGAACAGGGCCCCTGTTACCACATTCCTTATTCTTGAGCAAGTCTGAGTCATGCTCCAGCAGGACTCAGGACTGAGAAGCCATGAAGGTAGAATAGAACAAAAGGAGGCATCAGATTTTGGGGTCATGGGACATTCTGGAGAAACCACAGGAAAAGACTAGGGGAGTATTTATGGTCTTGAACATTACTGTTCTGCATTCACATGACTCTGGGTTGTAATTTAACCTGTTTGCCTCAGTGTTTCAGGGGAGGTGGTACCAAGCGAAAAATGGAACAGATAAATTATTAACTTCCTTATGATGGATTTTTGTCATCTGTTTAGTGATAGAAATATTAGGACTTTTTTATAAATAAGACTATCTTGAATATTTTTCACTGCCTCCATCTTCCTAAATGTTGAAAAATTTGCAAATTCATGTTTTGCTTTAACTCTTGAGCTGTTATTTCAGTAACTTTGGATGGCAAGTATACTGAATGTCATATGATTAACCTAAAAACTTAGTACAGCTCATATCAACTCATATCAAGGTCAATTTACTTTATAAAGAAAAGGAATTTCCTTATGAAAGGAAATTCCCCTTGGATTCCCATAGGACTGACCAACTTGATAATCTAACTGACCACAAGTGTGTGATTGCTGTCCTCTCCTCTTTCACTGTTGAGATTTATAACCCATTTTTTGTTTCACTATTTTTTTTGTTAGTTACATTGCTATGCTGGCTCCTAACTCCTTTTGGCTTGTTTCTGTTTTCTGTCATTTCCTAAACCAGTTGTTCCTTACGAGATCACAGTGTACACCAGTGATATTTTTGGAGCTGGCACAGATGCAGATGTCTTCATTGTTCTCTATGGAAGTGATGGGATTTGCACTCAGCAAAAATCCCTGTGCCTCAACAAGAGAGAGCAAAGGATGTATTTTGAAAGGAATTCAGTGAATCAGTTCATCGTGGAGGTAAGATTGAAGCATGGGGAGCACTGGGGAGCATGCAATGGTCAGGAATAGACACCCTCAGTCCTCTCTATTCTTGTACTGTGAAACCATCAAATTTATCTAAGCAACAGAAAATGCTTTAATAACGCCTGAGATGAGTTTTGGAAAGGTGTGGGAGGTCACAAAATGAGGAAGGTCATATCAACCTCTGCCCTTCCCTCCTCTTCATTACCTGCATTGGCATCAAGGATTTGTTTCCAGGCTCAGGAAGGGCCAGAGGTCATTTCTAAAATGACAGTGAGAGTGGAAATCCTGACCAGGGTGTGCCACCACTGCTCTGCTCCTCACTGGTCTCACCCAGCTCAGTCACTGCTGCTCTGCTCTGGGCTGGAGCAGCCTCACTTTGAGTGCTGAGGGCACTTTTGGGTGCCACAGCATAAAAAAAGACATTAAACTATTAGGGAGCATCCAAAGAAAGCCACAAGGATGGTGATGGGCCTTGAGGTGAAGCTGTGTGAGGAGCATTGGGTCTGCTCAGCTGGAGAAGAGGAGACCGAGAGGAGACTCCACCGCAATTCCAACTTCCTCAGAAGTTGGAATTGTGGTGGAGGGGCAGAAGTTGGAAGAGGAGGGGCAGACACTGATCTCTGCACTTTCATGGGCAGACAGGACTTGAAGAAACAGCATGGAGGGAAGGTTTAGGTGGGATATCAGGGAAAGGTTTTTCCCCCAGAGGGTGCCGGGCACTGCCCAGGCTCCCCACGGAATGAGCATATTCTCAAGGCTGCCAGGACTCCAGGAGTGTTTGGACAGCGCTGCCAGGGATGCCCAGAGTGGGATTGTTGGGGTGTCTGTGCAGGGACAGAAGCTGGGCTCTGATCCTTGAGGGTCCCTTCCAGCTCCAGGGTGTTCTGTGATTTTGTGATTCTCTTGCAGTTTGCAATACTTAGAAGCATAGTGATTTTTCTTCTGTATCCTCAGACAAAGAAACCATTTCTTTGCTGTAGACAATGTGATTTTTGAATACCCAGGCTAACTTTTTGAAAGATCTTACCAAGTATTTCCTGAAGTGTTTGCACAACTGTATGCAAACAATAAACCAGTGCACATCAAATAGAAGGCTCATTTGCATCCAGAGTATTAAGCAATTCCTATTTACAGTATATTCCTATTTCTGAGAACTTTTAAGAGGCAAAAAATACAGGCAGACCTGCTCTGGATTATCCTGTTGATGCTGCTCCATGCCCTTCCCTTCCCTTCTTGGCTACACCACCACCACTGACTTCATAGAGGATCTTACAGTTTCTCTCTGTTTTGAGTCTGGTTTTGTTTTTGTAATTGAAGAGAAATTTTAAACCAATTCTTAAAATACTTGCATCCCACATTGTTGTTATATGTCATGAATCATAAAATAAATCCCCAGTGTGATTCCTTTAAAACAAAGAATAAAACTTATTTCTGTGGAATATCCACACAATTTTTCAGAGTAGAGGTTGCATTAATCCACAGGTACAAATCTTAAACTGAGTGTTCTGGTAAAGTCTTTCTTACATAAGATTTATTTCAATTTTAGTGAAATCTGAAACATCACTACTTTTCTTAGATTAAGTGAAAGAAAATGCAGTGTGTTCTGCTGATTTATAACATCATATTAACCTGTCCCCAAACTTCATTCTCACTTCACCAGTTCCTCTTTCTGCAGGAGATGGGAACAAAGCAAAATATATTTTTCTTTCACCTGCTTCTGCAGAGCCATAATTTGGAGTGCAACAGACCCTGAAAACAATTTGGGGGGTTTCAGAAAACACAAACTGGGAATTGTCTGTTCTCTTTGTGGTTTTACCTCCCTCTATAATTTTGTATTTTTCAAAAGAGGCACAAAAGATTAGAGATTGCTCCTAGCTGTGCTTCCAAGTGATTATTTGCTGGAGATGCCTTGAGCAGGGTAAAGCCCACTTCTTCTTTAACATGGATCTTGACTGCTCAAGCATAATTTTATTGCTACGTATTGATTAAAAGTCTCATTGAAAGATGAGTATTTGGACAGGACAAAAGAGGAAAAATAATTTTTTCCCTAATGTATACTTGTGTGCATGTGTGTGAGTTTTAGAAATGAGTTTGGATTGTTTAGTTATTTTGTGGTGAATCTTATGCAACTCAGTGTTCTACTTGCAAAAGTTTGAAGCCAGCCTTAGGTGTTTGAAGGCCAGCTCCACAAAAGTTTGCACCAGAATAACCAAAAGCTAATACTTAGGAGCAAATTTCAGTTTTTCCTGTTCAAGCCTTTGAAAGGGAAGTGAATTAAAAGTAATGCACTAGCAACAAATTACTCAATTAATCAGGCGAGGCATAAAAACCCAGTAGCAACTTCTTAAGGCAGTCATCCTGTTGGCTTTCTCAGAATGGCATTGGGATTCTATGGCAGAAGAGGAGAGATAATATAAAATGCCAGGCTGTTTGTATAGTATTTTTATTCTTTCAGTATTAAGAGAGTGTACACAAGTGTTTAAAAATGAAATTGATTTTAAAAGAGCAATTTAAAATGCAGCTGCATTGCAGTTTCATAGAATCACAGAATCAGTTAGGCTGGAAAAGACTTCTGAGATCATTGAGTCGAGCCTGTGACTGCTCCCCACCTTGTCACCAGACCAAAGCACTGCGGACCACATCCAGTCACTCCTTGAATACCTTCAGGGACAGTGGCTATACCACCTCCCTGGGCAGCTCATTTCAATGTCTGATCATCCTTTCTGTGACTAATTTCTTCCTAATGTCCAAACTAAACCTCCCCACAGCCTAGGACTGTGTCCTCCTCCTGTCCCTGTTCCCTGGGAGCAGAGCCCGATGCCCCCAGCTGTTCCCTCCTGGCAGGGAGATGTGCAGAGCCACAAGGTCCCCCTGAGCTTCCTTTTCTCCAGGCTGAGCCCCTTTCCAGCTCCCTCAGCCCCTCCTGGGGCTCCAGCTCCCTTCCCCAGCTCCCTTCCCTGCCCTGGACATGCTCCAGCCCCTCCATGTCCGTCTTGAATTGAGGGATGCAGAACTGGATACAGCACTTCAGATGATGCCTCACCAGTGCCTCACAAGTGTAGGGAAATTTTTTAAACAATTGCCTTAATTCCCACTCATTCTTCTCATGCAGAGAAGCCTAAGGTGCAGGACTCTTGCTGTACAAGCAGACCTTTCTCATATAGAGGGCAATTTATACAGAGCAAGGTTCTCTCCATTTTGGAGCAGAAGTCCAGGAAAACCTTTAGCCAAAATGCAAATTAGGGCGTAACTCCAGAGGCGGCCACAGAGCTGCTGCCAGGGCTGGAGCCCCTCTGCTCTGGAGCCAGCCTGGCAGAGCTGGGGCTGTTCACCTGCACAAGAGAAGGCTCCAGGGAGAGCTCAGAGCCCCTGCCAGGGCCTAAAGTGGTCTTCCAAAACAGAGTGAAGGACTTTTTATATAAGCAGATAGTGACAGAATAAGGGGCAATGATATTAAACTGCCAAAAGGCAGGGTTAGATGGGATATTGGGAAGGAATTCTGCCCTGTGAGGGTTATGAAGCCCTGGCACAGGTTTTCCAGAGAAGCTGTGGTTGCTCCATCCCTGGAAGTGTTCAAGGACAGGGCTTGGAGCCCCCTGATCTAGTGGTCAAGTGAAAGGCATCCCTGCCCATGGCAGGAGGGTGGAATGGGCCGATCTTTGTGGTCCCTTTGAACCGAGACAATTCTAGGATTTCATTTTATGATTCTAGAATTGACATCAGCACTAATATTTTCTCCCCTGGGAGTTCAACAGCCTGGAAAAATATGAAATAAAGTAGAGAAGTGATGTCTCAAAGATCGCAACTTGTTCACACTATAATATTTCCCCTTTTAAAATTTTTTTTGTGTTCTGTTTGTTTGTCTTTGGTGTTTGTTTCTTTGTTTGCTTTTCTGTAGCTGGAGGACGTTGGTGACATTATTGAAAAGATTCGCATAGGACATAAGGGCGGAGGTCTGAACTCAGGGTGGCACTTGGACCGTGTGACAATTCGGAGGCTGCTGCCAAATGGGAAGGTAGGCTGTGAATCGCAGCACATCCCCAGGAGACGCCACTTCCATCTCTCAGATTGCATCTTCTGTGTACAAAGTGTGATTAACAGTGAAAAACGGCTGGTGCGCTAAAGTTGCTGGAGCCTGGGGATCTGGGTACAACAAATGTGTGTTATCATGTTTTGTTCTTGAAATGTTGATTATAAGGCTCTGCAATAATTACTTTTTTTAAAGCTTCGTGTGTTCATGTGTACTTTTGTTTTGAGGGATCATAGGGAAGGGAGTGGAAACTGGTGTACTATTTTAAAATTAAAAAGTATTGTTGCCAAACGTGGATTAGAAACAATTTTGTCAGTCTCATAATCCTGGAAGAAAAAAATGCAAGGAGCTAGTACAATTAAGGCATGTAAAATGCCTCTCTGTGCAACTCCCTGAATCATATTAAAAAGTCAAGATAGATGGTAGGAATTTTTGCTGTTCATGTGAACAAGATTAACACAGTACAATCAAATTCGTCACCTTGATCCTGTCCACGTAAGAAAGTGTCCCTCAGCTGTGCTCTCAGATGCTGGCTACAGCAATAGGGATGAATCTGGCTCTGAGGAAGTTCAAAAAAAAATCACCTCTTCAGGGCCAGATCAGAATTAAAGCAGTAGCTACATTGAAGACCTGGACTCTTTCTCTTATTCCAAAGGGATGTCAGCCTCTATTTCCCCTCAGGTCTGCCCACTCCTCAGGTGACTTCTGATACCAAGATCAAAAACAGCTTGTTCAGTCATGGTGAACCCACTTCTCACCTTGCTTCCTCCTTCAAAATTTACAGGATATGTTTTATTCTCTTTTCTACACAATCAACACACATGTCTTCTTCCTTCCTCCCATAGAACCCTCCTCACTATAGAATTGTTTCTGGGATTGTTTAGATTTGAAGAAGAACTGCGAGATCATCAAGTCCAACCATTCCCCCAGCACAGCCAAGGCCACCACTGACCCATGTCCCAAAGTGCCCCATCCACACAGTTTTTAAATCCCTCCAGGAATGGGGACTTCTCTACTGCCCTGGGCAGCTCTGCCAGGGCTGGACAATCCTTTCTGGGAAGAATTTTTTCCCAATATCCAGTTTAAATCTTTCCTGGTGCACCTTGGGGCTGTTTCCTCTCCTGCTGTCCCTTGTTCCCTAGGAGTAGAGCCCAACCTCCACCTGACCTACTGCCAAGGAGCTGTGCAGAGTGAGATGATCTCCCATTTCCGTCCTCCTGAATGAGCTTCTTCACAAGCCAATACCCTCAGCTTGCTCCTCATTATCATCTTTTTGCCAGTCTGACATTATCAGACTCTCAGTGTATGGCCTAACCCTTGCCTAGCTTCCTTGGGTTAATGAAACATTGTTTTCAGAGATATTGTTATTGGTCACAGGCTGGAGAAGATGAAGAGGAGGGCACCCAAATGTGTGGAAACCAAGGGAAAAGAGGTTCCTGGGCTGCCTTTTTCTGCACTGACCTTGAACTGAGCACTTTGAGAGGCCCATGAGAGCTCTGTCTTGGGTGCTCCTCAATTTGCTAAGAGAGGGTCTGGGGGCTGCACCCCCCCCTCAGTCACTGCAGCAGCTTTGAAGGGCGGGTGGGGAGGAACCTGAGGGTGGAGGAAGGGAGGAAAGCCCTGAACGACTTGGGAATGGAGAGATTTACAATTCTGCTGATCTTTTGATTATGGCATGGGAAAAAAAGTAGAAAGCAGAGCACTGCATGATGCCGCTGATCAGCCGCAGGATATTATGACTTGCCACAGGATAGCAATATGCTGCCAGCGCTTCTAAAAGCTGTGCTACCTGATTAGACTGCTAAGATGTGTCTAGATGTATCTGTAGAGCTGCAAAAGAAAAATGAGGTCAGTAACTTTTCAGATTAAATTGAAAGCACTTGGGTAGGAAACTAGGATTGTTGTGTGCTGAAAAAAATGCCTTGGCGTGCCAATTATATTTGATAATTATATTTCATTTGTTACAACTTGGAGAAGGGAAAAACACTGACTTTTAACACACTATCATACACTGCTTCTAGCTTAGGTCCAGACTCAGATTCTAACAAATTCTGTTCATGGCTGCAAGAGGATTTTACTATTGGTAATGTAAACCAGTGCACTTTACATCACTTAAATATAAATACAATCACTAACAGGGAAACCCCAATAAAAACTGTGGCAATGGCATGGTGATTATCAATAATGAGACAATTAAGTCTTGCAGTAAGTGCACATTATGCCCCACTGTGCTGTCACTCCAGTCCCTCGATATCTTATTACCAAATAAATATTGTTTGCATCAATGGCCCATACAGCCAGCAGTGTGAAATGTTCAGGGGCTGTTGAAAGCTTCAGTGAGAAATGCGACTGAAGTGGGATCTCTATCAGGAGGAGAGAGTTCCAGCACTGAAGCATCGTTCTGGAAAGCCCTCTCTTCCCAGCCTGCAGGTGTGGAGATAAGCACTGTTCATCAGCTCAGTGTACAGTGAGATAATACAGGTTAAGTGGTCAGACAGTCAGAGCAGAAATGAGGAAGCAGGAATTATTAGGTGCTGTATGCTGCTTGTATAGCATAAATAACACTTGAAAGTAAAAGATGTGAAATCACCTGAAGTTCTGCTGGTTTATTTTGACACCATTTTGTATGCCAAGCTCAAATCTCCTCCTGGAGTTAAATATCTCTGTCTGGGGTTAAACAGCAGAGCTGCAGGGAGCAGCAGAGGGGAGGAGAATTGGTATTTCATTAACAGCAGAAGATTTGGGCTGTGTGTACTCCAAGTGTGATTCTGCTGCAGGTTCGAAACATGCTGTCACACAAGCCCCTTGTTGGGGCTCTGCTCCCACAGACCAGCTTCCCTGGGATCTTTGGGTGGTGACACTGTGGCCTGTTCATTCCAGGTTACTGTGATCAGAGTGCTCATCTGCTCTTGGGTGCACAGATTATTCCTCCCCTGTGGTGGTGTCAGGGAGGGCAGGATCTGCAGTTTCAGGCTGTAATATACAGTCACAACAATGTTCAAGAGTTCTACAGTGAGATCTATTCCCTTCCCTTACCATGTATTAATATTTAACATTTAAATAGCAAAAGTAGCAATGAAAGGGCCCTGTATTGGCTTGATAAGTAACCACAGCAGAGTAATTAAGGTGGAAATTATTCATAAAGGGTGTTAACAGGAGGGCTGGTGAGGGACTTTGGACAAGGGGTGGAGGGACAGGACAAGAGGGAATGGCTTCAGATTGACAGAGGGCAGGGTATTACATATTAGAAAGAAATTCTTGGCTGTGAGAGTGGGGAGGCCCTGGCACAGGTTTCTCAGAGAAGCTGTGGCTGCTGCCCCTGGATCCCTGGGAGTGTCCAAGGCCAGGCTGGACAGGGCTTGGAGCACCCTGAGACCCTGAGATAGTGGAAGGTGCCCCTGCCACCCGTCTGGAATTCTGTTAACATCCATTGGTATATTATATATGAAAGTGATGCCACACGGTATGCTGGAAAGAGCAGGAAGCCCCTGTGAAGGGTAAGAGATAAATTATGAGTTTCAGTAAAGACAGGGCCTTTTATTTTCTGAATTTATTTACTGTGAGATTAAAACTAACTTCCTTTTTTTTTTTTTTTTTTTTTTTTTTTTTTTTTTTTTTTTTCTCTTCAGACTTGTGGCCTCTGTGTCTTGCATGGTGGCTCATGCTCCTCTCTTCATGGGGTCATAGCCTGGGATGCCCAGCACACAGAAAGCTCCCTGCATGTTATCATCTTGGAGGCCTTATGGGAGTCTGTTCTTAATGAATAGTCTGGGATTAATTTTGTTTACCAAGTGGAAAACACATGTTCTATTGGTTTTTTTTCTGTTTGATGATATAAATCATATTTGTTTCCACCAAAGTGAAGTCAAAACAAAAGATAAAAATTAAGTCATTATTTTTCTCCTGGTATTGCTTGTATGGGAATTGACTAGAACCCCTTGAGTCACAGAATTGTAGGCAAAATCATTAAGAAAAAAAAAAGAAAAAGAAAAAGCCCTACTGGCTTCAAAGAAAATGCTGCCTCAATTAGGGTTGAAGAGGAATTGCAGAGTCTCAGTAAAGTACAGCTTCAGCAGGAATGGTTCAGCGCTGATTAAGAATTTACGAGTTTTAATGCTGGGAAGGGCAGAGATCTGCTGGATCATACATCCACTCACACAAAACCACTGGGAATTCTGCTTACTTCTGCACGTTCAGTGCTTCTTCTGAGAGCCCTCAGACATCCTCTTTCTGGAGGAAGTACATTTCTGTGTACTATTTTAGGTCTGCCTCTACATGAGTTGAAAATCCTTGCCTGCATGTCAGAGTGTTTTCAAAGGGGAAAGGCTAGCATGTGTTCATGTTTTGAAGAGATTTCCTTGTCATATTTACTCCAGGGCTCAGAAACTGTCACATTTCCATGTGAAAGATGGCTTGCAAAATCTGAAGACGATGGCGAGACTGTCAGAGAACTGGTGCCATCTGATATTTTTACTGAAAAGCTCATGAAGGATGGGACACTCAAGCAGATAGAGGAAGAAGTTGAAGACCCTTTAGAAGGTAATATAATCCTAGGAGTAGGTAGGGATGATTTGTCTGATTTTTTGGATTAAGACATTTGGATGTGTGGTTCAGTGCCATGCTGGTACAACTGTTCACTTCCCTTTCCCTTCCTGTTCTGTACTTCTCTCACTCCTGGAGCACTTCTGTGCAAAAACAACATTATTTTCCTCTGGGGCTTTTAAGAACCTGTCACAGACACCCTTCCACACCCATAGTTTCCATATCTCCTCTGATTCCTAACAAAATTCTTACATCTTGTCTTCCAGGATGTGTTAACCTCTTCACTCATTTGCCCAACTTCACCTGTCCTGTGCACTCGGCCTCTTCCTTTCCAATCTTATGAGTCTAATTAATGCTTCTCTTTCCTCCCAAAATTTTTTTGCCTGCTGCCCTTCAGGTACACGTGTCCCTTCAGGACCCAGTTAAAACCTGGGTCATTGCAGCCACCTTCACCTCATTAAAGTACCTCCCAAGAGGAGAAAAAATTCTTATTCAGTTCTGAGTTTATCTTATAGGGTGGTGATGATGTTCGTTGTTTGCCATTGCTGGTAGCTGAAGCAAATGAAAAACAAATTTCACCCCTAAGTCATTGCTTCTCTGTATGCCCAGCTGCTTGTACCTCTTTTTCCTCTAGAAAAAGAATCTCCTTTTCTCACCTAGAGCTCATTATGTCCTTGAAAGAGGTCATGAATTTCCTCATCCTGAGCAGAGCAAGAGAAATTCAGCTGCCATGTTCATTCTTGGCTCTTGCATCTGGCAACAAGATGATTCAACTGAGAAAATAAGTTTTCTCACTGTTTCTTTTCTTTCAGAGCCTGACTTGCATTTATTGTAGAACAGTGTCAGGGTGGAATTAATGTGGGTTGTTTTGCACTGCCAAGGGAAGAGGTGCCTTGCTGGAAGGAGGACTTGTTTCCTCCTTCCTTGTGGCTTATGGGAGATTTCTTTTCCTGCAGAGGCAAAGACAACTTTAAAATCCATAATTAAGTGGTAAAACAGTGGCAAGTGAGGCCCGGAGAAGTGGTGAATGACCCATTCCTGGAAATATTTGAGCTCAGGTTGGATGAGGCTCTGATAAACCTTTTCCAGTGGAAGGTGTCACTACCCATGGCAGGTGGGTTGGACAAGGTGGCCTTTAAAGGTCTCTTCCAATACAAGCAAATTGATGATTCAACGGTTCTATGACATCTAGGTGCCTGCATGACATTTTCCTTAGCTTGTTAATTTCTGTTGCTTTACCTTAGATCATTTACCATTTGTTAATTAACCTAGGCGATTCACTTTTCCTTCTGAAGGCAAAGCCTTAAAACAAGTTTTACAATCTACGGAATAGAAATTTTTGATTATTGAAAATTTCTGGCGTGGAGCTAGGGCTAATTTTGGGAAATTCTGCTTTAGATATGAAATATCTGGGACAAGGATTAAATCTTCTGCATGTCTGTGAGTCCTCATACATCTTGGGCAGTGACACAGTGTAAATGACACTGATGGAAAATCATCTTGTGGTATTCTAAAGATCATATTTTTTTTTAAATAATACACTGTGTTTTAGACCTCAAGGTCTCTAGAACTAGCAAACAAAGGCCAAGGAGGGATGCATTGACTAATTAGACAATATACATTGCTTCCTTCATTACTAAAGTAGCAGCTGCCTCTCAAATATGGAGCTGTAACTCTGTAGGATATATGTGAGGAAGCAAACCAGAAAATCCAGCACTGCACACAGTCCTGGTGGATGTTCTCAGGTGATGACTCTGATCCATTTCTCCATTTCAAGAGAAATCTATGGAAATCTTTCATGGATGACAAAGCAGAATAGGATCTGTCTTATTGGAAAGAAGAAAAAGACAATATAGCAATTTTCTTCAACACTGTTAACGTACACAGAATCCTAATTTCGTGCCTCTTGCTCATTTGCATTGCCCTGGGATTTGCAGGAAGGCATTCTCCATGGCTCATATGGTACCAGGGTAATCAGAGACTTGTACAGACCCTCAGTGTTTTCCTGGAGAGGATGCTTTCAGTAACTGTTTTCCCCATATAATTGGGAGGAGAGTAGCAAAATAAAAATAAGAGTATTTAACAGGTTTAGTAAAGCACATTACTGAAGGCTTGATGAGTTTTTATTGCCTCATCATTGAGCAAGCTAAAGAGAGAGGGTACTTAAACAGCACATCTCCAAACCTTCCTTAATTAAATACTCTCTCAGCAAAAGGACCCAGAAACTTGTTCTCTGTCTGTATGGGTAATCTGTAGAGATGCATGCCATTAACTCCTGTAGTAATTGCACATCTGAATTCCCAGTCTTTGTTTATGGAAGATGGAGTATTAAGGATTCACAGCAGTGAATGGCTTGTTCTCACGTCTATGTCCCTCCAGCCTCTGTATGAAAAGGTGCTGAGTTCCCTCTCCTCTATCAGTTCCCATCCAGTAATGACCATAATGATTCTTTGAATTTTTAACCGTGAGCTGTGTGATCAAAGCAACACACAAGCATTGATTAGATGGAGAAAAGGAAAGTCAGCAAATGTCAGCCCAGGGACTCTCCAGTCTTTGGATTGGAAACCTCAAAGAAAAACCATATGGGATTTAATAACCCTACTAGTCACAAGCAGGAAACCTGGGGAACATTTTCTTAGGTAAATTCAGTACTTAAGATGGATCTTCATATTTCATCTGACCAGAAATCATCTCTATTTCTTTCTGCAGTTCACACGTACAAGATCAGCGTGTTCACTGGGGATATCTACGGTGCTGGGACAGATGCTAATGTCTTCCTAAATATCTATGGAGACCTGGGGGACATGGGAGAGAGAAAACTCAGCAAGTCAGAAACAAACTTCAACAAGTTTGAAAGGGGACAGGTACAAATGTGAAGGGTTAATGACACTTTCCGTTTCTCAGTCTTTAATCTGTCAAGTCAATGACTTCCTTTATAGGTTGAGTTTTCCTATGAGGGATGAATTGATTGATTCCATTTACCACATTCATTACCTCTTAAAATGCTTTGTATGGATTGTCAGCTGGGTATTACAACTGACAGGCACTGCAGCAAACAGGCAGATGTTCCTATGAAGTCACGGATGGACAAATTATGAGCTTGGTCATGGAAACTGGCTTGAGCTGTGAGCTGCAGATTCCCACAGTCCCTGTGCAACTGATTTGCATGTACATGTTGGAATTCACCATAAAACTTGTTAAATTGTTGGGACTTAATCTTCATCTCTATCTGGGAAAGTAACACCAAAAGTGATGTTCTGTGCTCATCCCATGTGTCACTTGGATATAATGGTGGCAAGGATTGATTTATCTGGATTGTTCATTGTCCTGGTTTAGGGCAAATTTGGGATAGAACCCCCCAAAAGGGTTCCTCTAGGAAGCAGATTCAATTGGCCCCTCTCCCTAACCGGTTCGGGAAAGATACCTCTTTGGAGAAAAGTGGAAAAAACTGTTTATTAGACAAGAAAACCTAAACAATATTAAACAATAAAACTTCTTGCCACTCCAAGAGAGGGACAAACTCAGAAACCCCCCGGGCTGCAGCTCGGCTCTCTCAGTCTCTGCTCAGCCCCTCCGGCAATGGAAATGCCACGGCCCAGGCCCGGCCCGCTGGGCCACGGGTGCTGCTGCTGCTGCTCTTCTGGGGTTCATCCAGAGCAGGTCCAGAGAAAGGGAAAAAAACACAGTCCAGGGAACTTCTTCGCCTCAGCTAGCTAAAACTAACTAGGAAAGCAACGGACAGCTCTGTCTCCCTGTCTGTCCATCCGCAGACAACACAGTCCAGCAGCAGGAATGTGGAGGAGGGAGTGCAGTTTCTGAAAACAAACTCCGCGCTTCTTCCCCCCCTCTTCACTCCTGGAACAAGTCTTAATGGTGTAAAACTTATTATTCAACATTAACAGGGCAGACAACTGGGGATAAAGGCATCATACAGTCAACCTAGGATGTTCATACAAATCTAACTGGATTAGAAAGGGAAGTATACTTAAAAATCACCCAGGATTTCAATATTCTAACTGGTTGTAAAAGTGGTGTTTCTTGCAGCTCCCCTCCTAGCAGAAGAAGGCTTTAAAACATTTCCCTGAAGAGCAGTTTTAGCTTACAGATATGCCTCTATAGACTTCTGCAAAGATTTTAGCCAAATGCCATCCAGCAATATGGAATTTAAACATATGTGTTCTGTAGCCTCCCTTTTTTGCCTTTTTCCAGTAGATTATCTGTTGAGAGTTTGTTAACAGAATCCGCTGCTCTTGAACACCCTGCAGGAGGACACGTTCACAATACAGGCTGTGGACCTTGGCATTTTATACAAGATCAAGATTCGCCATGACAATAGTATGTTCAGTCCTGACTGGTTTCTGGAAAAAGTTGAGATCCTGGATGAAACAACAGAGGAGTCATTCATTTTCCTGTGTGAGCGCTGGCTCTCTAAAAAGAAAGAGGACAAAAAGATAGAGCGGACACTTTATGAACAGGTACAGCTATGGCTCAAAGCAGATTCCACAGCTACTGATAAAAATAGAATTCTTGAGTATCTGGTTGAAGTCCAAGGCAGCTCATTAGGGACTCAGAGGGCTTTTGGCTTATCCAAAATGAATTTCTGATTTTCAGTTGAGAGCTGAAAGTAAGACCACTCTCAGCCCATTATCACTAGTTCTTTAATTTGCGATTTCAGCAGAAAAATCAAGGAGTGTAAGTGGAACCCTTCAGATGAGAGTTCACTACCTTGCTGATATACAACATTTCCCTGCTGGTGTTCTTGCTATGCCCACAAAGCAGGTTAGTAGTGGGTCCCACAATTCAAAGTCCTCCAACCAGAATATTGGGTCTTTTGATTTCATCATCACTTGGACTGGGTGTTTATTTCTTTTCAGATCCCTATTCCACCACTGCCTGACATAAAAGCCAGGTCTCTTTGCTATCACTCAAAGCACCAAACATTTTTTAGTGAAGTGTCGTTTCTACTTGCACACTCTCTACTGCTTATCAGCCTGGTGTAGCTAATTGGAATTCGAGGTACATGCTCTAATTAAAATTAGCAAACAAGATTAATAGACTTCTCTTACTTCTATACATAATAAACAGACATAAAAAAGCAGCTGATTATAAGTTCATTTTATTTAAGGAGTCCACTTTAAAAAGTACAGAGACACTTTAAGTGAGAGTTACCACTAAAATGATCATCAGTGGAATTGTCCTGGACTCATCCTGAATGCAGCAGAGCGGATGTAAGGGGAGTTACACCATGGATGAGTGTTGTCACGTGTTGCCTCATAAAACTGCAGCACACAACCCTATCAGTGCTTGTGGACAGGCTTACCCCATTGCTTATATCAATTCATAACAAGGAAAAACTAATCACTCTTTTTTTTTTTTTAAATTATTTGACAGTATGCCTCACACTGTCAATTAGCCTCACATTTATTTTTTGATAAAAATCTCGCATTTGTTGGACAATGACACCAAATGCATTGTCAGTAACTCTTCAAACACAATCAGTGTTTCACATCACTCAGGTTTGCAGTACCCTGCCACTTGTGAAACTTGACCTGTACCTAAGAAGCAGCCCTGGGAGAAGGACCTGGGGGAGCTGTGGGTCAGAGCTGGACCCACCCCAGCCTGAACCCCCCCGCCCTGGGCTGATCCCCCAGTGTGGGCAGCAGAGCAGGGGGGATTCTGCCCCTCTGCCCCTGTGCTCAGCTGAGACCCCACCTGCAGAGCTGCCCCAGCCCTGGCTCCAACAGCACAAGGACGTGGAGCTGCTGGAACCAGTCCAGAGGAGGCACTGAGGTGATCAGAGGGATGAGCAGCTCTGCTGAGAGAATTGGGATTGTTCAGCCTGAGAAGAGACACCTTTGGGGTGACTTAATTGTGTCTTTCCAGTATCTGAAGAGAGCTGACAAGAAAAATGGAGAGAGACAATTTAAAAGGGCCTGGAGTAATGGGATACAAGGGGTATGTGTTCAGATTGAAAGAAAGTAGGTTTAGACTTCATATTAGGAAAAAAAAATCTTCCTTGTGAGGGTGGGGAGGCCCTGGCACAGGGTGCCCAGAGAAGCTGTGGCTGTCCCTGGATCCCTGGCAGTGTCCAAGGACAGGCTGTCACTGTCCAGCCTGGGACAGTGGAAGGTGTCCCTGCCCATGAGGGGTTGGAACAAGATGACCTTTAAGGTCCCTTCTATGATTCTATGAGCTCTGGCACTGCTCAATTGATAGGAATTTCAAACAATCTCAGACAATTTCAGACAGGTAGCACAGAAAAGGTCACAGCTCACAAGATTCCTGTGTCTATTGTGTTTTCTTTTAATGTAACACACATTCAAAATGGCCTGCCAGGGTTACCAATGAAGTAAATGAAAGACCACCAGTACAATACAAGCCACATTTATCCAAGTTAATGCTGACCAAAAAGGTACCTGGGGGACTAGAAGCATTTCTTCTCATGTTGTTCTTGGAGGCACATGGGAACAGCTGACACCATGAGTACTCAGCCTCATTACTCTCCCAAACATGCCCCCCACCCAGAGCTACGACGGCGAGCGGAACAGCCTGGATGGCTCCTCTCTCAGTGTGTCCAGCCAGGAGAGCAATGCCAACCTGAAGGAGCCCAAAAAATCCAGCTTGGTCAAGGCGGCAGAGGAAGGCTCATGTGAGTGGTCGTGCCTGACTGTTTGGTTGCATGCATCCATGTGCTCCTGGCTGCCAGTGCTTAAGAGGCTGTGTTCATTTTTCTGCAGAGCAAGGAGAGGCAGAAAAAGAAATTATTTCTCCTTTCCTTGTGCTGTGACTGCTCTGGGAAAACCTGGATCAAGGCTTGTGATTCCATGTTTGCTGCTTTTCCTGCAGCTTTTTGACCTCAACAGTGGCACAGGTTCACAGAAAATTCAGTGTTTCCAAACTGTTTTTGACTTAATTGAGATGGTATTAAAGATGAAATATTATTTAATTAGAATTTAAAACTGAATTATTTTTAGAAGTTGTTAGGCTTCTTTTTTCTCACTACATGTAAGTGTGCATCACAGCAGCTGTCTTGTGGGTCTAGTGGAGGGTGTCCCTGCCCATGGCAGTGGGGCTGGAATGAGATGAACTTTAAGGATCCTTCCAATCTTGCTTTTCTATGATTTTTGTGATTCACAGACCCTTTTTATGACTACCTCTGTGTTCTGGGACAATGGCTTATCACCTAAATTGAACCTACAGTTCTTTGGTATACTACATGGGGACTTTTAGCTTTAGATTAAGATTTTACATGTGTGATTACAATACTGTGTTGTATTGACTAACTGAGCAGCAGATGCATCACAGTTATTGTCTGTCTGTGTGATTTTAATGCACAGCAAGTGCAAAATTATTAAATTTATCTTAAACTTCCATGGTAAGTGAAGTGAAAATTATGTCATTTCCTTAGGAGTTCAAGATAGCTCTACAGGGGGACTCACACAGAGCCCAGCGGTGGTCACAGGGATGGTTTGCAGTTCCTTTGATGCCCAGTCGCTTGAGGTGTGATACGTGGGTTGCATGTCCCACATTTTATTTGGAAGCTTATTTAATGCTGCACATTGCTATACCTGGCCTGCAACCCATGGGTCTTGGGGCAGCCCTTCTTTTGTAATCCCACATTGTGTTCAAATAAAAAGATAAGTGATTTCCATATTTCTTCTGATATTACTTCTGTGCTGTGACAATGGATAATATCTGCCACATTGGCATTCTGTGTAGTTTCACAAATAATGGGTAAAATACCATCATTTCCCATGAGAACTCTCTGGCAGAGTTAGGAGAGCAGTTCCCATCCTCCCCATTGTGCCAGGGTGGTCTTTTTTCTCTGAGTCCTGGAGCTTGTCATCACCACTATCTCTGCTCAGTGACATGGCCTCGTTAAGGAAACTGCTTCCTGAAGGAATGTCAGATTTCCTGAAGGAGTGTCAGATAAGATGGACTGGGTGAGCCAGGCAGCTACCTTCCACGTGGGATAAAAAGCCAGCTCAGCTGGTTCACTCGGGAAGTGATATTGGGAGTTGGCTGGGAAAGGGAGTGACTTTTATCACTCAGCCTGGTCTTGACTGTGCTGAGATCAAACTGGTAAATGTCTTTGAGGTGGAGGATGTAAAGATGGAGCTCAGGGAAAGGTTCTCTTGGCTAGGATGCTGCTTAGATCTGAACTGGGAACCTTCTCCCAGGGGGGAAGGCAGTCCTGGTGATGGCATGGATTGATCCCTAAGGAAACCCATGCTCCTGAGAGGGGAACATGTGGCCTCAAGCAGCCTAAACCCTGTGCTGGCTTTCAAGGACAAGGGGAGATGGGCTGGAGGACCTGTGGTGTCCTGCTGTGACCACCTGCTGTAGGTTTTGCTTTCTCCTGTGTTTGAAAAAAGGGAAATATGAGTCCTAGATAAAGAGGAGATCTCCTAAACATGACACCTCAATATATTCTTGTAAAATCTGCCTTGACTACCACTAAACCCTTTTCCTGCTAAATGCACCATTGTGCAGAAATACCCCTTGAAATGTAAATTACACCATAAATAGGAGAATAAATCTTGCCTAACTATCATCTAATTTTGTATTGGTACATAAAATCCTCAAACTGGGGCTGAATAAATCTTTTTAGGTTCTGGTCTGTCCAGAGGTAAGGACAGATTTGATCAGCATGAATTCATGCCATCTCTGATGTTGCACAAGTATTCTGAGTCTGATGTGAATTTCTAATACAAATCCCACCTCAAAAATGTTGTTAGTCATCATAAAGCAAAATTAGATGTCAATCTCGGGTAATTTGAAAACCAGCCAAATTTTTTTTTGTCAACTTATAAACTTTTTTATTTTTAATCAGAAAAGTGATGATGAAGCCAGGCTGCTTCGAGTCTGTGATGAAGCAAGTTTCAGAGCTCTGAGTCTTATCAGAACTGTTTGAACAGCCCTGCACAAATGTTCTGAGAAATCAAATGAGAATTCAGCAACCAATTCTGCACCACCTGCTTGGCTTACCCAAATGAGCTTTTGGAAAGCCCTTGAAAAACAGTCTGGCACTTCCTCCCTTTTAACAGCTGAACTGAAATTTCTGAAAACCACAGAAAAACCACCTCCTCTTTTACGCCTTGCCCTGAAGGCTTTTCCCCCAACCAAAATGATTATGCAATGCATAGAATTATTGAGTGACTTACCTTTAATACAAGGATTGTTATCTTCTGTCTGGATTTGTACAGGAATGCTGAAACCCTGAGCTGCCCCTCAGATCACAGCAATCCTTTAATGAGGCACAAAGGAGAGCATTTGTGGTTGTTCTGGGACATTCAGTTGGTGATGGCTTACCTTGGAGTCAGCACAGATTTATTTGTCTTTATTGAATGGGGAGTGTAAGACCACTTTGACCTAACAGCTGTTTAAGATTTAGGTGCTCATCTTCAGGAGGGTCTCTTGGTGTCAATAAGGATTCAAGCCTTTTGCTGTTCTGTCATGCATTAGGGAGAAATCTGGCTTATAATCTCCTTGAAGCCAGTAGGGTTGTCTGGGGAAATTAACCCTTGCAGAATTCAGTCCCAAGCACACAGTGGGAAAGTAGTCTCCAAAGCACACTTGTAGCCCAACAAAGCATGACGTTTTCCATTCGCCGAATTAATTTAATGGGATGTGAACCTATTTGTCATGCACAGCTGCTCCATCTGATGGGATGTGCCCCTGGTTTTCTCAAGTCTTGTACAAGTGCATATGTGTGTGGGTTTTCTGATGAACAAACCTCTCTTGGTCACAGTGATCCCGTACCACATCACCATCACGACAGGCACAGAGTATGACTCCAGCACCGACAGCCGTGTGTTCATTATCATTATGGGCCCGCAGAAAGTGCAGACTGAGAGGCTGTGGCTGGATCTCCCAGAAGGAAAGGATGAATTTGCAGATGGCTCCGTGGAGAAATTTTCAGTTTGGGGCCTAGATGTTGGAGAGATCAAAAAAGTGGAGGTATGTTGTAAACTCAGTGCAAGTGCTGGAGGCGTATGAAATGTGTGGCCAAATATGGCACATGGTTCTGTTATTCTTAGCAGTGCATGAAAGGCTCTTGGGTCTAAAAGGAATGTAAACAGGACTGTGCTGATGAGATTTTGCATGTGTCTGGACCTGTAAGTAAGTATGCTTTACTTCACACAAAACCAGGATCCTCATGAAGTGGAAGATATTTGTGAACTGTAAAGAAATTATGACATGTCTCAGTTTTGTCCCATCCCTGGCACTGCTTTTTCATACTCAGTCCCTGATACTGCCAGATTCAGTTAGGCTTCCCAGGATGCAGTTCTTCATTGGTCTTTTTCCTCGTTGTTTTTCACTACTTCTGGTAGGGTTTCATAAATTGTGAGAAACACATCTTGTATAATTTCCTAGCTGAACAGGAAAATTGTTTTCACAGTTTGGAGGATGCAGACTTATAGAAGAAAATTAATCATAATTTGTAAGTAATGTGCACAAATAGATTTCAGTACAGGAACCATTTTTTTCTGTTATGGCTCAGGGAGACACAATTTGCATAGACTTTCCATCACTGGGCTTAAACTTCACACGAACATTCCAGAGTGTTTGTGTACATCATTCTTGTTTCATATGGCAGTTCCACCTCCTTAAAGCTTGCTCCAGCTCCTCAAGTACTGAAGCCTATTTAATTTTGTTTTTACCACATCCCTTTGTGGAAGTAATCCTATCTGTCGATATGTGTGCCTGTATAATTGGAAAGAGACAAGAAAGAAAGAGAAATCCTAACTAGTAAGACAATTTTAGCATTTGTATGTCATGCTGTTGCAGCTTAGAGACTGTAACTCACTCTACCTTTCTCTCAAGCAATGCATTCTGACATCTTGAGAAATCTCCATATCAGATTTGAGTTTCTTATCAAGTCATTTTCTTAATGCACTCTCAATTATTATGTGTATTACTGGCACTTTCTGTCTAGCCCATCTTGAGGTCAAACTTTTATACTGAAGCTAGTGTATCAATCCTTCTCTTCTGGATTGTGCACACATAGAAACAGCCATGGTGGGACAGAGAGGGAGAAAAATAACAGTATCACCCCTCAGGGTCAGAGAGACAGGAAGGGTAGCTTGAAGAAAGAAAATAAAGGGGTGATGGAAAATATACAGTGAATAGGGTAGGGAATGGGTAGAAAATAGAAGAAAATATGAGAAGACACTTTGAAATAGGCAGAAGCAAGGCAAAAAATAATTTGAAAAGGAATACAAATGAGAAAGAAGACAAAAGGTTGCCAATAAAATGTAGAGAGCTAGAAAAAGAAAAAAACATATCTCTTTCAGGCTGGTGATGTTCTTCTGTACTCTTTCACCTCTGTACTCAGTGATCTCACCAGTCTGCTGCCTCACCCCTGGCTCCCTTTTCCCTTCTGGTTTGTAACTCCCCAGCCCGCAGCTGAAGGAGCCACCTGCTCCTGGCCTTCTGCCTTCCTTCATGCAGTGCCCTCAGCTTGGAAGGTCCCTTCTTTTGGACCCGTGTCCTAGCGATGACATTGATGTGCTAGTCTGCTGTGGTTGCCATGGCATCAGCCCGCATTTTCCGTATGGAAAATTGCAGTGTTCAGGGACATTGCAGAAAATTGCTAGTTATCTACTTGGGGAAAAGTGAGGAACAGTTAATTCTTGGATTTGGCATTTGTCTGTTTGTGTAGAAGGTGAAAAGTTCTGAATGCACGTTACCACATGAAATACCATAGTATGAGGTTTAAGTTTCCAGGAGCCCTCTGCATAACCCAGGCAACAGACTGTACCATTTAGCATGGTGGCGAGATTTGCAGTGTGATTCTACTTCTAGGCTGGTATTCTGCTCCTGCTACAAATGCACTCCACTGAGAGCAGAAACAGTGGAACATTAAGTAATTTGAAAGGGGCACATTTATTCATGTCTTACAAGCCTACACATATATTATTTACTACTGGTTGACTTTAATAGATACTCTGACATGAAAATAAATAACAAAAGTTATTCCGTGTAGACACTTTATACTGTGTTTTCTAAGTAATTTTGAATATTTCTTCTCCTAATGAATGAAAGTATCTCTGTTCCTAGGCTGTTGTTGATGCAGAGAGACACAGGTATGTCTAGGAGAGTCCTGCACTTGTTTGTTTTCATAAACCTCTTCTGGTTAAGAGCCTTTCTCTATCATGAACACAGAGGAAGATCAAGGGCACACAAATGTTGCAAATGCAACTCCAGTCCTTCAGTGACTAGGAACCTGATGCTCAGGTTTCTCTAGCATTCTCTGACTCTTCTTTCCACAAATATTCTCTCAGATTTTTCCTCTGCCACTGTGCTCAGTTTCTATGTGACCGTGAGTATAAATTGTGAATCTCAGTCTCAGTGATGTGCAGTCCCTCAACGACAGGAGGAACAAATCATAAAGGTTTTCAAGCAACCCAAGTAAGGATCTGCCTGCCTTTGAAATTTCATCATTCTAATTTAGTTCAAACATCTCAGCCCAAAACACTTGCTGTGATATTGATATATGTACATCCAGGCTATGCTGCTGGTGTGGCCATGGCTTGGCATTATTCACGCTATTGGAATGGTCTGTCTAAAGATTTGCCTGGAAATGAAAGTCAAATCCTGGTGCTCTGCTCTTGAAGTCCAGCCACAGGGAAGACTTGGTTGACACAGACTGGATTTGTCCCAGAATTTACACTGCTCTTCAGGTCCTTGGAAACCTGTTAGTGCACAGGTTCTCAAAGGCAGCTGGATGCACAGGTTGTTTCCTTCTGTCTGTCACTGATATCAAAGAAGTTAAAGTTTGCTGTAAAATGTGGCAGCTAGCAATGTCTTGGAAAGAAACTTTGCACAGGGAAGCTGTGGATATCCCATACATGGAAGTGTCCAAGGCTAGGCTGGATGGGGCTTTGGAGCAGCCTGGGAAGGTGAAAGGTGTCCCTTCCCATGGCAGCAGGGTTAGAATGAGATGGGCTTTAAAGCTCTTTCCTGACCAAACTGTTCTATGATTCTATGATGTGAGCAGGTGGGGGTGTGCAATGAACCCAAAAGACCAGCCAGTTTTATAATTAGGAAAATCATTAGGATTTTTCCACCAGCTGCTTTGTCACTGCAGAAGCATAGCCCTGAACTTTCCCTACTACCTCATTCATGCCATCCCACAGCAGAGCTGCACAAAGACTCTGACTTTGGGCTTGGAGATGCTCAGCCCAGCTGGCAGAGAAGGAATGGGAAGGCAAATGTTATATTCCCATTCACCTCACACCCCAAGAATCAGAGGATTAATGCATCCATTGTAGACTTGAATTTCCCTAGTGGTTAGCTCTAATTTTCTGCAGCTGCACAGACATTAGTACAGCAATAATACTCCTAATAGCAGTGATGGCTGAGATCATCAAACAGAAAAGATCACTTGTTTTTGGGAAAAAAACCAAAAAAATAGTTAACAAAGCTATATCATCCTTGATGAATCTGTTATTAAAAAATGCTTTCTGAGCCTCCCTAAATGTCCTAATAATTTAAAAATGAAAACCAGTAAGGTTTTTGGACTAAAGACCTCATTTTCCTTGAAACAACAGAAAACAACATTTTGTCTAAAAATAATGAAGGGCAGGTAGGTCTTTTCATGAACAAGTAGCTCATTGGAATGACTGACCAAGGTTGGTACATCAACCTGGACACGTAATTTTGCTTCCAAGTCTGCCCCAGTTTGAATTCCCCATCTTCTTTAAGAGGGACACATGTAGATTCTTGAAGAAATTTACACTGTCAACATGGTTTTGCTGCTGATATACCTGCAGGAACCCTGTGTTTTGGCAGATTATGTTCCAGGTGGGCTCTGGCTTTCATAGTAAACTCATTCCTGCACACTTGTGCACTGTCTTTGTATTTCTCAGGACCTCTGCCCCTGCTGCCACCTCTAGTATTCTTCCTTTTTCCACTTAAATTTTTTCAGGGGCTCCTTGTTCATCCATGCAGGCTTGTGGCCACCCTTATGTGACTTCCTAGTCTCCAGGACAGATCATTCTTGAGGCTGGAGGAGGTGGTCCTAGAAAATCAACCAGCCACAGATGTAAGCTCCATCTGTTGTCTCCTGTACAAAGACAGAGCTTTTGCAGTCTAAGGGGATGGGAAGCAGAGAAACAGCCTCATCCATTTAGTTCACTTATATGTGGATTTGTGAGGGAAGTGCTTGTAATAATACACGTGGGTGTTTGCTGAGCATCTTTCCTCTTGGCTATAAAGCTTTGAATAATCATGTCCAAGTGTAGTGACAGAAGTGGAAAAGCTTGTAAAGATGGAGAAATGTGTCTGCTGCCAAGTGAAAACGTGTATATAGACATCAACAGTGCAGGAGCAGAGTGACAAAAGAGTGGACATGTTTCCATGTAGGTCAGTCCAGTCTACCTTGGTTTTTTTTTGAGACTGGCCTTCCCTTTTGCACAGCAGTTGATGACCTGAGTTCCCTCACCCATGGCAATAGCACTGTTTTAGAGTTCCCTCCATTGCTGTGAGGAATGCTTTGTTGTGGCGGTGTAAACAGACTCTGAGTCCTTCATTGCCAGGTGAATCACACCCCTCCACGAGAAATCCCTTTCCCCAGGAGATGTTTTCTCTCTGGCCCTCACAGGTGGGGCACGATGGCGCTACCCCTGAGAGCTGTTGGCTGATGGAAGAGCTCACCATCGTCGTACCCACCAAAGGCGTCATGTACAACTTTGTCTGCAAGTGCTGGCTGGCCAGAGACAAAGGTGACGGCCTCACTTCACGAATCCTCAACATCCTGGATGCAGAATGTGTTAACGTTGGCATCAAGGTAGGCACCAGGCTCAATTTGTGCCTTTAGCTGCTGCAGGGACCTCTGCTGACATAGTTCATGCATCAGCAGCTCTCATATTCTGACTTTTGCAAGTGGCTTAAGCCTTCTCTTCACTTTCTTTTCCTTTCCTATGTTTCTTTAGTAGCAAAATCTTTAGGCATGGTTTAGGATCATGACTGTTTAGAGCACTATTTAGTGAGACTGGCTAGATGCAGCCATGGCATAGATGGGAGGGCACAGCAGGTCGGGCACAGCTCAGCAGCCTGTCCTCTTCTTGTCACCCACTGAGTCACCTGGTACCCACAGAGTGGAAGCAGCTTCAAGGTAAAGGATTACTTCTAACTCATTAGATAAGAACAGTGGAAATATCCTAATGTTTTAATCTCTCCATGATGTGGCTACATACCAAATTTTCTAATAGGTGATAGGGAATTTCATAATTACTGGAAGTTGTTGAAACATGAAAACATTTGTAAGCCTGATCTTTGGTGAGAGTATCTAATTAAAGTTGCATCAGTGGTGAATAAAACTCTATCTTTTCTTCATACCAATATATGAATTTTGAAGTAATATCTGCTATACTGTATTTCAAATAAGTACAAATTGGAAAGCCAACCTATGCTGATTTTGGATCTAAGATTTGTAGCAGAAATTACAGTCTGCATGAAGGTGACAATGACACTGTATTTAAATACCTGTGTGGCAATTTAAAATCTCTATAGATGTGCTTCTATTTACAGTCAGGTTACACTTTCAGAGTACATTATTTTTTCTTTATGCTGCTCTTGATGCCCAAGCTAAAGATATTCTCCTGAATCTTTCTTGTCCCCCAGACATGTAAAAAATTGATAACGTTTTTAGCATTTGTGAAGGGTTCTCCAAATTAATGAAGTTTTCAGTGGTGGAACTGACCTATGAGGGTATAAAAACCTCCCTCAGACTTAATATCAAGGTTAAAACCAATCTCATAAAAATCTGCCATCTGTCATTGAACCTCCTCAATGAGGTTTCCAAGACCCTGTTGGTGAGATGATGGCTTGCCTATAAATTGAAGTGGATCTTAATGGAGACATATGTTCAGTCTTCCTTTAAAAGCACAACCCTGAATATTTATTTGCATAAGCACACCAAAAATAGACACATCTAATGACAATTTTTTCCCTGTGACGTTGGGCCAGAAACTTGACAGGAGACTTGAAGGAAATCTGGGGAGATGCCTGGGACATAAAACCAAAAGTGAGCATTTGACTTTCTGATCAGTCTCCCAGTTGAGGGAATTTGGGACTGCTCTCTCGTTAATAGCTGTAGTTAGAAACGGAGTCTTACAGGAATTTTAGAGTCCAAAGACAACTGATATGTTTAGTATCATTGGGAAGATTAATACTTTTCTAGTTTTTTTTCCTGCTTGGCTTTTATACAGCCATATGTACCCATTTCAACTTTAATTTTCTTCTTGGCTTGATATTCCCTCTTTTTGCTTTAAATTGAGTATTTGCTTTCCCATAGTTGTAGAAATTACTCAGTGTCCATCAGAGTCATTAGAAGCCTTCAATGCATTGGTAAAAGAGTTTTTCTCCTTCCTGTAAAAAAACAGGATGCATTGCTAAGATTTAAAATACGTGGATGAATATGCAATCAACAGGTTACACAGGTTCAAAGAAATGTGAAAAATAATTTTTATATAATGTTATTCCTTTACACTGCTTATTTATGTAGCAGCCAAAATTTAGGCCAATAAAACAATAAAGCTAGCCTAGCAGTGCACAAATTAAAATATGTTTCTTTGAGCTGTTTCTTGATATTCTTCCATGTCTTAAAGAAGCCTTGGTACCACAACCATGATCTTGAAAGCATCTAAGTGGTCTAGAGGTCCTAAAACCCCTGACAGCCACTGGGATTTACACATTTTTGACATATTTCTTCAGAGTCTTATTGTTCCCAGGTCAGGAGAAAAGAATGAAATTAGGGTAGTAAGATGAAAACTATAAAAAACATATTTTCACAGACTGGCATGCCTTCAGAGCACACAAGATCCGGGAGGACTCTGCAGCTGATGCAACAGTGAGCATTCCCTTGGAGAGCAGGGCAGCTGAATTTTTGTACCACAAGGAGAGTTCTGACGTATAAATCTCCAAACTATTAGTAATATTGGAATAAACATTGCCCATGTTAATAAACATTGCCCAGAATTTCTGGGGGAAACATTTTGCAGCCAAGAAAAAGAAACAATAGTTCTTCTGGGAGACTTTTTAAAAAAATTATCAAGAGTTTGGTGCAGTACAGAGCTGGAGGGCTGGAGGTCACCAGTCAGAGTCACTGGTAGCAGAGTGTTGGAGACCCAAGTATTGATGTGAAGCTTGTGACTCCTGTGAAGAAGCAGCTTAAGAGATCTTCATCATTGGTGTTGCAACAGGACAAGGGATAATGCATTTAAACTGAGAGAAGGTTGACTTGGACTAGATAAAATTAGGAAATATTTTACACTGAGGGCTATGGGAGCAATGAGGCACTGGCACAGACTGCCCAGAGAAGCTGTGGCTGTCCCTGGATCCCTGAAAGTATCCCAGGCCAGGTTGGGCAGGGCTTGGATGAGTCTGGGATACTGGAAGGTGTCCCTGCCCATGGCAAAGGCTAGAACAGGACAAGCTTTAAATATCCCTTTCAACCCAATCCATCCAGTGATGCAGATATTGTCACAGTAAGTGTGTCTCTTTCCAGGCTGAGCAAATCTGTAGAAAATGTCATAGATGGAAAGTCCTGTAGTAAGTTTTGATGCCTAACTTTGCCTCTGAAAACAATGGTGAACCAAGAAGATGTGTTGTAACCTTTTCTGTCAAGGAAGCACATCTCCAGGAAAGCTTGTTGCCCTGATGCCCTCTGAAGGCTGATCTAGAACACAGACTAGGCAGAGTTAAAGAATTAAGTAGGGATTTATCAAAAGGCATCCATGGATACACCTTGGGCAGCACAAGAGCCCAACCAGGGCTACACCCAAAATGAACAAAAATGGTCACAAAATGGACAGCCGGTCACGGGGTCTCACACTTTTATAAGGTCTGGGCCATTTGCATATTGGAGTTAATTGTCCAATTACAGCTTTAGCCCATGAATTCCCATCCTTGTTTTTTTCTCTTCAGTCCACCATTGTTTGTGCACTTGGGCCTGAGATTTGGATCATTTGTCCTTGGTTCCCCAGCTAGAGAAGGAATTGTTTTGTCTCCCTACTCTGTGAAGAGAGCTTACCATCCCATAATATGAAGCTCAGAACTACACAGTAAAGCAGCACAGAATCTGAAAAGTAGAAAGGCTAAAACCTGAGGCATCAGCCCTGTTTAGTGTGGGTTAAGGACAGCTGTTTAAATGAGGCCTTCTGATTGCTTCCAACCTTCACCAGATCCTCTATGAAGTCATGGTTGTGACTGGAGACATCGAAAGTGGCGGTACCGATGCCAATATTTTCATGACTGTCTTCGGATCCAATGGGAACACTGAGGAGATGCTGCTGGAAAAAAATGGAGACAGGTACAGTCGCTGTCATTTTTGTTGGTTAGAAGTGGAGTGATGACAGATTTTAGTGTCAAGTCAAGAAGCACTCAGAGCTTTGATCATGCTCCCACTGAAACACAAACATTTACTCCCATTCACATTATAGATTCAGACCCAGGCCCCTTGTAAGTATTTCTGTCAGATTTTTAGCAAAGAAAAGGAAAAGAGAGCACTGTAGAGCTAGGGGAAACACCCTTTGTCATTTGTGAAAGCTTTGTTTAACCTGTTCCTCAGTAGCTTGAGAGGTAAACATCTTGAACAGAGGTATGAAGTCCTTATTGTCTCCAAAAACTGTGAACATTGCCCAGGAGAGCACTGGGAAATGGATGGGTGGTGGTAGAGAAAGCTGCACTGAATGCCTTGATTTTACTAAAAATGATGAACCTCTTGTTTTCTTCAGCAGAAACAGCTAACAAACACTCCAACCCCAGCCTGATGCCAGCACTTCCATAAGCCAAAAAACCCACACATGCCACCACTCATCCAGTTCCCATGCTTTTTTGTTCCTTCCTAGCACCTTCCTTAGTACAGAAAGCTTTGGAATGCTCCAGAATGATCCATCTTTTGGTGACATCATGCTTAAATTTAATTAATTGACTAGCTCCGGTATTATTCAGCAAGGCTTCTACAGAGCATCAGAAGGGTGGGAGCTTTTGGCCACACGGTTTGAGCTTGGCTTGCTGAGGAAGTGCTGGGTAACTGAGGATAAAATGCACCTTGCACAGAAGTGTTTGCTCAGGGAATGTTTTACTTGAAGCTGTTGTAGCAGAGTGGGTGTCTGGATAAGCATAGCTAAGATTGAGAGCTTCATGTGTCTAGTTAGCAACAAACATGAACCTTGTCTGTTGTGGAAAAAATGCAGCAGAGGTGCTGCTGACTAAAATATCTGTGAGAAACATAGCTGAGTCATGCAGAAACATGCAGCTCTTGGGGCTTGCTGCTCCCCATCACAGAGGAGCATTCAACATGCTGCGCAATGTCCCTGGGTTACCAGTGAGTGTGGCCATCAGTGGCACCCCTCTTACAAGACCCTGGGCAAGCCAAACTGGCCTGTCTTCCACTCATTTAATCCTAACACTCAGACCTAGTAGGCGGGAAAATGGACCACTGATGTTTCGAGTCAGAAATGAACCAGATATCACATCTGGGTGTGTCAACTAAAAATCTCTATAGGGGATCAAGAATTCTCCTGCCCCTCAGGAACACGGCTGTAGTTTTGCTGCATCTGGGGCAAACCATACCCCTAAACTTTGTGGCCTCTAAAAAACATCCCATTTGTATACATGGTTGGGATTGACAATCTCTGATATAAGGGTAAGAAAATGCAATACAGGAGAATAGAAAAGTCTCTGTGTTATTAGTTACTTGGGTTACCATCTGACAGTAGAGGTGCTGTGAAAGGTGTTGAAAAATCACTGGGGCTGTGTAAAGAAAATGAAGTGTAAGGCACAACTCCTATTATATTAATATCTCCAGGATGCTGTGCTATTCTTCTGGCACATCTCTGCTACTTGGAGGTGCTCTGTATCACACCTCCAGCTGTACAGAGCTCTTGTCATCTCATTAGCACCCTCTGCAGAGGACATCCATGTCCCCAAATTTACATCCTGTCTGTTTCCGCACCACTGCCACCAGTCTTCATCCAGCTGTTAACAGCACAGGCTTTCCTGGCTCTTTTCCACATGGAAATCTCTCCAGCCCTTGCACCAGCAGAGCAGGGATGAGTGAGGGCTGCTGCAACCAAATGGTAAAAGGCACTTCATCTTTTATTTGGGCCATCCAATGCCAATTCACTCACAGAAGCTTAGTGTATTACGAAGAATGGTCTGTCTAACCTGCCACAGATTTAAGGCAATTTTCACTGCATTACACTTATTGCCAAGACCCCTGGGCAATGGAAATATTTATAAGGGCAGGCATGGGTAAGAAAGCTTAATAAAATCCTGTAGATAAATGGTTCAGTATCCTGAAAAGGAAATAGCAGCAGGCAGCTTGTCTGGCTACTTCTTCCCTTCTGAATTTTTTTTTTCCAGGTTTACATTCATCTTCATATAAATTAAGGATAGCAAAGAGCTTCTGGGTTACCCAGATTGTCACTTTGGCAGTCACTTCCCTCTAGTACTTCCCTTTTGGAAGTAGCAGATGAGTATCAGTGTTATAAACTTCAAACAAGGCATTTGCTGAAGATAAAGAATGTTTTATTTTGCTAGCAGACATTTTAGCTTAGAGTTGCTCAGCCTGGAAAGCCTCAGAGTGAGAGATTTCTATAAAGCTTTGTAGGTAATAGTGATTGCAATAAAAACTGATCATAGGATCACAAGATAATTCAGACTGGGAGGGTCACACCTTTTTTTGAATAGATGTGGAAATCAATCCAGTCCAGGGACAAAAGTACCTTCTATTTCTCACAGTGAGACAGGCTGCCTCAGTATCCGGTACCACAGAAAGACAAATAAGAAGAAAAAGGAGTTTTTCAAAGAGCAAACATAACCCTTAATAACTAGAAATGGACTGGGATCAAAATGCCCTGTCCAAATGCCTCTGGGAGTGCAGAGGAAGCAATGCCTGGATGAAAACTGAGAGGCTCGAGCCAACCCCTATTACTAACATCTGCAGCTATCCCTGCTCAGATAATTGTGTGAGTATAATTACATTCATCCTGCAGGGGGTAATCTGAACAGAGGTTGGTAAAGAAAATGTTGGGTTTTTTTCTCCACATTCTGGCACTGCACAGCTATGGGAGGCTGTGTGCGTTGCCAGGAATGAGATATCATCATTATGGATTGTTTCTGATATGGCAGTGCCCACAGCTTGCAGGGCTGTTCCCAAATCTCAGCACACTCAGGTAATTCCCCCACAAGGAGAAGCTGCATGAAGGAGAAACCTCAACAGCAGTGGTCACCATGTGCTTGGTAGGCCCCCCAGATCTGGCTGCCATTCTCCTTAGCAAGGATTAGATTTCCAACTCCAGGACCACACGGGTCCCAGGAATTTGAGGGAACAAACAGGAAGATATACATGTTTAAAACAGAGTAATACTGAGCCCGAGGCAGCACTTTCACTGAAGCAAAGCTTTCCTTCCAACACCAGTGATGCCAGGAGGGAGGGAAGGTGCAGTCCTAGCCAATGTAATCTTCTTTGGGAAGCACATGTTAGCTGTATTTCCCTTCTCCTGCTTCCTGCTGATTGCTATGGCTGAGCAGCTCCTGCACATCCCTGTGCCTGTACACAGCAGCCACACACTGGGGAAGGTCTTTCACGCAAGCTTACACAAACCCACCCTGGTTCTTACCAGAGGCAGAGACAGTTTACAAATCCAAATCGCCCAATTTAATCAGGTTGGCTTTGTCTCCATTCCAACACAATTTGCCTCTGCTTAGTAAACTTGGTCATTGGGCTTCAGTCCCAGTGCTGCATTGAGCTGAGCTGCAGCAACTGCCTCTCTCCACAAAACACAAAGTTTTGTGCTGCACCTCAGGGAAAGGAGATGAGGCAAAATTATTTTGCCTTCTAGCTGGAACTAGCCAAGGACAGGCAAGTGGGCAGCTGCCAGGAGGGAGGCGATGCTCAGAAGCCTGACTGTGAGCCGCTATTGTTCTGGGTACAAACAGAACAGTAATGTATGCTACAGGCTGCCTGGAGCAGCTCCAGGTGGGCTGTGTTTTCCAGAGAGGAGGAATCCCTGTCAAATCTGCACTGTGTCGTCTTGCCAACAGCACAGTAGCTGGTGATTGCAGCACAGAAAAGCTCAAGTCCAATAAAGAACACTCATAAACTTTTGATTTGAGGCTGTTGACACGACCTGGGCTGTGGCATGGAACGGAGATGTGGAGAGGCTGTAAAGCAGAAGGAAAACCTCCTTGGTCTTCCAATCCCTGCAGGTTTGAGCGGGGCCAGGAGGACAGTTTCATTATGGAGATTGCTGACATCGCACCCCTCAGGAAGATGAGGATCCGGACGGACGGGAAGGGGACGCGCCCGCACTGGTTCATGGAAAGGGTAATACTCTTGGCATCATGGGTCTCTCACAACCTGCATGTCCTGGAGCTTCTCAGCCCCTGGCAGAGGACAAAGGAACTGAGGGACTTGTTTTCATTAATTTTCTACATGTTTTCCTGTTTGGTTTCTCACAGTTTTTCTCTGCAGGAATTGAGTCAAGAAAGAAGAGAGCAGAGGGAAAAGCTGTGTTTTAGAGCTTTTTTTTTGTGGTGGAATCATCATGTCTGGAAGTGTTCAAAAGACTTGTGGGTGTAGCACGTTTGTGGACTGTGGTTTTACAATGATCACTGTGGCGCTGGATAAATGGGAGGACATGATCATATTGGACATCTTTTCCAACATAAATGTTGGAAATAAATGTTGGGTTCTATGGTTTCACCACAGAGTCCACTGTTAGATCTCACTCTCCTCTGCATCCCTGGTTTGTCACCAGGGACACCTGCAATGTTTTCTGGTCCCTGGCTTGTACCCTCAGGCCCTGCAGATCTCTGCCATGTGGGAATCTGAATCCTTGGGAGGGTGGATGTTTGTCTGCCAGACAGAGACATCCTGGCCTGGGTGGGACATTCCAAATAATCCATCCACTCTGCTGGATCATCCCATCTCTCCTCTTTCCTTCTCCTCTAGCACACACATTTATTGCCTTTTTTGTTCATATAAGTAAGGTGTTGTTTCTATCTTGCCTTTTGAATGGAGCATGCAAATTGATGGTACTTTCCCCTGATGTCCTACCTCACACAAAAGAACAGTGCTTGCCTTTATCTTGGCTGTCAAACCATCAGCTACTTGTAAAGATCACCTCTGGGCAGACAAAAGTAGTCTGCTTGTTGTGAGTCCCTATAGTTATATTTCTAAGATAGAGGGGGAATGGTGTGCTGATTGCAGACCATCAGATGTCATTAATGGAGAAACACATCTCTGCCATTTTTCTTTACTATACTTTTCCTGGAAATGACATCCTGTTGAGTTTCTGTATCTTGACCTTTTCATGAGAACAGTTTAATACCTAGTAGCATAACCATGGTCAGAGAGAACTCTGTATGATTTTTTAAATTGGGTCCTTTATCCTCTTTTGACTAATTTACAGCAGTCTTTTTCACATAGATAATGTGTTTCTAAACATTGACCCTACATAGCCACCGGTTTTCAGTGAAGTGATGGACTTCTCTTACCTTCAGAAGAATTTCTGTGCTGCTGTACCATTTTTACTTTAACATTTCCACTTCTAAATTTTTTCTCAGCAGCTGGGCAAGGAGAGGAACTGAAAGAGGAGGAATTCAGGCTTGACATTAGAAATAAATTATTTACTGTAAGGGTGGCATAATACTGGCACAGGGTGCCCAGGGAGATTGTGGCTGCCCTATCCCTAGAATTGTTCAAGGCCAGGTTGCATGGGGCTTGGAGCTCTCTGGGATAGTGGAAGGTGTCCCTGACCAAGGCAGGGATGAGTTTTAAAGTCCCTTTATTCTATGATTCTATGATTTTATGATGATGCTTCTGCAGTTCCTCTAAGAATTAGACCTCCAGCACATATCTTTAGAATTGATGTCACAGATGAACAGTTTTTCTCTCTGTGCCTAAGGAATAACTCAACCTGTTGTCTGATTTGATTCAGATGTCTGGGTCAAACTCCCTTTGTAATTTCTCACATGCTTTTCCCTGAGTTTTAAAAAGCATATATAATATGAACTCAAATAAAGCTTATACATCCAGAGATATTCCAGGTCTTACAGTCATGAATCAGTACCAGCACAAAGGCAAGGGATGGGTGCATTTTTAATTGTGCCTCCCCACCTTTCTGTTGCCTTCTCCATCCAGGCATTCCAAACCTCAGTCTGCTAGACTGTCCTACCAAAAGCAAAGATTTCCCAGGGAAGTGGGCAGGACCTATCCAGTAGGTCCTCATTTGGACCTATCCAGTAGGTTTTGCAGCCACCTTCCAGCTCTACAGAAGTCACAGGTGGGCAATGCAACAAGAACAGGTCTTGAGAACAGACTTAAAAGAGGGTTTGTAAAAGTGAGGAACAGCAAATTTTTACATGGGCAGACAAGGACAGAACGAGGGGCAAGGGTTTTACACTAAAAGACGACAGATTTAGATTAGACATTAGAAAGAAATTTGTGGCTGCGAGGGTGGGGAAGGCCTGGCACAGGTTTTCCAGAGAAGCTGTGGCTGCCCCTGGATCCCTGAAAGTGTCCAAGACCAGGCTGGATGGAGCTTGGGACAACCTGGGATAGTGGACGGTGTCCTGCTTGTGGCAGGAGGCTGAACTAGAAGGTCCTTAAGGTTGCTTCCAATCCAAACCATTCTTTAATAATTCTATGGTTTTAGAAGCATATGGCAATGATACCAATAGTTTCTATTTTTCTTAGATAAACAGATCACAGAGGATTTTTTTAACTCCAGTGTTGCATAGATAACTCTATTTATTGGTTTTCTTTCCCACCTTCTCTGGAAAGGTAAACACAGCATTTGCATTCCCAGGTAGAGGGGTGGCCTACAGAAGCATTCTGGAAGAGGGGAGGAACGATTTTGTTCTCTGATTTGTATTCCAGCCTTAAAAATCTACGTAGCCTGGTGTGACATGAAAACTGATTGGAGCCCATTTCCATTTCTGTCAAAAGTGCATATTAAGACTGCATAATGAAATACTTGTGGGGGTAGTGCTAAACTCTCTGACAGATGGTTCACAGTTAGTGCTAACTAGCACAGTGAAATGAGAAGCTAGATTAAGCCATCAACCCCGTAATTAACCATTTATCTACATGATATCCTCAGTTTTCTTGTTCTATTAAACTAACAATAAATGATCCTTTTAATTTTCTTTGATCTTTTGGTAAACTGTTGCTAGCCATAATGTATACTGCTTTTTGTTCACCAGATATAGAAGTGCATAAATACAAATTAAAATGCATTAATTATCAATGATGTTGTACACAGCGAAAAGATTCAATTTACTAGCAGGCAAGTAGTAATATTTTTTTTTATGTCTACATAAAATATACTAAAATTTTATTCAGAATCTCAACAAAGTAATGAACCTGGTGCTGAAAATTCAAATTTGCTACCACAAGTAACAATATGTTTTAAATGCTAGATCCTAAACCTCTACAGGTTTAGGAAATTTGATTAGTGATGTTTTGCAACAAAATGAACATTATTGATCATTACTATGCCCAAGCAGGCATTGTGAATGTTCTCTAAAGCTGAGCAATGCTTTCTGATCACACCACTGCTGGAGGGACACAGAGTGGGGACCTTTTCCGCTGATCTAGTGCTGAATCTCATGTTCTTCCACATCAAGCTGCTGTGACACTGCTCTGTGTTTCTGAAAAACCAGGGAACAAAATCATAGACTCACAGAATGGTTTGGGTTGGAGGGAACAACAAAGTTCATCCCATTCCAATCCCCTGCCGTGGGCAGGGACAACTTCTACTAGCCCAGGTGGTTCCAAACCCATCCAGCCTGGCCTTGGACACTGCCAGGGATCCAGGAACAGCCACAGCTGCTCTGGGCACCCTGTGCTAGGGCCTCCCCACCCTTAGCATTACAAAAATTTCACACTAATTGGGAAATTTATCTAAATGCATTCTTTGGAAACCTCTTCCTGGGACAGCTGCTTTCTCAGTCCCTGTGATGATTTCACCTGCTGCCCAATGTCTTAGCGTTGAAGTTGCAAAGCTAGAAACAAGTAGGGATGAAAGCTCAGTGAAATAGCAGGAATTATGAGACTGTTGAATTCTGCAGAGTTGCTTCCCTTAGAATTTTAATGTTACTTTGTGCTGTCAAAGCCAGACAGATAAGAAGCTGCCTTAATGAAGCACTAATTGCATTGCATTCAAACATCACAAATAATCCTGCATGTGGGACTTGGTCTTTATTCAGTCCTTTCTCCTTTGTATAAAGGAGATTAAGAGAATTTGAGAGTTATTATTGAGAATTGAGAATTGAGAATTATATAGCTGAAGCTGACTTTTATTCTTTGCAAAAGAGAGAAGTCTTTTTGTTTTACAGTCAGAAGTTCCTAGGTTTAAGTGAAGAATAATGACATGCAAGAGAATAATGAAATCCTCTGTTTGAGCCTTTAAAAGTGAATTCCAGGAGCTGTGTATTTTGATATCAGCAGAGTGGGAGACCCTGTGAAGCATGTATTACATGACATCTGGAAAAAGACCGGGTAGGGGTAAATCAAATAATCGGACATGTCAGATCTTTCCATTGCAGGAGACGTTGTGCAATAAATTTCAAATTGTTGGTTTAATTTTCCTGTCAACCACTGTATTTGCTCAGCTACAAAGCAAATTATCAATGTGTTATGCATACAAGCTTCTGCCACTTTCTTTTAATGCCTTATTGGTGTTCTACAGCCCAGTTAAGCTCCTTGCATAATTTGCAAGAAGTTTGAGCTGAAAAGCACACTGGGTGCCCACAGCAAGTTCTACGTATGTTCTACGTATCCTAAAAAATAGCTTAGGTGCAATCCAAAGTAGTGGTCTCATTATCAAGCAGCAACTAGTTTTACAGAGAGAAGCAGGCAGAAATTATATACAGTCTCAGCTCAGCTCACTGAGATGACTTGCTTGACCCTCATGATTGAAACCAAAATCCTGCATCATCCTCTGTGTGTGGAAAACCCACAAACATCTCCTTGCTGGATAGGATTAATTTTCTGCGATTTTAGTGACTGAAAAAGGCTACATTCAGTTTTCACCCCTTCCAACAAACTTTGCAGGCCCACTCTGTAGTCATGAGACAGGCAGACCTGAGAGAAGGGGTGATGCCTCAACAAGCTCCTTACCTGTCCCCAGGTTAGGTGGGATGTGGGGCTTCCCTGGGGATGCCCAGGTCCCACCACTGACCAGATGATGTGCTTGGGCTGGATGACCAGAATCTAGGGGGTCCATGCTGGGTGAGAGGCAATGTACCCACATTGTGACCAGAGGGCACCCTGCCACTGCTGCTGCTTCTGTGTCCCTTGTTGTGACTGCAGAATCACAGTTTGGGTTGGAAATTACATTTAAAGCTCATCTCATTCCACCCCCTGCCATGGGCAGGGACACATTCCACTATCCGAGGGTGCTCCAAGCTCCATTCAGCCTGGTCTGGGACACTTCCAGGGATCCAGGGGCATCCACAGCTGCTCTGGGCACCCTGTGCCCACCCTGCCCACCCTCCCAGCCAGCAATTCCTTCCCAATATCCCATCTGCCCCTGCCCTCTGGCAGTGGAACCCATTCCCTATGTCCTGTCCCTCCCTGCCTTGTCCCCAGTCCCTCTGCAGCTCTCCTGAAGCCCCTTCAGGCCCTGGCAGGGGCTCTGAGCTCTCCCTGGAGCCTTCTCTTGTGCAGGTGAACAGCCCCAGCTCTGCCAGGCTGGCTCCAGAGCAGAGGGGCTCCAGCCCTGGCAGCCACTCCACGGCCTCCTCTGGACTGGCTCCAGCAGCTCCACGTCCTTGTGCTGTTGGAGCCAGGGCTGGGGCAGCTCTGCAGATGGGGTCTCAGCTGAGCACAGGGGCAGAGGGGCAGAATCCCCCCCTGCCCTGCTGCCCATGCTGGGGGATCAGCCCAGGATAGAGTTGGATTTCTGAGCTGACATCCCTTGGGCAAAAGTCGCTCATAAAATGAATCTCTTTCCCCTGTCTGCTCCTCCCATAGCACCAGCCCAGAATGAGATGCCAGGGCAGGTCTCTGTTTCCGTCCTTATTGCTTACAGTAAGATGCACACAGATGCAATCACACATCCTGGGTGAGGGGCTAAGGATGAAAAAAGCTGGCATTTCGCTCCAGCAGCTTTAGTAGCCAGACATTTTTTCTCAAACCGCATCTGGAGTGCTCAGCATGGGCTGGGTATTGGTGAGAGGATTGACTTCTGTGTCTGTGTGTGCTCTCCAGCTGACAACTGTAATATGCTTCTATCCCCACTGCTTCCCTGACAATTCCCTGCAACCTTTGCTCAGGACATTTTGCTACTAATAGTGTCACTTTCATTCCCAAGCAGGACAGAGGTACTGCTAGATGAATCTTTTCCAGCATGGAGTTTATGCCCTGGGGTGGGGGGAAAATAGACCACAGATTTTCATAAATAGGGAAAATAGATTTTCAGACAGCCCGACATTAGTCACAGCTCAATTTTGCAAAGAAAACTTTTCAGGGCTGGACTCCTAAGAGGATACAGGCATCATTCACACATCCTTGAGAGAGGACACTTCTGTGCCCCAGCAGCAAGGCCACCAGCTGCTGTGGGGAGACCTGATTTCTGCTTGGTTCAAAGCAAGAGTCTGATTCTATATCTCTTGATTCACAGAACAGTTTTTTTGACCACAAAGTAATAGTGTCACTGGCTATGAATAAGCAGCTTTTTAGAAAAGTGGGACATCTTTTACAGCCAAAAATGTCCTGTCTCCCTGGGACAGGGGGGGTGAAGGTGCTGTGTTACAGATCCCATCAGGCAGATTGAAAACCCAGATGAGTGTCCCCATCAGGCAGATTGAAAACCCAGATGAGTGTCCTACCCACAGAACCATTCAATGCACAAAAAGCATGGCTTACTGCTCATCTTCAGTGTAGCTACTGCCCTTTTTAAAAAAAACTTTTTTATAACCTGGAGCAGTATTCTTCTTTTGAATTGCCGAAGACTCCAGCAAGGCTTTTCTGGGGTCAGTAGAAAGCCATGGACTGGGACACCTGAAGTTTGAAGACAGAATTTGAGCACATTTTATCTCAAGATAAGTTTTACGAGTTTTTTTTCCTTAGGCTGATATATGAGCATGGAGTGGAAGGGTACTGAGGTGGTCATGGGGCTGCAAGAAGTACATGGCTAAGGAAAATAGAGTTTTTAAGCCATGACAAGCAGAGGCTGATAGGGGAATCTAGTTACAGTCTTCTGCTGCTTGAAAGGAGGTTACAGAAACCATTGATCCACACTCTTCCCAGAGTTGGACAGCAAAAAGTCATGAGGCAATGGACGTGAGTTGCACTGAGGAAAACCCTGATCAGATACAAAGAATAAAATCTTCCCAATGAGAGTGGTTCATCCTGTGATGAGGATTCAGAATGTCTGGAGAATCTACACCCTTGAAGATTTTCACAGCTCAGCTGGACTCTTTGCATGGCATGCAGCTGTGCTTGGAGCAGTGAGTGGAGCTATCGACATCCAGGCATCCTTTTTAAATGTGACATTTCCCACCACTCCTGGCTCACTGCTCCCTAATGCTATGCCACACTTCTCTGACATGTCTGGCCTCATGTTTCCATGGCCTTTGCAGAGACAGTGTTTTCTGATGCACTGCTACACACAGGTGCGGCCTCTGTTTCTGTTGGATGGTGACACAAATGGCAATTTACAGCACAGTCTCCTCCCTTTCAATCAGCTCCCCCACTTTAGTGAGAACTTATTGCTATGTTTATGCTCTAGGCAGGTGTAATGCTTTTCTCCTACTTGACTGATGCTCCACTAAGCCCACACACAACAAGAGACATAAAGGTGGGTATTTTATTAGGCATTTGTTGGAATACCTTGTTGAGCTGCTCTGAATTCATTCCCATTCTGTTCTTATCACCACAGCATCTGAGCTGCTTCCACAACACGTTAGATAGTGTGACTAATATCTGTTGCATACTGTTTGTTCTGTCACCTTTTTCCAGAAGGAGAAGTGTGTGAAATATTAAGTTTTTGCTGGCCTAATTTTATCTTGTGCCTTGTTTTAACTTGTTTGGGTTTGTGTCTCTCAACAATGAATTCTGCTTGTTCATGCAAAGGAGACAGGCAAAAGAAAGATGCTGAGGAGAGGTAGTGAAGTTTCTAATAACTCTGTTATTCCCAAAGAAGTCTTTGGAGTGAATTCCATGCTGTCTCACAGGAGAGGTCTGACCTTCTTAGAGATGAGCTTTGCCCATAACTTAGGTCAGAGGAGCAAATTTCTCCCTTTGCTTTGCCACATGGTCGAAAAGGCACTATAATACTGTGAAGACCATTTCTCAGGACAAACCACCACAACAAATATTGTCCGTAGGAGAGAACTCCATTTATCCCAGAAGAGAACAGTGTGGACTTTGGAGCTATGGCCAAGCTCTCCCCATGTCCTACCATATCATGTACTTTATAAGTTTAACATTTGCCCTCATTCAAAAGGCATGTTTTTCCCCCCCTCTTTTGGCTCTTCACAGATCACCCTGAAGAACCTTACTAACCAAGAAGTGGCCACATTTACCTATGGGGATTGGCTATCCAAGCTGAAAAATGCCACGGGAAGCCTGGTGTGTGAGATGCCAGCTGTCATAAACGACGAGCAGATGATGGAGGACACCACATACACTCTTCAGGTTAAAACCAGTGACATTGGAGGTTGGTCCTCACTGAATATTTTATTCATTTTCTAGTATAAAGTTTGTTTTTTAACAATGGGATAAAACTCCATCTGCTTCATTTGAAGTTACATTTGAAAAAACATAGTTTTGCTGGAATACAACTATTTTGGCTGGCTGTTCACCATGGCACTGTCTAAAAGACTCATTGTCATCTGAGCTCTGGGAATAACATATTTAGACACAAGGCCCAGGTGTGACTGCTCTTTGATTCCTCTGAAGACAACCTAACAAAAACTATTATCAGACCAAGATGCAGACGTCAGCAGCCATATTTTTCTTTTTTGGTCAGGCCCATCCATGTAGGGTCAGAGCTGGTGTGCTTCAGGTTTTCAGTCAGCACGGTCTGCCTTGCCTAAAGCAGACAGCAATAATTCACCCACCTTTTCAAAGTGGTTTGAGACCATTTATCTCAGGCTGTGAAAAAAAGCATTTCTAAATGCGCACCAGAATACAAGAGGTGGAACAGAAAGAGCTTCGAGAGCCAATAAATGGGGTTTCAATGTAATTTCCTGGGATCACCGCCTCTTTTCATGGGAAATTTTGTCAGGCTGCTGGATGAAATCTTCTGCCATATATAAAGTGAATAATGCCAAGATGGGGCAAGCCAGATGTTGTCTTGAAGACACCTTGTTTCCAAGGTGTCTTCCTCAAGTGAGATTCTGTCACACCAGTGCACATAACCAACTGCTGACTCTTACTTTCTTTATTCCTTTGTTACTTTTTTGGTTTTTGTTTGGGTTTTTTTTTCCTTCCTCCTGGTTTTATCAGCCATAATTTACGCAGCTTCTAAGGTTTGATCTAAGAATATCAAAATTTCTCTGGCAGAGCATCTTTGTGCCACCTCACCACTTCTCATTGATCTTCTCTGCTGGTTGCTTGTCTGAAAAACATGTAGTGAAATACAAAAGACAAAGGAGAGAGAGAGAGAGGGAAAGATTTGTTTATGCATTTGGCCATCCATCTAATATAATTGTAGATCCTTCTGTGACCTTTTTGTGAAAACCAGCCCTAACTCACAAAGGTGATGGAAATAGAAATGAGAGAAGACCAGAAAATGACAGCAGCAGCAGACAGATCTGCCCTTCCCATTGAATGAAGGATGACGGGTATTAATGAAGAAACATTTTATTTCATTATGAATAGCGACAACCAGTAGGAAAGAGCAGATTACAGAGAGGTTTCAGAGAGTCTGTTTGTGATTAGATCACACAGCTCACTGACATAATGCTGAACTTCATCTAGCTTATCTAAAGCAGGTGCAAGTCATGAACCATCTCCCCCTTTTGATCATTATGTATTCCACAATTACTCCTGGTTGGACCAATTCAGAAAGAAAGACATTTTATCCTTGGTGATGTTTAAACATGTTATATCATCTCGTGACACACTGACATTATCAAGGAGCAGCAATACTGCACAAGGGCTAGAATCAAATGCGTTTATTCCTAGGTATAAAGTTTTACTTTGCAATGGCTTTCAACTTTCCAGCTCGTAAGAGCCACCAAAAGAAAAACAAACAAACAAACCAGAAAAAACAAACAAACAAACAAAACCCAAAAACAAGCAAAATAATCTCATCTATTTGCCACCCTCTGAAAAATTATGTTTCTGGTTTTAGTTCCTCCTAGTCTAAATTGTCTCTGATAAATTCATCTGGGAGAGAAGTCTTCATCAGTGGTCTGGATAACTCTCCTGAGGGTCTCTGCCTCTTGAGTTTTTCTTCATTAGATTCAGACAGATTTCATGATTAAATGAGGTTAGATGGCTAAAGTTAGGGAAAATTAATCCCACAAAGAAGATTTTGCAGCAAACTAGAAAGCATAAGCTATCTCCCCTCCACCACACACACATATTTAACAACAGCATTGTTTTACATTTTCCTCAAGGAAACTTTTAAATTACAGTTTGTCTTTCACAAAGTCACTCTGCTCCAGTGAAAATTTAACCTACGGAGTTTGCAACAGGGAATAGCTCTGCTCCTGCAAAGCTCAAATCACCCCTTTTCCACCACCAGCAGTACCTCAGATGACTCTCAGACTACACATAGGTAAGAGGAGGTTGTTAGGGCATACATCTCCCAAGTCAGATGGATAATCTTTGGTTAAAACCAAGGTCTTGATCTCAGATGTCAAGCACAATCTGATTTTCTTCAAGGCAGGACCCATAGACATAGATGCAACAGAGGCAGACCACCTGATGGCTCTTTCTGAGGCACAAAAATGTCCTTTGGCTGGTTAATTTTTACTTTCTCTATGAAGACATCATATACATTTTAATGCAATAAAGATGGAGAGCGAATAAATACTGCTTTCTCATTTTCCAAGCATTAATGAAGCAGAAGGTTCTTATCTCTGCTGTTATAAGATTAATTAGGATGTTGTCAACTCAGTTCCAACCTACAAATTACATAATTTAGGACAGTTGATGTCAGCTCATAGTGCCTTATATAGGTCTTTTTAATGTAAAAAGAAAGACATTCTTTGGCCTCAGAAGGCTGTGACTCAAGTCCAGATTTTGTTTTAAAATTAAGCATCTGCTCAGTAGGAATCATATAATCATAGAGATTTCTGTTTAAAGGGTCCTTTAGAGGTTATTTCACTCATTTTCCTGATCAAAGGAGTGTTACCAGAACTAGGTCAAGCCAGCTGAGAGTGCCCAGCCAAACACTGGACAACACCAGGAATGGTGATGCCACCACCTCCCCAGGCATCTGTACCCAGACCTGCATCATATTCCTAAGACACATTTTTCTTCCTTATTCCAAACCTGAACCTCTCCAGCAAGTTGTGGCTTTGGCTTTTTGGGGTATGATGTGAGACAGTACATGGCCCTGTCATCATGACCCCTGTCGCTGCACATGGGGCCCTTGTGCTCCTGCCCCAGTTCCTCTCAGGGCTTCTCCTCACAGTGGTGTGTCCCAGCTCTTGGCCATCTTAGTAACCACCCTCTGAGCTCTTCTCAGTGTCTTGACACAGGAATTCAAACTGTTGTTTTGCACTGAGCTCTGGAAACTTCCTGCTAGATCCAACCAGAATATGAAGGGTACTGCTGTAAACTTCAGGACATCTTCAGCCTCTCAGCATGTGAAAAGTTTATTCCAACCCAGACAGAGGAGTTTGTATTTCACCTTGCTGAATTCCATGGGATTTCTGCTTGCCAAGTCCTCAAGTTTCTCAAGGTCCGTCTGGGTTGGAATTCTGGCCTTCAGCACGTCAGTCACTCACACAAATCTACCCTTAGCTGGAAATCTGCTGGGAAACACTCTACCATTGCTTAGGGTGTTGATGATGAAGTTCAGCTCAGTTCTGCAGATCCCAGAATCAATCCATGAGCTATTGCACTCATCACCAGTGAAAGCTGGTGCAACCACAGTACCTTCATCTCTTCATTTGTCAAGTTTTTTACAGTTCCTAAATGTGCCTAACAGTTTCCTGGAACTGGCAACAACAACAACAAAAACAACAAAAAATATCAGTGACCCAAATAAGTGAAATGTACATTGATCTAGCATTTCTGTTTTTTACTTTCCCATCTCCTGCTAATTGCTTGTGAGGGAAATGTCACAGCATGAGACCTTCATAAGCTTCTTTCTGCAGGGATGGTTTTGCTAAGAAACAGTTGGTTCTGTGCTTTTTGAGACCTGGCATTAATTAGGAGCCTGCTCCTTGCAAGGAAAAGGACTTCAGTTTGCTTTGTTCCTCACCTCAGCAAGTTTTGGGGTCATAAAAAGTACTTCCAGATGAACTGCATGGATCCTGATGCTTTCTCTTCCTACTTAAACCCTTCCCAGGGAACTGTTGAAAATTAGTTCAAATTTAACAGGTGCAGCTTCTTGTATGGACACATGTTGCTTTGCTTTTTCTCTGTATGACCCTTTTTCTCCTCTTTTTCTTCTACCAATTTTTTTTCCAGTCCTTCCATAAGAACAGTTGTGATTTCTTCCTAATTTCTCTATTCAAGTAATAATCCTGTGGAAGTGGGACCTCTCTCCAGAAGTTTACAGTCCCCCTAACTTTGTCTCTGCATTATGTTTGAATGGAGCTGTGGGAAATAATGTCTCTGTGGCTCAAAGTGGATTTGTGATACTCTTCTGTAAGAAAGGGCCTGGCAGGAGGTTAGACTTCCAAAGCTGGGCTATCCAAATGAGGGCAGCAGATGCCGAGTTTCTTTGTAAGGTGGATTTCAGCTTGATGGTCTCGTTCTCCTTTTCTAAAATTTAAGTGCCTTCGTTCTGACACAGCAATGACTGTCTGCCCAAGTGTAATCTTATTTCTCTCTGTGAATCTGCTTTTATATTGCAGTGTCAAAATTAAAATGCAATCATTTTGGTCAAAGTATAAATAGTCCAAGGTGAAAATGTAACACTTGCAGCTAAAATATAAGGTCACTGCAAGTGGTTTGGTCTTGAACTCCCCAAAAGCCAGGAGAACAGCACGGCTGATTTCTTTGGCAAAATATGGAGAGTAGAGGACAAATGACGCTCAATATCAGGTAATAAAGATCATCTTGAAAGTTTTTTTATTTCCTAGCATATACACAATAAGAATGTGGAATTTGGAAGGGCAAAACTGTTGCATGAGAAACTGGGACTTTTTCCATTAATTGCTGCATGGACAATATTTTGAGAAAGAGCAATATAGAAGGAAGATCTGTTGTGAAGTGGGCCATGAGATGCCGCAGTGGCTTTGTTGAGGATCTGTATGTAGCTCTGAAATCTCTGTGCCAACAAACACAGCAAGAGCAGGAGGAGACAGACCCCAGGGGAAGGATCCTGAGTGCCACAATTGCTTGAACAAGGTTGTAGGACTGCAGGAGGGAATGACTGAGTGTTGAAAAGGGACTGTGCTTCAGTGGGAAGCCCAGGACACCACTTTGTGGCTAGAAAAGTTATAAAGTATATTATTTAACACTCCTTAGTAGATTGCTGCTTGGTAAGTCACTTTACTTCCCAAGCTACGTTTGAATAATGGGAGTAACTACCCTGACGTCCTCTGCAGAGCATTGTGATGGACAGCCCTCCATCAGGAACCGAAATTTCTGCTTCCTATGAGCACTGCTATCACCACAGTCACTGCGCCTCAAGTACCAAGGCAAAGCATCCAGCTGTATTTGTGGGATAGACTGGAAGAACTGGTTGTCCTCCCTGCAGGATCCTGCACAAATCCACTGAAATGTCATGGCGGTGCCCAGAGAAACATGAGCACCCTGCAGCCTCTTCCAGCCTACCTTTGCTGCCTCCCCATGCAGCTGGGTTTGGGAGTCAGTCCAAGGTGGCAGGGTAACCCATGGCATTTTTATCTGCTCTCTCCTTCCAGGAGCAGGCACCGATGCCAATGTGTCCTTGATCCTGTTTGGGGAATATGGGGACAGCGGCACCCTGCCTCTGAAGGAGTCCAACAAGTCTAACAAGTTTGAAAGGAACCAGATGGATGAATTCAGCTTCTCTGAAATGCTGAGCCTGGGAGACCTCTGCAAAGTGCGCATCTGGCATGACAACAAAGGTCAGAGCAGTGACAGGGGTGGTGGGAGAGTTCGGGATGTCTTCACTTGAGCAAACACACAGACACAAGATAGGCTGAAGGCAGAGTTCCCAGCTCTGCTTCAGGCTGGGAAAGTTACCTGGATTTTACCCAGATCCTGTGTCCTAGCTTCCCTGTCTAGACACACTCCCTTCATGTAGGCGGTCCTCTCCCTGGCTGCTGGTGCAGCATCTGCTGCAGCAGGTCCCCAGCTTCAGTTTGTGCTTACAGCCACCTCTGCAGCAACAGCGATGCCTCCCCCAGAGCAAAGCCACCCAGGCTGTTGTCCCAACACACTGACTCCATCCATGCCTGTCACACAGGCCAGCATGGTACTCCCAGAGCAATTCATTGTTCTCAGCCTGACACTGGCATGCAGGAAAATGCAGCCTGGCATAACACAGTGAACCTTGGAAGAAAGAAATAAAGATCTGTGTCTGGCTTTATTAAGGTCATTGCATCAGCCAGTGAGCACACAGCGTGCTGCTGAGAGAGGTTCTGACACTTCCCTGCTGCACATCACTAACATTGCTGTAGTGACATCCCATCCCATCTTCGTGAAAAAGTGATTACACTGGATTAGCAATGGCTTGCTCACTGGTGGCCAGCCCTTGCTTGCAGCCCAAAGGTGAAGTTCCATAGCTCACAAAGGCTCACACCTGAGCCACTATTAATGAAGCTGTTTGGCAGCAATATTTATCACAATCTGGGGAGGAATAGCAAAGGGACTACCTGGTCATTACCTGTTTGTACTGAGGCAGCTGGTTTATGGCTGGGATGAGTTTCATGCCAGTATTGATGTGACCTGGCCACCATCCTCACAACTACTCCAAGTTGTGGCAGATGGGGAAGGCTGCATGTCATGCTCTAGTAATAAAAGACACTATCTCTGGGTTAGACTTTCCCATTGGAAAGTCTTTGAGAGGGAGAAAAAACACATCTAATGGTAGTCTCTGTCCGCGGTGAAATACGGGAGTTACATCCACCTAACATTATTGTTTATTCCCAGACACTGCAAGCTCTGAGCTCATATTTATCACTCCCATAACACAGCACAATTTAGTTGATTAAATTCTATAATATCATGTTATATAGCTGGTGCTGAATCAGTAAAGGAGCTGCTTTCACCTGATTACTTTGCCAAAACACTAATTCCTTAGATCTACAGTTTAGATGCAGATATAGAAAGGGCTGTTGAATGAGAGTTTTAGCTCAATAAACAAGGTTTTTGGTTGTTCCAAGAGTGGTTCAGACATCCTTCTGATAGCACCAAGAAATCAACATGGATTTTCAGATTTGCTTTCAAACCTATCACCAGCTAAAATGTGTGGTAAAAGAACTTTTTCCTCAAGTGGCATCCCTGGTGACTGGCTGTGCTAACAAGATGAAATTGGTCCTTAGGGCTCAGGCACATGGACAGACTGGGATGCAGGAAGGTGGGAACTGGATCAGACTGAGGGTCTGAGAGCCCAGCAGCTCTTTCCAACAGCAGCATCACTGGATGCCTGAGGACAGGCTGAACAAGCATGTGCAATCCTTTCACAACCCTCTTCATTTTGGATGATGAATAGCTCAGTGCATTTCCTGAACTGGTTATCATTTTTGTCCATTAAATAATTTCCAGTGAATTTTCTCATTCGAGTTCTTGCCCAGGCCCTCCAGGAGACACTGGCACCCACACATCCTGTGCCAGTGACTCCCACAAGTCAGTTGCCTGCTGCGTGACAAGCAAATCCTGTTAATCCAGGAGGGTTTTTCTGCCTTTCCCTTCTTGCACAAGTGATCACTGTTCAGCTTCTCAGTGCCACTGATGATGCTGCTGACACAAGTTGGTAATTGCTGGCTGTGTGCAGCTGGCTGGTGGCAAAGGGAGGTAACAGAGTTTAGCCTTAGGCTAAGCAGTAAATAGGCTCAATTAGTTTAAATTTGCTCTGGGCTAAGAACATGTACCCAGATAGCCACCACAAGTCAGCTAAAATACTAAGCTGGGTGTCTAGAACCTGAAATATGTATATAAATACACATGGCAACCTCACATTCTCTTTCCTTTTTTCCTCAAAACACTGGTTTCCATTTATAAATACTAGTCCTTACCAGGCCTGTCTGACAGCAAGGTTAATTTAAGTCCCTCTAGGACAAATACCATGTTCAGGTTTTGTTCAGCAAAAATATTCATGCTTTTCCCCACAGAAAGAAGGAAAACTGTTATTTAAATCATAACAGATGTTGTCTACATTGTTCTTGCATTAGTCATGTGAAAGGCATCTCCAATCTAAAACTTCACACGACTCAGCATGACAGTTTGTTGGGTGGGTAGAGTATTTATTACTGCTGAGATCCAGGATATAGCTATCCTTTGAATATATGCCTGCTCCCTATATATAATTTATATAAATTGTCTGGGGCACTGCCTAGAAATTCCTGGCTCTATTTCTTTTAAATGAGTAGTAGGGTCAGAGGTCGAGTATGTTTTTTGTCAGATGCGTGAAGGACTTTGATGTGTTTGTATTTACCGCTACTCTGAGGATTCAGATGTTGATGATTCTTTCTTTACCTCTTTTCTGGTTTTTTGGACTAAATGGTTCTCTACCAATGGCCTTTGGAAGGCTTGGCCTCACACTGGCCTACCCCATTGCTCCTTGAGTCCTGAATACATGAAGCATGCTTGTGTTCTTTTCCTGATCTTCTAAATTATCAGTCCCAATCACAGAATCACAGAATCACAGAATCACACAATCACACAATCACACAATCACACAATGGCTTGGGATGGAAGAGACCTTAAAGATCATTTCATTCCGCCCCCCTGCCATGGGCAGGGACACCTTCCACTGTCACAGGCTGCTCCAAGCCCTGTCCAACCTGGCCTTGGACACTGCCAGGGATCCAGGGGCATCCACAGCTGTTCTGGGCACCCTGTGCCAGGGCCTGCCCACCCTCCCAGCCAGCAATTCCTTCCCAATATCCCATCTGCCCCTGCCCTCTGGCAGTGGAACCCATTCCCTGTGTCCTGTCCCTCCCTGCCTTGTCCCCAGTCCCTCTGCAGCTCTCCTGGAGCCCTTTCAGGCCCTGGCAGGGGCTCTGAGCTCTCCCTGGAGCCTTCTCTTGTGCAGGTGAACAGCCCCAGCTCTGCCAGGCTGGCTCCAGAGCAGAGGGGCTCCAGCCCTGGCAGCCGCTCCGTGGCCTCCTCTGGACTGGCTCCAGCAGCTCCACGTCCTTCTGATATTTGGGGCCAATGACAACACCACATTAGATGACCCATCAGGGTTAGTTAGAGGAAATGCTACCATCAAAAGGCTTCCTTTTCCTTGTCATATCAAGATACCAACTGCCTGCCTATATTTCAGGATAAAATACATTTAAATGCCTTGCCCATTGTGTTCACTGTGCCATGCGCCACAGCTCAGCATCCTTCTCCCTTGATGCAGCCTTGCTGCAGTGGCTTTGCTCCCAGTTCTCATCCCACTTTGGTTCATCTTTTCACTGAAATCTGACTGAACTCTGTGTTCAGAGTTGAAGTTGACCGTAAGTTGAAGAGACAGTAATTGCCATTGCAAACCTATCAGGAGGTCTTTAAATTGCAAAGACCATGTTTTCATCCTCTGGAAAAGCACGCCAGTTTTATGGTCCCACTTTAATGCTTTTTAAATGCCATTTTCCCCACAAAAATGTCACTGCCGAGTGACATTTTTGTGTGAGACATAAAGGAGGAATGAAGCCCCCATCTAATTTCTCTTAATTTCAGTAAAAATGATTAGGGAGGAAGTTGTTGCTCATTTGAAAACAGGCAGTTTAAAGACTTCATAACTGCAATTTCAAGGAACTTGTTCCTGATTTTTTTTAGATGTTTAGAGTTCACCACTGAGATTCTGGTAACAGCAAAGTGATGTGAATGAAATTTAGTTTTAATTTTGCTCCATGTCTTTTTATCTTGCCCCTGTTTACTTTGAGATACTGATGTTCACCCTAATATATTTAGACTCCCTGAGCAAATTTAATCACTTCCAGACTCTTCATCTCCTGATCTCAGATAGGCACTATGTATTTTCTCATATCTCAGTTCATTTACTTCTACATTTATGCAAGATCAGTATCTGTAGGTCTGTAGAAATGCAGGATTTCTAAATATAGGCCTCAATTCTTTTTGATTTTTTTTTTTTTTTTTTTTTTTTTTTTAAGTCTGCTATAAGGACTAAATCCCCATTCTGGAAGAATGGATGAAAGTTTCTCAGTATCTCAGTAACAGAACTATTTACCTAGGAAAAGGCTGGTTTTCCTCCTTTTTTATGTGGTGGGGTTTTTTTTTGTGTTTGTTTGTTGTTTGTATGTTTTTTGATTGCTGCTGCCTTTTTCTCCATGAAACAAGGAAGTACGGAAAATCTGGCCTTAGCTCCTTCATCTGCCTGAGTAGATTTGAATCCAGGTGATAAGCAGTCTGTCTAAAGTAATTAATTTCAGATTCTTGATTATCTCAGTTGCCATCAACCAAGGGGAGCCACGAAGAGTCTAATTATGGATAAACCAGACTTTTCTGTGTTGCAGAACCAAAGACAAAAGTAAATAACAAGGCTATGGAGCCAGACTCCTTCTTTGCCTTAACAAGGCCTTTCTCTCAATTCACCAACTGCTCTGACATTGTCTAGCAGAGTTTTAAATAACCTGGCTGCCCCACTGACTCCTTTTGGGTCGCTCTTCCAAAAGAGAAGGTATCTTATTCCTTTTTTATTTGAACTCAAGTCAAAACAGTTTATATACCCGTGGTTTTCCTTTTCTTTCTCCAAAGGAACTACCTTTTCCAGGAGCAGTGTCTTGACTCAGATGTTCAACTGCCCAGGCCTTGAACTCACAGCACATAGCCATTCCAGAGGTCTGTTTCTGAAATTCATGGACATGATTCCAAGCCTTTGAGGCACTTGTAGACCATAAATTATTTTTTTAAAAAACCTAAAGTACTGTTCTTTTTTAGCCCTTTATAAGGATTTACTCAGTTATCAGGCCTGGGAAGGGCTTTTCTAAGCCTTCCCTCTCAGCTCTGGGCTGTTGCCTCATAAACTCTGCTGATCGTCAGGGCAGATTTGTTAAAGAGTTTTTTCTTTAAATAAAAAGTGAGAGGATGAGAAATAGATGTGTAAAACTGCCCAGGGAGAGTCCATCACACTCTCTGTTTTGTTGGTGGCTCAGTACAGAGGAAGACAGTGCAAACTCCTGCACATCTTTCTGCATGCATGGAAGTCTGCAACTCAAACTGAGCTCAAGTGGAGGTGGAATCTGCAGACCTATAGCATGTTAGCAACTGTGCCATAGCTGATTAATCCTCCAAATTGTCCAAATCTGGCCTCAGCACCTTAGGAGATCCCAGCACTGACCCACAGAACACTCCCATATGCCTTGCACCTTCCTGTCTTTTCAATGCCAGGGTTTTTTTTGCCAACAGTGTTGTCACAAAGATATGGATTTCACCCCTGTGAGGATTATGAGACCCTGGCATAGAGGAACTGTGGCTGCCTCACCCATGGAAGTGTCAAAGGTCAGGTTGGACAGGGCTTGGAGCAGCCTTAGATAGTATAAAGAGTCCCTGCCCATGGAATGGATGGAATGGGACAAGTTTTAATCTCCCATCCATCCCAAACCATTCCATTATTCTGTGGAAGATGTGCTACAGGTGTTACAGCTTAACCAAGAAATACTGCCAAGGTATCACAGTCCAGAAGTGACATGAAACAGAAAAAAAGATGTAAGGAATTTAAATAGCAGACCCACAGAGAACACAAAGATTTTGGTGTTGACCTTGTGCATTCATTCCTTTCCAATCTCATGAATTGCAGAATCTTTCAGAAGGAGCCCAAAAGGATAGATGTAGCCTTGGAATTATCATTTCTCTAAAGGCTTATCTTTTCTACATGCCTCCCTTGCTCCTCTTGGGGACAAATTTTCCTGCATCCTGTTAAAAGCTTTTACTTCAAGTATCCCTCTATAAAATACAACATTTCCTTCAATCACAAGAATATAATCTGAGAAATTGTTCCATCTCCAGTCTGAGGTGTTAAGTGTTTTTGCACAGGAGTAGTTCATCTGTAGATTTGAGGGCTGCAGGAGTGGGGTGTGTCTGAGGGTAATTTATGGGTGGTTTTGACCTGAGTCAAATCCTGAATTCTGAACAAGTTGCAGAGACAACAAAGGAGAGGGAGCGCAGGACACCTACTTTCTAAAACTATCCCAAGTGTTAATCTGCTTTCTCAAAGATTGTGAGATGTTTTTTTGCATTGCCTGTCTGCTCTGAGGAGAAATGTTGTGTCAGCTAACATGATCCTTCAGAAGAGATATACAAAATTGATCTATTTTTATTCTGCCACTGGCTTGCCAAATGACCTTGCCTAAATCACATCCCTGTACCTCATTTTCAATTATGTAGATTAGGGATAAAAATTATTCACCTTCTTAGAGTGTTTTGATATGTATTGGTGCACAGCTACATGCTATGATTTTAACACCTCACAATTAACGCTCCATTTCTGGTGTTTTGAAGCCACTATCAAACTCCCACCACTTTCTGGGTGATGCCTCATGAGGTGGGGTTTATGGATGAATGCTCACCTAAGCAGGCAGGGGACAAAAGATTTCAGAGGATGCAAGGCTGATGAGCTGCCTGTGCTATGGTTGTTACTTCATGTTTCAGAAAACGTGAAAAAAATTAAAAATAAATAAATAAAAGATGCAGTTGAGGGGCTGTGGAGTGCTGGTTGGTGGTTGCAAATGGCTTGGCAGCAGCAATTCTTCACTGGCCCTTGAGCAGTCAATGTTCCTAGCAAGAGGGATCTTTTACTCCTGTGGAAACATAAGCACCAGTAATGACTACTATTATCCTTGATAAGATATCAGCTGCTTCCAAACCAAACCAGAAGAGATATGCTACAGAAAGTTAAGGGGTAGAGAAGATAGTCAATGAATATGGCTGGAAAAAGTAGAGACTTCCATGGACGTGTGTGTATCCAAGCACGGATGTGGTTCTGACAGCAGATTTAATCCCACCAGCTCTTTATTTACCAGGAATAGTTAACATTCACTAACGCAAGGTCAGGCACCAGGTGCCTGGTGAGCAGTGAACCCACCACGCTTGTTTCACCCCATTTTTATCTCCCATCTTCCCATGTTTCACCCCATAATTTTCTCTCATCTTCCCATGTTTCCCGATATTCTAGGGGTGAGTACAGCCAAGTCATGGTTGTTCCTGAGAGAGGCAAAGGAAGCTTCTGGTGCTGCAGGCTGGGGTTTTAGTTAAATGAAGCAGTAATGTCATTATCTGTGTTCCATCTATGCTTCTACAGTCAGGCTCAATTGTGCTAATCATTGCAGAAGCGGGTGACAAGGAGCTTACAATCCAGCCTGTCCAATATCAGGAAAGCACAGACTTCCAGCATCACCTGGGGAAAAGGAAAGAAGATCCTGTGAGGGCTTTTCATGTGGTTCTTGCCCAGAATCCCCCAGTGCCCAGCTTGGATCCTTTTATGAAAGAGAATAAATGAGATAAATAACTGCTCTTTTGGATAAGGACATTTGGGGAACAGAATGCATTTCCCTAGATCACACTAAATTATACTGAGTCAAGCAAGCAAAGTGATTCTTTCTTCCCCAAAGCTCTTCTCTTCCTCTAATTACATTTGAAATGTTTTGCATGCTATTGAAAATGTCACTTCCAGCTGCAGACCATTAAGGAGCCTATGTGGCACTGCCATGGGTTTTATTACGGCAGGTTTGTTGCTCGGGATTTCAATGGCAGCAAAACGAGGCTTGGGGTGAAATACCTTTTGTTGCAAATGTTGAACACTTGTTTTGGTGGTAGGGGACTTTTCACAAAGGCACAGTGCTTGCCAAATTATTTTAAAGACCAAGGGATGAATAATTGGGCAGGAATTATTCATATATATGCTATTTCTTTCCTTCTGCTCCAAAGCATTAATGGAGGCAAATGTAGTGGTCCTGGCTTGTACTGGGTAGGAATTTGTGCAGCTGATGTTTTCCTGAGCCCTTGTTTTCTGGGTACTGTTGCTTGAAGTGCCAACGGGACACAAGCAGGTCTGCTCTGTTTTTTTCTGCAATTACCCAAAGCTGAGTGATGGAGCAGCTCTGGCTCTCACAGTGGATCAGAATCAGGGACAGTGTACAGAGGAAAGGCTGATGGGCCATTGCTACAGAGATTCTTCAGTTTCTCCTTGCAGCCAGGCTGTGTGAGCAGTGGTCAGGATTTGGGAAAGTCCTTTCACCCTCCTGTAGTCACATCATCTTTCTTGCTCCTCTTCTTTTGTTCATGTTGCTCTATAAACCAGCTTGGGCTGTAGATTTGGTGACTCTTGGGCAGGAGTTTCCTTTCCTATCATTGCTTAGTTGCTGTAGAGTCTCTGAGCCCATTGCAAAAGTCACAGAGGAACACAAGGGGTAACTGGGATAACAGCCTGAAACCAGGATTTAATTACCTGGAAAGCAGTTCTGCCAATATGATTTGTTCTCCTTCTGCTGATGTGATGCCCAGCACACAGAACCAGCCCAGTAGAGGGAAAGTCTCAGATTTAGACTCTGTGCATCATTGGCCTTTTCATTTTCTTTTCCATACCAATGCAAAGAGGAATTTCATAAATACTTTCCCAGTCTGAAACAAAAGAAAAACAACACCTTTTCCAGTAGAGCAGGATGCATTTTTCAGACATGAACCAACCCTTCCATTTCCACATCAGCTTTTAAATGGTGTTTAATGCTGTGGCAATGAAACCCTTGATGTGACACCACTCCTGGCACCATGGGACATGGACAGGATGGGGAGATGTGCTGCTATGGGCATATCTAGTACAGCTTTCATCTGGGGTGAGCTAATTCTCCTAGAAACGAAAAGAAGATCCAAATACGTGTCTCATAATCTAAGTCACTAACAAAAAGGAATGAAAATGAGAGAAGGCAAATTCTAGTGAGAGAGAAATGTTTTTTTCTTTAAAGCAGGCAGGAGGATGTTTTGGGGAAGCTGTACCATTTTTCTAAGACTATCTATCCAGCTCCTTGATTTATGTATCCCTGTCCTGTAAGGGACACCCTGTTGGCATTTGCTTTTCAGTGCTGATCCCTGACAGAGCTCAGCACTTGCTCTTTAAATAGCCCAGAGCTGATAAAAGCATCGTTGTGGGGAGGAGCTGGCTTTGTCCTCAGCTCCAACATCTGCAGGAAAGTCAGGTCTGTCCCATCTCTGCCTTTGATAAAAGAGCAAGATTTTATTGCAGCTTCTTGGTGAGTGTGGCCGCTGGCACCAGGCTGGAGAAGAGAGAGGAGGGCATGTGCATCTCTCACAGTCCCCTTTCTGGTACTGCTGCTTAGCACTGATCCTGACCCCATCATCCTGTTTGCTGCTGGCAGCCAGGCTGAGTTCAAAAATTTATTCCATCCTGGTCTGCAGGCACTGACATCTCTTGCTGCAGAAGGAAGGGATATTTTCTTTCTTTCATGCTGTACTGTTGTCACTAAAGTTTTGATGGAAGCAGAACAGCCTCCTGAATATCCTGCAGAGATGTTCATTGAACTTAAATGGAAAAGATCCTGCCAAAAGATTAACAGCTGACACTGCCAACATGTGTGGAATAAATTTCCAAAACAGCTCCAAAGAGCAAGTTGCTCCAGTTAAATCACAGTGGGAGCCCTGGAAAACTTAACAGAAATGTAGAATGGTTCACAGAATGGTTTCAGTTGAAAGAGACCTTAAAGACAATTGTGTTCCAAATCTCTGCCATGGTCAGAGACACCTTCCACTAACCCAGGTTGCTCCAAGCCCCATCTAACCTGGCCTTGAGCATTTCCAGGGATCCAGGGGCAGCCACAGCTTCTCTGGGCAACCTGCAAAATTAAACCAGATGGAACCAAAATCTTTTCACCTGTGTCCAGTGACAGAACAAGAATGAATGGGCTCAAACTGAAATACAGTAAATTACATTTAAAATAAGAAAAGAAAGCTTTTTTTTCGTCTGCATGGGTAATCGGACTCTGGCACAGGCCACCCAAATTGGTCGTGGAATCTTTATCCTTGGAGATATTAAAAACCTGGCCATAGCTGGCCCTGAAGGACCTGCTTTAGCTGAGTTTGCTCTAAGCAAGGTCTTCTACAGATGAACCTTCCAGGCACAATGACTTTGCAGTTCTGTGCCCCTGAAATTTAAGGGGAGAATGGTGGTGTTGGTTGAGGTCTGTGCTGCATAGTGCACAGTTTAATTTCCTAACTTGGAGAAAGTTCGGGAAGCCAAACTACAAAACAGAATGGCTGTGAGGCTGGTAAAGAACTGCCAGCACATGATGTGGAGGCTCACAGTCCACAGGAGAAGAGTGACTTGTTGACATAGCTCAAAATTGTGCCATCATTTTCCATTCAAGGATAATGAGGATTAATTTTTGCAAATGTAAGAAATAGGCTGTGAATTCCTGGAAGAGCAAGAGCTGTTTAATCTCTCCAGGATGTACATAATAAGTGAGCAGATATGTCTCATCATGAACATAACCTTTTTTTGTCTGACTAATAGCAGGACTTGAAGGAAAAACTGTCAGAAATCTCCCGTCCCTACCGAGGTCAACGAGTGCTCCTGTGATTTTAACAAATTAGGAAAGCATTCTCAAATGCTGTTTTCTTTGTTTTCAAGTTGCTTTTCCAATGGGAAAAAAAAAAACAAACTGAACAAACAAAGTAGCAAGCTAAAAAAGGTGCTGTGGCTCCTTAGAAGGCCCCAAGGGAAATGTAAAGTGATTTGGTCATCCATGCTGGAACATTCATCACTTTACTCTGTCCTGTTTTCACATCTAGCCCCAGCACTCATTAATTTGCCCTCATTCCTTGGCAAGGATGGGAGGTTTCCTTGCACATGCTGGCTTGCAGGGCCGATGGAGAAAGTTGTACTTCACATTCTGACTTCAAATCCAAAGAGGAGAGAGCGCGTGCCTTAGTGCTTTTAAAAAAGATGGGGGCAAACATTTTAGCAGGGCCTGCTGCAACAGGGCAGTGGGGGTGGTTTAAAACTAGAAGAGTGTCAATTTAGATTAGATATATAAAGGAAAAAATTGTTTACAATGAGGGTGGGGAGGCTCTGGCACAGACTGCCCAGAAAAGCTATGGCTGCCCCATGCCTGGAAGTGTTCAAGGCCAGGCTGGGCACTTCCAGGGATAGTGGAAGGTGTCCCTGCCCATGGCAGGAGAGCTGACTTTCCAGCCTGAACCATTCCTTGATTCCATTATATATGGCAACAACGTGGAACTACCAAGGAAAGGTACCTCCCCTCCTATGTGCAAATATCGAGACCTTTTTTATTTCTGTTGTTTTACCAGGAATTGCCCCAGGCTGGCACCTGGAATATATTGATGTGATAGACTCTGCCATGGACAAGACATTTCGCTTCCAGTGTGATCGCTGGCTGGCTAAAGGTGAAGACGATGGGCAGCTCATCAGGGAGTTGGCCTGTGCCAATAATGACATCCTGGAACTGAAGGAAAGGACTGGTGAGTTTGGGGCGCTCTTGTGCTGCTTTCTGAGGGACCTCAGAGGTCATAGGACCACATCTCCTGCAAGCTGGAGGCTCCCATGCAGGCTTTAGAGGTTATTTCATGTACACTTCAGTTCAATAGTGCAGTTCTAGGATAAGAAAGAAATGAAATGGGATTTGTGAGGAAGAAAAAGATCTCATTCTGGGTTGAAACCGAAGAGGGGCCCATCTGCAGAGGTTCAGTCCATCAGTAAGCCATGAGAACACATGGATATGATCTCATTAGAGCTAAAGTGCTTGAGGTTTTGAGGTGGAAAATAAGTTCAGTCCTTAAAGCTTGGTAAGTAACATTGCTCCAGCTTCCTCCTTAACTGGTTCTGGGCTATGAGCTTAAGTGTCCCAGCTGAACATAAAAACTGAGCCTAACAGCCCATGGCCCTGGGTCTGTTCTGGGTAATCCCACTGGGGCCAAGGTAATTACACTGCTGTCTGATGTGGTAGGTGACTCAGCCAACAAGAGTTACTTAACCATGCTGATGATATACAGAGTCCATCTCAAGAGCTACTGCACCAGTGCTCTTCTTCAGGAGAATACCGGGGAGACAATAATCACATTACTTCACTGTGATTGTGCTCTGCCCCTGAAAAAAAATCAGCCTTGTGAGGGCCATTTTGGCTACTTACAGGCCACCACAGCATCTGAGCACATCCTGCTGGGGACATGGACACGCTCAATCTGCTAGGAACGGTGGCACAAATAAAAAAAAAATTAAAAAAAAAGAAGGAAAGAAAAATAAAATAAAAGACAATATGGAGGATTCAGTCTGTGTTTCAGATGAAGTGCTTAGCACAGCATGGAGCTGGACACAGCTTGTTCAAGAGGGACCTCAGTTATCCTTGTGGGTCCCTCCAACCCTCCAACACAGAATATTCTGTGATTCTAAGAATAACTCCATCTATTCTTACTACCCGATTGAGTAGGACTTGTATTTTTCATGTATTCTCTCCCAAACCACTTAAAAGTCAAAAGTCCCACAGATTTCAGTGTATTTCCACCCTTATTTTGCAAATGCTTGCTGTCTTGTGGGCTGTGATAAATATTAGAAAAGGGGTTTTTAAGCAAAGTGATAGCCAAATGAAGAGATCTTGCAGGCCATATGCTCCTCCTTTTCTGTTTAATGTGTGTGTTAATTATGTTTTAAAGCCTATGAGATTGTCACAGTAACCAGTGACAGAGACGATGCAGATACAAAGGAGAACATCTGGATCATCCTGGAAGGGAAGATGGGCCGCTCAAAGGAATTCCTCATGGAAAACTCTACCAAGAAAAGGAGATTTGAAAGGTAGTAAACAGGATGGTGGGCCAGAGGAGCTCCCCACCCATTGTGTGTCCTCCACAAATGCCATCTCTTCTTGCCATAGGGCGCTGCGTTTGTGCCACGCTGCTTCTTATTCCCCTTCCAAAAAACTTGATGGCTTCCCACTTGTATTATAGGGAAGATTATCAAATAACTTTCTGGTGAACAGCCACAAAGTAGGGTTTAGGACAGCAAGAAAATATTGAATATTTTCAATAATATCTACATTTCCTTTTGACAAATCTAAGAATATCTATCAAAAGGAAATGTAGATGTTGCACTTGTGTGTGTGTGTCCTTTTGTATCTGTACACAAAAAGAGGCTCCTGGCAAGCCCCCAGGGAGGCTGTGTGGTTTTTGAGCTGGGGGGAGCAGAAGGAAGCTGGAGGTGGTTTTAGTTCCTTTTACAGCATCTCACTAGGAGTGGGAATTAGAGAGAAAGTAATAATAGTTGGGGGCTAGATGTTGTCAGAGCTGCTCAGATTTGACATTGCAGACAGCTCTGGGGGGTAAGGCTGTGAGATCACTGTTGTGTGAGGAAAGGCAGGAATCAGCCTCCTGCTGGAGACATATCCATGGAACATGGGGCATACTCCTTCTCCCACATGGAGCCAAAGTGCTCCAGGTGTGAGCAGGGTTTTCTGCTTGTTTAAGGACACGGCACACCCTTAGGAGATGGGGACCTTGCCAAAGTCACAGACACTGCTGATATTCTCTTGCTTTGGTTTTTTTCTGGTAAAGGAAAATGAAATTCTGGCTTATGTGGAATGCAGTATGACTGTCTGAGATATCACATGAAATATGAAAGATCAGGAGGAGCTTCTTGAGCTGATGGTGCCTATGGAGGAGTTAGACACCACTCTTCATTAGGCACAGTCTGTCCTTGGAAGGACCAAGGGCCAGTCCAAGGAAATAAATCCAACAGATACTCAGGGAACACAACAGGGATCCAGTCAAAACTTTGACATAAACCTATCAGGCCTATCCATGGCAGGAGTTTGAATTAGATGATCTTTAGGGTCTTTTCCAACCCAAACCATTCTGAGAATCTGTGATTTAATGGTTCCTCTGAGCTATCTCAAATTTGAGCTTCAGGAAGTGTAGCTCAACTAGCAAATTTAAAACAGCTATGGTGGGTAGATGTCTAGCAGATACAGTATCTGTCAGGAATTAATGAATAAGTGCTGGAGGGGAAATTAGTCATTCTTTAGCTTTATCTATAATGAGGCAATTTGATTTTGTATGTGGAAGAGCTCGAGTTTATCCTAGAAAGTCCTAGTGGCAACAATTTAAAGTGTCACCCCTAATCAGAGAAAATACTAAATTTAAATATGGAAATTATACTTTGTGTTGAATGATTGTAGGTTAAATCAAATTACTGTAAATGAAGGCTTATCTTCTATCTTCCATTGCCATATGCAAATTAGTTAATGTCCATATGAGTCAAGTCACTGGCAACCTCCAGGATGCTGAAACTGCTCCCTGTTTCCTGTAGGGGAGCAACTGACACATTCCAGTTTTCTTCAAAAAACGTTGGTGATATTGCAGCCATTTGTGTTGGTCACTGCCCAAAAGATGGGAAGAAGTCATCTGCAAAAGCTGATGTCTTCTGGCATGTCCAGGAGATTATCGTGACAGAGATGGAGCTTTGCAACAAGTAAGTGCCTTCTCATCTGCAAGGACCTGCCCTGGGGGAGCTGAGCAGCTCTGCACACATCCTCCTGAAGCATTTCAGGCTTAAAGTGGGGAAAATATTGTTTTCTGTTATGCAGTTTGGTGTGTCAGGTCCAGGATGTCCTTATCTGACTTACCTGCACAATTTCCCAGTTGTTACAGAGGGTATTTGCATGTGCAGGTAACTTTATAAACAAGCTGGCTGGGGTGAATCTCACAGCCAGGATGAATTGATGTCTCACCTTATGGAAAATAACCAGAGTGGCTGCAATTCAATTGTAGGATTCTCTGCACAGACTGGTCTTTTAAGTAAGTCTTGTGAAAAATGTCCCAGAAACAAGAGTAAGATAAAGTCTAAGTCTCTGATTCAGACCAGTTTGGATAAAAGATCCTTCTGGTCTGGTCCAAAAGGCCGCACACGACTGGAAAGGTTGCAATCATGCAGCTCAATCATACCTGAAGAGCCCTGAGCATGGTCAGGTCATGCACACTTTTGATCTGAGTCCTATATTTGGAAGGGGAGCAGATTCCACAAGGACTGTGCAGGAGCAGAGGAGATCACCCATTTGCAGAACAAATTGCACTTCAGTAAAACAATCCACAACATTAATTGTGGGTTTCTTCTCTTCTCCATGATATTTCCATTGCTGCTAAAGAATTTAACTACAAGGAGTTTGTTCCAGCTGAGACAATTGAGTGTTTAAGAAGAAATCCTTGAAGTGGTGGTTGTTTTTTTTTTTAGAAGCTAAGAGTCTCTCCTAGCAAATTAATCAGCCAGCTGAAGAGCCTTAATAATATTTGCTAAATGAAAACTCAGTCAATTGCATACTAAAACATACTCTTTTTCTCCTGGTGGGGAAAAGCCTGGAACCCTCCAAGTCCTGCTGTGCGATCAGATCTGCGCACTGAACTCATTGGGAGCATGCTGAAACTGCTGGGACAGTGTGCTGTGAAGGGGCCAAAGGTCTTCTCATAAAATCCCACTTTTTAAAGATTGTTTTAAATTAAAGAGGGTAGCCAGAAGTTACGGGTAAAGCCTGCAGTCTGTCCTTGTACTGAAGCAGGGCTCCAGCTCTGTAGATGCAGCATGTTACAGTGGTGTTCTTTGTGCAAACAAGCAACTGGAGAGCTTGCACCAAGAAAAAAAGTTCTCACTTAAGGTATTACCCATCCCAAATATCAAAAACCCTACCCAGAGAGCCAAAGAAAAAATTTAAAGAGTTACCAGATTGTTGCAGCAATAGTTTTGAATTATACTGGGATTTTTCCTTTCTTAGTATGTAAAAAGATAGTATTTAAAGATTTTCCTTGCACATTCCAGGGCTACAAAGGTTTTGGTTTGTTTTTTTTTCTTTTTGTCCCTTGTGAAGATTGGCATGCACCATTTTACTTCCAGACCATGAGATATTACGCAGCTGAAGAAATCAATTTGCAGCACTGGGCATCCTCTCCATCAGACTCTCATGCAGATTTTCTGCCCCTGAGCCTAAAATTTTGTTCCCCTGGGAATTTCTCATCTACAAAGCTTCTTTTCAGGGAATAAGTGCTTCATTTTGTCTGGAGAAAATGCCAAGAGTATAGGTGTTATATTTACATACAAGAAGTGCTTAAGAAACACCATACAGAGGGAGTCACAGTAACCCTTCCTCCAGGTGTTTATTTTGCACAGACACACGCACTGCAATCCAGCCACACTCCATTCAGGAGGACCTGCTGCAGTTCAGTGAAGGTGGGGGAAGGGGGAAAAGCTCATTTAGAACTGATCTGCATCATTGGAAACTAAATACATCATTAAAAGCAGAGTGCTCCAGCCCCTGGCTGAGTGCCAGCAACGAGGCAATGTATGGATGTGCTCGGTGTTCCCCACACATCACCAGAGACAGCACTGCAGAGACAGGGGCAGTTGGCATCTGGTACCTGTCATTACTGTGTTCCCACTTTTTTTGCTCCCTGCTAAGGAGGAGGTGGGTGATCTAGAAAGGAAAGGGGAGATTTAAATCTCCTTCATATTTCCCATTCCTTTTTTTACACCTTTTTCCTGCTCTAGCTCTGGTTCTGACTGCTTGTCCTGCCTTGGTGGGTCTGGAAACTGGTCATGCTATTGCACGGGTTGAAGAGGTGACAAGAGCCACACAGATCCTTCCCGTGTACAGTGTGTCTATAGCTGTGTGGGATGAGGTCAGATTTTTCCAGTTGCAAAGTTCTATCGTGGCTCTCTTTCTGGAGAAATATTCAAGTTCTGGTACATAGAGGGGGGAAATGCTGAAACAGCATTAATATTGGTAAATTTAGTAGAATGCACACTCTCTAACTTGCTGGCTCCATGTTTGTACCAAAGGGCCTGTCCCTGTGCTGGCACTGCTGGGGCACCTCCAGTGCTGGGGACAGCTCTGGGCCCTCAGGACAGGGGAGACACTGAGGGGCTGGAGTGTGTCCAGGGCAGGGAACGGAGCTGGGGAAGGGGCTGGAGCCCCAGGAGGGGCTGAGGGAGCTGGAAAGGGGCTCAGCCTTGAGAAAAGGAGGCTCAGGGGGACCTTGTGGCTCTGCACATCTCCCTGCCAGGAGGGAACTGGCGGGGGAGTCGGGCTCTGTTCCCAGGGAGCAGGAACAGGAGGAGAGTGAATGGTCTCAAAACATGCCAGGGGAGGATTAGATTACATATTACAGAAAATTTCTTCATCCAAGGAGGTGTCCAGCCCTGGCACAGCTGCCCAGGGCAGTGGTGGAGTCACCATTCCTGGAGGAGTTTAAAAGCCATGTGGATGTGGCACTTTGGGAACATGGGGCAGTGGTGGTCTGGGCAGTGCTAAGGTGGGATAGCAGTTTGACTCAATGACCTTAGAAGGCTTTTTCAACACAAACAATTCTACAGTTCTCTCACATTTGCCCCACAAAGTAGCCATCCATGCCACTAACCTGCCCGTCATTGCCCGTGGCAGGTACTTCTTCAGGTGCAACGCGAAAATCCCTCTGCGATACAAGCGGCGAGACTACAAAGTCTTCGAGTGTGCCAAGGTCACAGAGAGCTTCGCCAGCAAAGCCCGGAGCTTGGTGCCGGTCAAATATGAGACCATTGTGGTCACAGGCTTCGAGAAGGGCGCAGGCACCGATGCCAACGTGTTCATCACCATCTACGGCCTGAACGGGGACTCAGGGAGGCGTGCGCTGAAGCAGAAGTTCAGGAACCTCTTTGAGCGAGGCAAAACCAACAGGTTTTACCTGGAAACACTGGACATGGGAGAGCTGAAAAAGGTCCGGATTGAGCACGACAACAGCGGCCTGGCTGCGGGCTGGCTGGTGGAGCGGGTGGAGATCACCAACTCGGCCACTGGTGTCACCACCGTATTTCCCTGTGGGAAGTGGCTGGATGAAAACCGGGGGGATGGGTTAATCTGTAGGGACCTTTTTCCTAGGTACTGAGGAGGGCACAGCTGCAGGAGGGTTTTGGTCCCTTCAGTATGCATACTTTTTTCCTCATTATACTGTTTTATATTGCCTTTTACTTTTTAATACACTATCTTTTGTATTGAGAGATTTTTAGTAGGAAGATGTTCCTCCTTGTTTAACATTTTGTAAAAGTAATGCTGCTTTTTTTTTTAAGTGCACATAAAACTGTGAATTAAATAAATAAATTTATTGCTTTCTTATGATTAAAAGCTACAACCAGAAGAGATATAAACTGTCCTTTACCACTTCAGATGTTTCTGCTTTCAGTGCTATGCCTTGAGAGGGCTGAGAAATCCCACTGACTACTCCACTGACAGATGAGCATAGAGATTAAGAGAATTTAGACAATTTTATTTAAGAAAATTGAGCTTGGAGATCCCAATGCATATCCATATACACATATGGACATCTCCAGAGGGCACCACATCAAAAAACTGCAGACACAGTAGGATGTTCCGTGGGGAATTTGGGCAGCATCTGCATCCACCCATCCAGCTCTCAAGCAGTGGGATCTGGGTGTTGTTTTCCACCCTGTGAGCTTTTTCCCCCCCAGGGCAGACTCTGCTGAATTCCTACAACTCTGCCAAGAGCTAAGATCTATGGTTACAGCTGCCAGTGCAAAAGACCTTCCAAATAATCAATTCCACAGCAAGGAAGCTGTACTAACTATATTCAAAGCTGACTCAGGATAATCATACCCTACATGGCCTGAATACCAGCTGCGTTTCAGAGCAACTGCCATTCACTTTAACTTTTTTTTTCCTTTAATAAAGATTGCTGTTTTGTCTCTTTTTGTAATGGAGAAGGGATTTCCCGGAGGCAGTAAGAGCCAGAGCTCCTGTCAATGAGCTCTTCTCAGGCCCTCACATCTCTACAAGTGCCAACAAAGAAATCTGTTCATAAATCATTGCTTCTGGAGCCCTGTCTCCTTCTCTAGGGTGCAAAGCAGCAGGACACATCCTCAGGAGGAAAAACGGGTGTGTTTGAGCCATGAGGACCTTCCTCCTGGCCCACTCTGGAGAGGACATTCCCTCTCCCAGAAGCTTGTTTTAAACAACAACTTTGCATGAGTAGGGATCAAAGGGGTCAAGACTGGGCTCACCCCACTAAGCCCACCCACCCCACCAGTTCCTGGGTTGAGGATGATGCTTCTGCTGGGACCTTGCCTGGATGTGCCAGGCCAGGGGGGCAGGACTGTCCCACACTGCTCATGGTCAAAGGAGACCCAGCAAAGCCTGGTAATGCTGAGACAGGAGTTAGAATCATCTTAGAAATGTTGTCGATTGCTCAGAGGTATTTGAAAGCTGATAACCCATTAAAGCCCTTCCAGAAAAGTTCTGGATTTCTGTTTCCCACAGCAGGCACCACAAAAGAGACTTGACCTTATATCATGGCTGTCTGTGCCAGTTCACAAACAATAGCCCAGGCTAATTCATTTTGGAAACCTTTATGGTAACTGATGGTTCTGGAGCAGAGCAAGTTGCTTAAATGAGCCCAATAATCAACTTCATCAGGGATCAGGCTACTCACTGAGAGGAATAATAGCAGCCTTCGTTAGCTGTGTTCTCCCTCCTCATGGCAGACTGGTGCTGGCCAGCCCTTAGCAAGGAGCTGGGAACTCATAGGAGGAGCAGAACAGCCCTTAGGAGGCCCAGAGGAGATTGCTAGGGTTCTGATTGCATCCCTGGGAACCTGCTGGGGATAGAGTTCAGACTCCCTGGATACGCAGGGGTCCCATGAGTGGAGTCTGGTTTCATCTGGGTTTGCTGTTCTTGTGCAGTGTCATTGCAGCTCCCCAGTACGCGTTCAAAGCAAAATAAGGGTCAGAACTTTTGATTCTCCCCTGCATTCCCTCTCACCCAAGTTTTAACCAGCACTGTTGGAAAAAAAAAAACTCTCCTGTTCAAGAGGTTTGCCCCTTTTCAAACAAATGTGTACTGCTGTGAAATAGGAGTTTGCTCACTGCAACAGTGCTTGCAGTCCCAGCATTTACAGCTGGCTCAGTCACCCCCTACTTGGTACAGGGTGGTGGGGAAGCTGGTTTTAGAGGATGAATTTAAACCCCCCTATCCCCTTGGCCAAACCCACTGCCCTGGAACTTGCTTCCATGATCAGGTTGGGATGGGTTGGGAGCAACCTGTTATAGTGGAAGTTGTCGCTGCCCCATGGCAGGGGGTGGGAACAGAATCTTTGAGGTCCCTTCAGCCCAAAACCATTCTGTGATCCTGTGATGATTCTATGATTCCATTATTATTCTATGATTCCTGCCTTGGAAAAGCAGTGAGGCAAGCTCCTGACCCACACACCATTCCTTCCTGGGGCAAGGAGGAAAGGATACAATCCTTACCATTGAATGTGAAATGTGCTCTCATCTGGGAGGAATAACAGGTGTCAAGTGGCTAGCAAATATGGGTTGAGGCACAGCTGAAGCAGGAATTAATACCTTCAGGGTGACCAAACCACTCTGTAGGTTGGAGATAGTTGGTAGAGTACCCATTTGCCATTCAAGGCCACTTGGCATCCCTGGACAGCATATTCAGCACAAAAGCCCAGGCAAAGCTGCCCTGAAAGGCCCCAAGGAGAGTTTGCTGATAGAGGCCTCCTAGGAAGGCAACCTTGGCAAAGCACGAAAAGAACTCTGCTTTTTTCCACTGGAAGATTTCAAACAAACCCCTCCTTAGGGGCAAAGCTCAGTTCCACCTGGGCTCTGGGGAATCCCTCTGTTTGCTACAACTGTACAGAAGTAATAGGCAAGAGTGGAGTTTTTCCAATGGCTGATTTGCATTAAGCTGCTAGATTCAAACATATTCTTGGGCCAAGTGAAGATCTAGGGAGGAGAAAAGCCAAATTTTCTAGTCCTGTGCCTTTTGCAGGGCTTAATCAATCTTTCCTGTGGAAGGCAAGCAACCCAAAGCTGGTCGGGCAGATACAAAGCTCCTGCTCCCACCACCAACTCTACCTTTCTTTTTTTCCCACTTTATTTCCTAGCTGGTGGCATTTTAATGCGCATTCCTTCATCCTAAAACATCAAATGTAAATAAGAAGCAAGAGCAAAGGACATGATTGATAGCTCACATCCGTGCAAAACCTCGCTGTCCCGTTGTATTTGTGCTCTCCACCATTTTGGAACTCTGATGAAGTTCTGTGTTTACTAAATTTAGGTTTACTAAAATCACTTGGATGCTGCAAGTGAAAACAAGCATAAACAAGGGCTACTTAGCAGTGTTTTCATGCTGAAGGACCGGTTGCCTCTTAGTGCAGGACACAGAGAATTATTTGCAAATCCCTATGAAATTGAGATCGCTAATTGAAATTGCTGAGCATTTTGGCAGCGTCATATACCTACGTGAACCCTAGGTTCATGAAGGGGGAATGACTGAGCGATGTGAAGTATCTTATATTCTGTATATAGGAAATATCATTTTCTTTGCCCCTTCCTTATGTCTAGAGGCCCATTCTAAACTAAAAAAGAGGTAAAATGGAAAACGGAAAAAAAGAATATTAATGGAGTTGTACAGCTCTAAGCTGCAACTTGTGGGCCAGCTGCAGATTTAGACACCACAGAACACTGGGTAAGGACTCAGCTTCCTGACCCTGGGCAGCTGCTGTGAGAGCAGATGCTGGCAGTGAATAAAGATGTTGCATCTCGGTCTGTACTGCTGTGCCGTGATGGGCAGAGCCCCTCTCCCTTCCCAGGCAGGCACTGTGCTCAGCAGGGCTATTATCACATTGTGGAGGCTCCTTTGGTGCTCCAGCTCAAAACAAACCCGATTGCCATCTGCAGCACCTCTCTCAGCAGGGTCACCCTTTTGAAGGACATCACCAGGATCTCAGTGAGAAACTGTAATTTTTCCCCAGCGGGTCATTTTTAACCTGTTTTCTGAGGTTCTAAAAGCTTCCTGTAGCAAAAGCTTTGTGTGGTGTGAACACAGTTCATCCCTTATGCAGCTTTTGATGGATGCTGGAGGAGCCGGCAATTCCCTTCAGCTACAGGAACCAAATCCCTGTGATCAGCAGCCACTTGTCTCCAAGGCTTATTTAGTCTAATCACACAGTCAAAGCTGGGCACTGGTCTCAGCTTTTTCGGGAGGAGCAGCTGAATCACGAGTGGGCAGGAGCAGAGACTGACATAATTTGTTGTGGGAGAAAATAAAAGCATGGGCAGATCTACAGAATGGATTTTGCAGGATACCCACTGGATTGTCCAATGGGTAGCAAAAAGGACTGAAAAGACTGAAAATATCCTCAAATGTACCTGTTTTAGATTGAAGGCTTTGGGGTTTTTTTTCTTCCAGTCAGTTTCCCCTTCCTTAGTTATTAAACTAGAGACTCAGGCAGAAGAAAATCCTCCACCAGGAGGGTGGGAGAACCTATTGATACCTCTGCAGGACTTGCTAGAGATACCTTACAGGCACTGTGTGATGTGTTTAGAGGAGAAATCTCTCTTTAATAGGCAATTTTCTGAAATTCTAGAAAGCAGTTTTGGTACCAAATGACCAAACTGGTGCCACAGGGCATCACACACAGTGATGTGCCCAGTGTGGAGAGCCTCACCTCACCTCACCTCACCTCACCTCACCTCACCTCTGCCATGGAGCTCAGCCACTAGCAGCCTCTGCAGACCAGATGGGCAGAGCATTTTATACTCCAGCAGTGGTTCTCCTGCACATCAAAGACACAAACAGTGAAAGGAGAATTGATTCCAACCTAAAGAAAGCAGAAATGAGCAGTAAATAAAGACCAAGGGATCGCCCTGCAAGGTGGCTTCTTTGTGGCACAGGGTTATAGTTAGCAATGCTGTTTGTTTTATTAGTTATAAATAAAGTACAAAAAGTCCACCAAAAGTGAATCTAAGCATTTACACAATTTCTAATGTCTTTCCATTTCTTCAATGCACTATTGCTTTAATATTAATAATAAATATTTTTCTAGCTTTCTTCTATAAAATAGTCTATGTAGCAAAATGTTGCACAGCACAACAGAACAGCAGTAGGAATACAAAAATGTGGGTGATCCTTTCACCTGCCCGGGTCATTAAAGGAGAGGGGGTTTTGTTTACTTGCTCCTTGTTTGGCTTATCCCTCTTACAGTGACTTTGGGGGGGAAGGCAACCAACCCCCCTGTCCCCACACAGCTCAAAATCACAGCTCCAGGCTACAGGGGAGAAGTGTTACAGAGCAGCAAGGTAAAAAACACAGACAGGTTTAAAACCT